AGGCTAATCTGAAGATCAATGTGGGCAAAGCCCCCCCTCCAGAATCTGTTTGCCAAGCTGCAACTGTGCCAACCTGCCTGCTGAGACAAAGGAAGCGGCTGTGTCAACAGGCCCAGAGCTCAGGTAGCCGTGGGTCCAACTTCTGAGGTGATTCTGTTCCTACCGAGAGAGAGAGAGTGGTCAGTCACCTCTGTGCCCGGATTCCTTTTTTGGCCCAACTGGCCTGGTGCTGGGTGCGGAAGACGCTGGGCCTCCGAGAGAGCTTCAGCTGTGCAGGAATCAGGGAGCCACAGCGTGGAACAGTTGGAGGGGATTTTGAGGTCTTCTAGTCCAGCCCCCAGCATGGAAACTCCAGATGTGTTCGGGGGGGGGGTGTTGTCTGGGGAACTACACTGAGCCTCTTAAAGGCCCAGCAGCTTTTTGCCCCCCCCCCCCCGAGTTCAGTGTCCTGCCTTTCCTTCTCTTGACTCAGCCCTGGAGGGGACCCTGGGGAGGCTGAAGCCGAGGGTCAGTGGGAGGGGCTCACTTTCAGAGGGTCAGGCTTTGGGGGGATTCCTCAGAGGACCCCTCCCCTCTCCCCCAGCATTGGTACAGCTCCCAGTCCAGTTCTGGCTCCGGTCCAGCGGTTGCCCAGGTAAGCTTCCCCCTGGCAGTGGGCGCAAGCAGCAGAAGGGCAGCTCCCCAACCGTCGGCCATCCTTGGCACTGGATGCTACTGAGACTCAAAAAGAGGGAGGGTCCCAGAGGGGCTGGGCAGGGGGGAGTTTGGGTCGGGAGCTGACGGGACCCAGATCCTGGAGGATGTTGGGGATAATAATCTGATGGTTCCTTTGGGGCAGCCGGAAGAAGGGAAGGAGCCGGCTGAAGCTGCCCGTGGAGGCCTGGAAGGCTTTGTGCTGGTCAGCTGGTCAGCCCCCTCTCCTCCCCCACTGCCTGCTGCTCCGGACGAGGCAGCCCGACCCCCTTTTCAGCAGGATGGAAGACATGTTTGGAGCAAAGAGCCTTTATGCTCAGCTAGGCATTTGAGGGTGGGGATGGGGCAATAGAGGGCTCCTTGGCGGTACAGGAAGACCCTCACCCTATTTGCACCAGAGAGCAGAAGAGTGTCTCCTTGGGAGAGAAAGCAGAGTCATGAGTGACTCCCTCTGGGCGACCACGGACTCCCCAGGATGATAAAAAGAGGGGGGGGGCTGGGCTGTTTTTCAGAGAAATGAGTCCGGGGGGCCAGGCAGGAGGGGGAGGGGTGGGGAGCCTGATCAGGGGAGTGGGCCTGGGGTTGTGGCACCTCAGCAGGCTGTTGGGGAAGGAGAAGGACCCAGCACAGCCGAAGGGGCCCAGGTCTCCCTCGGCCACCAGCTCCGCCCGCCCTGTGTTGGTCATCGGCCCAGCCTGCCAGCTACGCAGGAATGAGACCCCCCTGAATGCCCACTCCCCTCCTCCACCCCTGGGTTCTTAGTGACTGCCTTCCTCTCTCTTTGTGCAACAGACGGCATGAGGGAGAGTGGGGTTCACACAGCACAGTGAGGAACAAAAGAATCCTAACAATGCTTCAAAATGTGGTAAGCTTGTGTGAAGGCACCTGGCAGGTCTTTGCTGGACGAGGCCTCTCCAAACTTGGCAACTTCACTTCCACAGTGTTAGAAGTAAAGTCTTCATCCTGGTTCATCCAAGCCGGGAATAAATAAGCAACATGGCGACTGCTTTGGGAAGATGGTTACAGTTTATTGAAGAAGCAGAAAGATGGTTCTTGCAGGAAAGAGCAGAGGAGAGAAGGGCAGAGCACATGGGCAAGGGGTTTTTTATACCCTCTCTAGCCTTTTGTTTGGAAGTTTCCTGTTCCTGGGGCATGAACTTTGAGGCTATTTCCTGTGTCATGTATTCTGACCTGAGCCTAGGTGTGCCTCTGTGGTATACTTGATGGTAATGGTTGAGTCCTATTATGTCCCAAAAGCCATATCCTGCTTCCCTGGTGATGGAGCTAATAACTCCTAGAGTTTGGGTGGGGGATGCAGATTTTAAGTCCCTTTGTCTTTTTGAGTTCCCTGGCTCCAGCCTTCCTGATGGTTTTACATCTGCATTTGTATAGGGCTGGCTCCTGCTTGGGGCAAAGAAATTTTTGGCCAGGATTGGTTTCTGGTTTTCAAAATCCTTTTGAGAAAAAATATATTTTTCTGCCCTTTTAATATTTCCTTCTCTGGGCTAACCTCCCTCAATACAGCAAAGCCGGCTGGGGAATTCTGGGAATTGAAGTCCACAAATACCTTAAAGCTGCCAGGTCCGGAGACCCCCTGACCTGGATCGTCAGGGATGAGAACGCCCCAGGAGGTCCTAAGTGGGCCCAAAGCCGCCTTCTCCAGCCCATGAAAAAGATCCAGAAGGAATCCCTCCGACCCGGCAAGGAAGGCTGGGGGGGGGGTCTCTCTATGGGGCAGGGGGAGAAACCAAGCCTGGCAAGAAGAGTGCATTGCTCAGATTGCCCCTGCCCCAGAGACCCGGCTGCAGCCTTTCTTGACAGGAACTGTCCAGACCCCCCTCCCTTTTCCCTCCTGGGGTCCGGGGTGGCCCAGAAGGGCTCACTCAGGGATCGAGGGCCTGCTGCTAAAGGCCGGGCTCCCGGTTCCTCTGAAGGCTTTGGATGAGGCATCCTGGAGTGATGCAGTCTGGGGGAAAATCCCTTCCAAACCTCAGAAGCCCCCAGAGGCAGATAAGGACCCTCCAAGATCCCCTCCCCTTTTCTTCCCGTCCTACTTGGGCCTCTGTCTCGTTTTTTTCCTGCTTCTACCTTCCTCCAAGGGAACAGCTGGAAATCTGAAGAATGAGACTCACTCTGATCTCAGGAAACCTCAAACCCTCCTCCAGACCGACCCATCTAGGAAAACTTTGCAGCCAGATGTTCCCAGAGTTTGCAGGGAGGTGAGGAACATCTGGTGAGATGATGTGAAATGGCTGTCCTCCAGGCTCTGGACTCCAGGAAAAAACATAAATCGACTTGGCTCTTGGCCTGCTGACTGTGTGTGTGTGTGTGTGTGTGTGTGTGTGTGTGTGTGTGTGTGTACACACGGCTTCCTGTCCTCTCCCGTCCCTGCCGAAGAGGGGAAAGGAGGCCGGACGGTGTGGCCTCAACAGCCCAGGAAAGGGGGCTGTGCCCCAGAGAGAGAGACTACCTTGTGGGGCTGCCAGCTGGTGTTCCTCACCCTCCCTCTTCATGTACAGGTAGTTCTCAACTTACGACCACAATTGAACCCAAATTTACTGTTGTTAAGTGAGACAGTTAAGTGAGTCTTGCCCCACTTCATGACCGTTCTTCATAATAATAATAATAATAATAATAATAATAATAATAATAATAATAATAATAATAATAATAATAATAAAGTTGGAAGGGACCTTGGAGGTCTTCTAGTCCAGCCCCCTGTTCAGGCAGGAAACCCCATACCATTTCAGACAAATGGCTGTCCAGTCTCTTCTTAAAGACTTCCACTGTTGGAACAGTCACAGCTTCTGGAGACAGGTTGTTTCACTGGTTAATTGTTCTGTCAGGAAGTTTCTCCTTAGTTCCAGGTTGCTTCTCTCCTTGATTAGTTTCCATCTTGCCACACTTGTTAAGTGACTCACTACAGTTGTTAAGTTAGCGACACAAGTGAATCCGGCTTCCCCATTGGCTTCGCTTGTGGGAAGCTGGCAAAGGGGATTCTGTCAGCCTGGGACGCTGAGGCCATCGTAAGTCTGAGTGAGGGGTCCTTGGTGCTGTCTGTGCTTGGTGGTTTTTCTTGCAGGTGTTTCATTCCCCGTCTCCTTTGCAAACACGAGCCAGTCTGCCCAGTGTCTGAATTTTGATCAGGTGATCACAGAGATGCTACAGCAGTCATGAGTGTGAAAAACGTCTGTAAGTCGCTTTTTTCAGGGCCCTCATAACTTCAAACAAAGTTGAGGACTACCTGAACTGGAGTCCTGGCAGACACCCCTCTTTCCCAAAAAGCAGCCTGCCAGCTGATAAATCATTGGCAACTGGAGTTCAGGAAGCTTGTGATTCAGCTTCCGTCAGCTGAAAAGGAGCAGCGGGGAGACCAAGCAGCCGTTGTCCAGTTCAATAGAAGAACCTCATTCTTTGAGCTTTGTTTGCAGAACAAACCTGTCAGAAACCTGTCAGTCAAGGAGGCTGCACCTCTGTTCCGGTTCCTGCAGGTGAAGGAACAGCAGCCGTCCTCCCCAAAGGCGGAGGGAGAGACGGAGACGGATGAGGGTCACCCGGCCCCTTCCCAGGCCCAGCTGCTGATTTCGTGTCCAATTGATTTTCCTGGGCCACGGCACCCACTGCCCCACTGAAGACCCACCCGCCACTGGGGCTGCCCTATGCATCAGGTCCAAACTGGGGAGGAGACACGCCCCCCCCCAAGACCAGGGTCTGGCTTCCTTTGTTCCACAGTTCAGTCAGGGGAGGTGTCCCCTTGGACAAGCCCAGGTGATGCTGTGCACACCTGTGGGTGGTTGAGGGAACACTGGACAGGAGCAGGGGAGCCAGGGGGGTCTTCATTTGCCCCCCACCCCATGGAGAAAGGCCCAAAGGAAAGAATGAAGGATGGAGTGGGCCTTCCTTTCTTTTTCATCCAGATTTTAGGGCACTGTGCCAAGTGGGGGTTGTGAGGGATTTTGAGATTAGCACCTCTGGATTATGCATGGATTATTTTGGCTGTTTACAGAGAGGTAAATGAAGGGGTGGGAGGGGCATCAAAGGAGGAGGGACAGCTTTGGGTCTTTGCCCCCCCCCCCAGCACAACACAACTGAGAAAGGCTGGGCTCTTTCTGTCTGCGGAGAGCCAGCCCAGCTGCAGTGAAAAAAAAAGCACCCCGGAATCTGGCAGGCCCCACAGAAGCGGGAGCCCTAACTTTAGTCACTTCGTAAAAATGTAGGGAGGGTCTGTGGACTGTACCCCATTGCCTTCTGCGCCCTTCCTCGGAAGGCATCAGCCTCAGAGTGGTCAAAAAAGTCAAGATGGCGGCCGCAAAGTTGGGAGTGAAGCTCCTGCTTTTATGGGTGACGCCCAGAAAAACCGGCTCCTGGGCCGCGATCCGGACTTTTCTGTCCTCTCCCCCGGGCGTCCCTGGCCAGAGGACCGCCGCTCTCCCCCTCCTTCAGCACCGCAGAGGCCACCTGGGGCAGGGGCTGTGAGGGGGGGCGGGGAGGGGGCTTCCCTGGACGGCTGGAAGGAAGCGGGCCAGGAGGGCCACCTTTCAGCCTCCGCCCCGCCCTCCGCCAGGAATGAAATAATGAAGGAAACCCAGCAGATGTTTGGCCCGTTTGATCTCCGGTTGAATAGGAACAAAGGAGCCCGAAGCCTCGGAGTCTGGAAAAGCAGTTAAGAAAAAGCGGAGCAGCAAAAGGAAGGGGGAAAACGACGGATTCAGCGGGAAAGGAAAGGAGCCAGCCGGAAGGTGCGCTTCCCGCTTTGATCTCCCGGCGGCGGAGGGCTGGGGGGGGAGGGGGCTGGGGGAGGGCCTGCCGCCCCCCCTTGTGGGAACTGGGAGAGCCCCCAGGCGCCTCTCTTCAAAGCGGAGCGCGGCCGGGACCCTCGCCCTCTTCCCACGCGCCCTGGGCTGGCCTTGGGCGCAGACCTTTAGGGAGTCCCGCAGCCTCGGAGCCCGGGGCCTGCCCGCCCCTCCCCGCCGGCCCGTCCAGGAGGCCGAGGACCCTGACAACGCGGGTCCCCCCCCCGGACTGCCCCAGCGCTTCCCGCGGCAGAGGGGCGCCGGTCAGGGGAGGCTTTCCCGGGTCGGGCCAGGAGGAGCCCCGGGTGCGCGACGGCCATCCTCGGAGGGGCGCGGGGGACCCTCTCCTGCCGGGATCCTGGGCAGGGAGGGCGGGGTCAGCTAGCCGGCGGCATCCCGGCGGAGGGGGGAACCCCCCCTTTCCTGCCCCTCCGGCTCGGCGGGCTCCGGCAGCGGCCGGTCACCAACCGGCGGGCTGCCGGGCACCTCGCGGGCACCGGGTGGGGGCGGAGGGATTCACACGGAGCTCGTGTGCCGCAAGGGAGGGCCAAGGCGTGGGAGGCCGGGAAGCTGACCGGCTCCCTCCCCCAGCCTCCCCATCCACGGCCCACCGCAGGTGTCTGGCCACCACCAGCCGTCCTCCTTGGCATAGGTCTGGCTCCATCCCCCTCAGTCAGGGGTAGCCATTCTGCCACTCGGATGACACAGCCCATCATCCCCAGAACTGACCTGGCCCTTTTGCACAGGAGAAGCCGGGGGTCCACTCAGGAGCCCCTCCAACAGCCCTACTGGGGTCGCCAGCATTGCCCTTCGGGCTCCCACGGGACCCTGGAGCTGGGAGACCCAGGAACAGCTCCTGCTTAGGGAGGGAGCTGGTGTGTGTGTTTGTGTGTTGTTGAACTTTCAGGGTGCGCCATTTCAGCCAGGCCCCCCCCCCATTGCAGCCAGCAGGAAAGTCTGCCTTGGGTCAGCAAACTCCGCGGTTCTGCTTTCCAAAGAGAAACCTCCCGGAGCCAAACTCCGCCCCCCCCCACCATTTCAATGCTTCTGCAGCAGCCTCTGCCCACAAACCAAGCCCAGCAGGATTCTGTTGCTGCCCCTCCCCCCTCCCCAGGCCCCTTCAGAGAGTCAATATTGACCAGGCCCCTCCCCATCCAAGCAGCCAGGACAGGCCTCCCCAGGAACAGGAAGCAATCAATGGGGGGGGGGGCAGCGTTAAGGGGTGGGGATTGTTGCTGAGCTAAAGGGGGCTGCTGCCCTGGACCGCCTGAGGGCCAGACCTTAGAGGCAGCAACAGGCTCCCCTCTTCTTTCTTTTGCATCATAAGCAGATGGGGGAGGGGCGGGTTCTCTTCCATGAAGCCCCTGAGACCTCCTGCTGGGCCAGAACACCCTCAGCAGGGTGGCATTGGACAGGACAAGCTCCTGGGAAGATTTGCACCTGGCGCCTTTGGAGCAGAAACACCACGGGCGGATCCATGCAAGGACCCCTCAGAAATCATTAATCAATCAGAATAAACCTGGAAGGGATCTTGGAGGTCTTCTAGTCCAACCCCCTGCTCAAGCAGGAGACTGGCCTACACCATTCCAGACAAATGGCTGTCCAATGTTGTCTTATAAACCTCCAGTGTCGGAGCACCCGCAACTTCTAAAGGCAACTTCTGTTCCACTGCTTGATAGTCCTCACTGTTAGGAAGTTTCTCCTTAATTCTAGGTTGCTTCTCTCCTTGGTTTCCACTCGTCCTTCCTTCGGTTGCTTTGGAAAATAATGTTGCCTCAGTTTTCATTGTCTCAACGCCCCCTCCCCCCCACGCACTGTCTAGGACCTGAGATCTGTCCTGTGTTACCAGTAGTTGTGTCTGTGTTTGTGCAGGTAGGAGAATCTGTTTGAAGGACAAAGGAGAACCAGAATCCAGAATCTACCCCCAGAGCAAGCAGGGGATTATGGTATTGGCTGGCATGGACAGGCTTGAAGCACTTTAGAGACGCACCCTAAAGGGGGGAACCCCGGAAGCTTCGGCTGGTGGCCAAAGACCAGCGTGGCTGCTTCCTCTCTGAGCGAACCCAGCAATCAAAGGGAAAAGATCCGAGGGATTAAATCACTGAATTAACAGCTCTGTATCATCCTGTTTCAGTCATTTCGTCCTGCAGGAGTGAACATCCTCTAAAGCAGTGTTTCTCAACCTTGACCATTTTAAGGCATGTGGACTTCAACTCCCAGAATTCCACAGCCAGCAATGCTGGCTGTGGAATTCTGGGAGTTGAAGTCCACATGCCTTAAAATGGTCAAGGTTGAGAAACACTGCTCTAAAGACCCTTTCCAGCATCTCTCCCCATCTGTGCCGTTCTTTTATTTCGCTTTTATCCACCTGTCACTGTTTTATGCGGAGGAAGAGAGGCAGCTCCTGTCTCGGGTGTCAGAAAGCCGGATAAAGGAAGGGAGGAACAAATGACTGAAAGGCTGCGGGTGTCATTGCTCAGCAGAAGTGGTGGCCCTTCCTGGGCCAGGAGAGGCAATGTGTGTGTTTGTGTGGGGGAGGCAGAGTGGCTGGCTGGGAGAAACGGTCCAGGCCTTCCCAGGCTCATGAAAGCAGCCACTCTCCAAGCAGCCCTGGAATCTCACCCACAGACAAATATTATTTTGGGATTTCCCCCTCTTCTGGCAAGGAGAGGCTTCCGGCAGCAGTAACCATAACCAGAGCAGAAACTTTCAGAGACTGGGAAGGAGCCCCAACTTTGCCCCCAGAAGCAGCTGTGCTTCCCCAGCCACACTGCAGAGCCCTGGCAGATCTGCTTGCTCTGTGGCCCTTCATTGCTTGGAGGAGGGAGTGTGGCAACAGAGCCCCCTCCTCCCCTGCAGGCAGATGCAGACCCCCCTCCCCTTCATTAGCTGAACATCTGGATTCCAGCCAGCCTGGAAAGCCCGTTTTTGCCACGGGGAGAGGCACACTGGCGGATGGGCCTCTCATGGGGGTGCACTTACCCTCATGGTTTTGCCCCCCCCAGCATCCCATCTGCCTGGATCCACCAAGAAGAGGATCCCCTGGCTCTCTCTCTGGGGGAGAAGAGGCACCACTTCACACAGCCCCCCCCCTCCCGGGTTACTCACATCAGCTGCTGCCAAGTAGTGGCCGCCAGCTGGCTTTGCCTCTGAGGAAGGGGCTCCAAGGGGGCTCCTTGATTGATTGGGCCTTTCAGGCAGCAGAGAGAATTCTCTCCCCCCCCCCCAACCAGAATGAAGCTGTAAAGGCATGCAAGCAGTGCCTGGAGGAGGAGAGGACAAGGGGAGCCCCAACAGCCCAAAGGGGTCCCTCTGGTATGGGTTAATCAGCCCCTGCCTGGCTGGGCACCCCCCCCCCAGCTCTGCACCTCCCCTGTAGGAAGGCCAGCCTGCTCCTCTGGCATGCACCCATTCTCCATGGAGACCCCCCCCAGCCCCCCTGGGAACTTTGCCAGATGGGCACCTCTGGGGCTTTTGAAAATGGACCACTTGGACAGGGAGCACAGCAGCCCCGCAGCCCCTTCCCCTCTCCCCCATTGGGTTCCTGCCAACCTTCCAGCGCCTGTGGGCTGCCCACAGGAGAGGGGTCCCCTGCTCTGCAGTCAGGGAATCAGAGAGGAATCAGCAGCTTTGCAGTGTCCCCACCTCTGGCTTCAACAGCTGGGTTTTGTCGAGATGTGGGCAGCATCTGGCAGAGACCCAGGCATAGGATGGCACTTTGGGGTTCTGCTCTGCCCTTGCCAAACCCAGGAAAGTTTCGACCTTGGACCAGCCCCTTCTGCGAAGGCTCCTGTGGGGTCTGAGCCAGATCCACCCCCCCCCCCAGGAGGTCAGGCTTGTGCAAGACCAGTTGAGGCGGCTTCTAAACAAGACCAGAAGCGATGCGTTCAGGGCTTTTTCTGCACACCAGGAACGTCTGTCTTGCAAGGAGATCCCTTGCAAGCCCCCCTAGGGAGGGAGGGGAGCAGGGGAGAAGCCCCCAGAAACCTCTGGTCAGGCAGCGCATGACCCTGCAGAAGAGCTGTCCGGCACACAGATGCGACTCCCCCGGCTCCTCTCTACTCGTTTCCATCCACCTGTTGGTTTTGGAAGTGAGCAATTCTTTAGCCCCCCCCCCGCCTTTAAAATCCCTCATTCTCCCCGTTCGTGGGAACGTCTCGTGGTTTCCCAGGGGCGCCGCCACCTGCACTTTTCTCCCTAGCTACCCCCCCCCCCGCCAGATGGGCCAGCCGCGCATCTGGGGAGCGGAGGGGGCGCCTGGGCTGCGGTGGGGCGGAAGCTTCGGGTGAGGGAGCGAAGGGCAGGCGGAGAAGCCGTGCAAGGTCGCGCCCGGACGGAGCTGCGCACCTCTCGGGGCTTCCACGGAGCGACGCGGGGGGGGGAGCATCGCCGGGGAGGCTCGTGGGAGCCGCAGGAGAATTCCGGCGGGGCGGAGCTCGGGAGGCGGGGGGGCTCGCCTGGGGGGGAGGGGGGCTGGCGGCTTTCTCCGTGGGGAGCGAAAACGGGAAGTGGCCGCTTTGGGAGCGCTGAGAGCGGAAGGGGGAGGGGAGGATCCGGGACAGACTAGCGGACCTTTTGGGTTCCCGCCGTGCGTGGAATCGGCTTTGTGTTACCATTCAGCGATTAAAGCCAGCGCGAGAGTTTATGTTTCCGATTATGAGAATCCAGACAACGGGTTAACCCGCCGGGAGCTCAGCCAGCCGTGGGGATGCTGGACCGTGGCAGGCAGAAGCCTCCGAGGGCCGCCGCTTCGGACCGCGTGTCGACCCGGCCCCCGCGATCGCTGCGCGGCTGTCCGGCTCCGGTTGGCGGGGAGCTCCGGCGGGTCACGCGCGCCCTCTGCGGGCGGCCGGGGCTCCGCGAAGGTCGAGGCCGCGCCTTCCTTGGCTGCCTCCAGCCGCTGGGCCGTCGAGGGCGGGAGAGCTGGCCGGGCTGCCTCTTCGTGGCCGTCCGAATCCTGCAGCCGGAGACGGTCCCGTCGGGGGCACCGCCGCCCAGCCCGGAAAGAGGGGCTCCCCTTCCCCGCCGTTCCGGAGGGCTCCGGAGGAGGGGTTCTGGGGGGAGGCCTTGGGGGGCGGTGCAGCCCCCTCCCCAGACCTGCTTGCTGCGCCCACCACAGACACTTGCCAAACCTGGAGAACTGCTGACCTGTTCCAACATTGTGTGTGTGTTGGGGGGAGGGAAGCAGAGCCAGGAAATACGAATCCCTGGGAAGAGATTCCAGGTGGCCTCACCTGAACAAGGCCGCTTTGCTCCCTTCGCCCACCTGCGAAAGAGGGAGGGAGCAGGGGAAGCCCAGCCTCCTGGCAGCCGAGCAGGATTATCGGGCTGTGTCCCTGACTAGCCTGGACCTCCCCAGACACCCACCCTCTTTTCAATCCTGTAGAGCAGGGGTCCCCAATCTTGGCCCCTTGATGACTCGTGGACTTCAACTCCCAGAATTCCTCAGCCAGCCATGCTTAGGGGAAGGGGAAAGTTTCCAAGCTGAGCCAGGCTGGCTGAGGAATTCTGGGAGTTGAAGTCCACGAGTCATAAAGGGGCCAAGGTTAGGGACCTCTGCTGTAGAGGCTGGCCGGCCCATTGCCCTGGATGAGGACCCCACGGAGGCTCCCTCTTTAGCCAGAACCGGCCAGGAGGGCTCCTCTGTTCAGTGGGGAGGGCCCCCTCACCCGGAGAAAGAGATGCCAGCACCCCACTGCTCCAGGGGCTTCAGCGCCTTGCTTTGGGGTGGTCGTGGCCTTGGGGCGGCAGGCCAAGTGCTCCAGAGGGACAGCAAATGGAACTCCGCAGCTGGCTGGGCTGTTTACACAGAGACGTAATTCCAGAGTCCCCCATTAAGTTCCCCTTCAGGGGAACAAAAGGAGACCGTGGGGCTGGTTGGGGCCCTTGAACTCAAGATGTTAGTCCAATATTTGCCCCCAGGGAGAGCCAACCTGAGGTGGTAGGAATTCTTCCCTCGCTCGCCCTCCCTCGGAGTGCCTGAAGGGAGTGTGGTCCATCTGGCTGTCCCTGCTGGCCTGGGGTGCCAGCCACCTTTGCTGGAGAAGGAGAGAGGAAGCAGCGCTGGCATTTTCCTGGTTCTTCCTTGCCCCCTTTGGGCACAGCTCAGCACCCCAAAGGCAAGCCTAAACTTACCCAACAGGTTTGGGAAGGGCCACTGAATCTGGGGCTGCAGGATCCTGCCCAGCCACTAGGGGGCACCAAGCGGTTCAAGAACTGAAACACTCGGTTGCCATCTAGTGACCATCAGGGAGTTTGCAGCCCAGCTGGCAGCTCCACTGCAAATTTACCCAAACATAAGACAGTTTTAAGTGGGAACACTGCAGTCTTTAAATTAACATTGTGGTCACTAAGCGAACTCATTTGCTGTGGCAGTTTGGTTTTGCCCTAAATCAGAAGTCAGTGCCTGTTTTCAGCGAAACCATCATAAATCACCATCAAATGAGCCGCAGGGCTGTAAGGGTAGCTGTAAAAGTGCAGTCACTGAACTGCGGGTGGGTGGGGGAGGATCCCAGCATGGGAACTTTGGATCTATCTCCAAAAGCCTCCCTTTTCAGGTAGGTCGTAACTCTGAACGGTCACTAAGTGGTTATACGTTGAGGACTTCCGGTGGGCCCGAAGAGGATGGGACACCCCCGATCACCACATTGCTCCCTCCTTTCTTTGATCAATTCTTCTCCGTTTCTTCTCCAGAGGGAGCAAACAAAATCAGCCCCCAATGACGGCCACTCAGGAAGGTCTCCTGTCCTAAAAAGTGCAGATACCAAAAATAAATATCCGAAGGGGGGGGGGCTCCCCTCAAGGCTTGGCCTGAAGAAAGGGACTGTGGGTGTCTCCTCCTGCCCACCAGGGCTCCCCCTGCACAGCTGGTGACCCCCAGGGCAGAAGCAGAGCTGAACCAGCTGATTTAGCAAGGGGGGCAGGACAAGGGAAGAGGCAGCCAGAGGATCCTTGCGGGGAGGGGCTCCCCCTAAGCCCTTCAGCGCTGGTGGCAGCTTCCAGACTGTCTTCAAGGGGAGCCCCATCTGGAACCTGTGGAGGTAATCCAAGTGCATGGATGGATAATAGGGCAAGGGGCTGCTGGAGTCCGGCCATGAGGGGACGCTGCCATCATTTATTGAGTTGCTGGACTGATGCCCTGCTTTGCTTGCAGGACCATCCCCCTCTACCCAAGCCCCCTGGGCTGAGAGCCCCAAGTCCCCGGGGTCTGGCCTGTCTTGGGGGGCTTCGGCCTGGTCTCCCTGGTGGTCCCTGGGCTGCCCTTTCTTGCTCAGCGGAGGGAGGTCCAGGTCCCACCTGCTCTGGGATTTGGGCTCCCTCCACTGCTGCCAGTCTGGGGCACCCTTGGAAGGGCCGTGTGTGGGGCACAGATGCCCCTTCCTTGCAGAGGCCTCACCTGCCTCGCTGGCCCCCTTGCCCGAGGGCTCTGCTGAGGGGCAGGTGTGTGTGTGTGTGTGAGTGAGGCTGCGCTTGTCTCGACCTGAGCTGCCGCTGGGGGCTGCCCTGCGCTTCCCCCTCCCCTGGCCTTTCCTTGTAAGAGGGGGGAGGGCTGGGGGGGTGTCGACACCTCAAGCTCTTTCTGCTCCGGTGGGCGCAGACAAGGTGGGCATTAACTTCCCTCATGCAAAAATCATTAGAAACAAAAGGCCGGAGATGTCCCTCGCCCCGGACAAGGCTGCCAACAAATGGGGCAGGAACCCCAGCACAAAGGGCTCCCCCCTCCCTGAATTAATTTACCTACCTCAGAGCCCATTCAGGGAGGGGGGGGAATGTCACTTTGGGGGTCGCCTGTTACAAGGCAAGATTGGACTGGCCTCCACCAGCCCTTTGTTGCTGCATAAAAGGCATAAAAAGGAGGGGGCATGCCGGGGAGGGGGAGGAATAGGCGTAAAAAGGAGGGCGTGCGGGGGGGGGGGGCGGAAGAACCCCACCTCCAGTGCAGCAGGACGGAGCTGAGCCTTTGCAAATGCAAAATGCCTTCTTGGCTTGCTGGTGGTTGATGCTGGCAGGAGAGGGAGGAATTGGGGCTGGGGGAGGTGTATGTGTGGGTGTGGGTGTGTCTCAAACCCACTGTTGCTCTTTCCCTAAGAAAACAATGGTTTTTAAGAAGAGACTGGACAGTCACTTGTCTGAAATGGTGTAAGTTTTCCTGCAGTGAGCAGGGGGCTGGACTAGAAGACCTCCAAGGCCCCTTCCAGCTTCTATTCTATCCTATCCTGTTCTGTTCCGTATTCTATTCCGTTCCATTCTGTTCAACCACTGGGCCTGGTGTCCCTTGGGATGGGCTCACCCCTGTGGGCAACCTGGGGCTGCAGAGATCCGCACGTAGGCCCATGGGCCTCCTCGGGCTGGGCAGGCTTGGTCAGGAAGCCCGGAAGAAAAAGGGCCCTTTGCAGGGGTCCCCCTCCTTGGCCAGCCCTAAAAAGAGCTGAATTCATTCCCCCCCCCGTGGCAGACAAGGGGGAGGGCCGGAGTTCAATGGAAGGTGACCACAAGCACAACATCTCTGGCCGAAGGGCTGGAACAATCTGCAAGGCCTTCGGGAGGGGCCTCCCTCGGCCAGGCAGGCAAGGAGAGGAGAAACGGAGGCGGAGGCGGGAAACCCAAGGAATTTGCCAGCCTGAGAAATATTAAAAGCTCCGTCAGGGAAGAGGAGCTCCTGAGCGGATCTCCCAGGGCTGCGCATCCTCACGAGGCCCCGGCGTCCACCTGCTGCTGCCTGGCCAGGGTTGTTCTTTCAACACACAACCAGGATCGGATTCCCAGAAACACGGAAAAGAGACGTGGGTGGCCGAAGGGCCGCTCTGCTCCGTCTGAAGACGGCAGCCAAATCAACAGAGGGCATCCCACCCACCAGGTCTGCAGAAAGAGCCCTCTGCTCATTGGGGGGGGGGGACGGGACCCGAGCAGGGGCTGCCCCCGCCTTCCTCAGGCCCTCTCAAGTGCTGCAAGCAAGCCTGGGATGACTTTGCCAGACCTTTTCTCTCTTCTCTCCCCCCCCCCAGGGGTGGGGCTGGGGGGGTGGGAAAGAGGAGACGGGGAAGGAACATCTCAACCTCCTGCACAAGATGCTAATTTTTTTTATTTTAAGCCTCTCGTTTCTTACACGTAATGGAGAAGAAGGGAGAGAAGACCATCTCGGGATGAACATTCCTCCCTTCCGTTTATCCCGTCTTCAAAATAAAAACAGAATCACACAATCTGGACGCCACCTGCAAGATGCCACTTCAAGGATGCCATAAAGTCCAGGTTTCTAGTGGCCTCCTTGCTTTGCTTCTCCTTCCGATGAGCATCTATGAAGTGACCGTCTTTCTAAGAGCAGCAATTCCTTCTGGAACATTCTGGGAGAGTCCAAAAAATCCAGCAGAGGGATCTGCTTTCCACGGACTCCAGAGCAGGGCTTTGCCTTCCCCGTAGCCTTTTTTGACTGAAAGACAAAAGCCTGCAAATGAATTTACGAATATGCAGTAGTCATCCAGGCATGCAGCTGTCCTCTCCTGGGTCAATGCTGCTAACATCCGATGTTTTGCATTGACCACAGATGGAAATGTAGCCCTCTTTTTCCCTTTTGCTTTTGGAGTTAGAATATCAGTGTTTCTCAACCTTGACCATTTTAAGGCATGTGGACTTCAACTCCCAGAATTCCACAGCCTGCAATGCTGGCTGTGGAATTCTGGGAGTTGAAGTCCACATGCCTTAAAATTGTCAAGGTTGAGAAACACTGAGTTAGATGATGCTGGGGGGGGGGGATGTGAATGAGAGTCCAGTTAGACATAACAACACTAAACTTAGCGTGAGAATCAAGGTTATTGGGGCTGAGAGCTGATAAAGAATTGAAGGGCTAGAGAGCTGGAGAGGAAGCCGGGGCTTCAAGGTAATTGGGGAATGTGCTTTGATACTACTGTGCTTTGATACTACTGTGCCCAGGGGAGAGGAATTCAATTTTTGGCTTCGATTATGTAATGCCTCTGTTATGCTACTCAAATAAAAGGTCCTTTAAGGTAAACAATGCCTCCAAGTTCTTTTGAAGAGTTTCATCTGTCGGAACCGGGACATTCTGGGTGTCTCAAACCCTGCAGCTTCTGCCCAGACTCAGCGCCCTCACCTGCTCGGCTCCCCTGAAGCAGCAGAGACCAGAGGACAGCCACCCCGAGTCCAAGCCCCCCAAGGATTTTACAGGCAGGGGCTGGGAAGGCCTTCCGGGGAGCAAAGGCTTAAAACAGTGGTTCTCAACCTTTTTAATGCCGTGACCCCCAACTGGTGGTAAGTCGAGGACTACTCAACCGGTCGTAAGTAGAGGACTACTCACTGGTGCAGCACCGTTTGCAGAATGGGACTTTTGGCGGGCTCAGCAGGGCAGAGACAGCCTGGACAATTCCTATTGGCTCTTGAAAGCCAATAGAATTAGACTCTATTCAAGAGAGTCTATTCTATTGGCTTTCAAAAGCCAATAGAATAAAAGGGAGTAGCACAGCTAAGGAAAAGGGGGGAAAAATGGCGGACTGCGTTGTTTGGCGACCCCCGTGAAATGGTTGTCCGACCCCAAATGGGGTCCCGATCCACAGGTTGAGAACCGCTGGCTTCAAACAAATTGTGCTGGAGTCAGGAGCTCCAATGACAGCCCAGACACTGACTAGCAGGCCCAGCACTGGGGGGGGGGGCACGAGAATCAATTGAATGACAGAATGCCTAGGGAGATTCCAAGGTCTTTTTCCAAAACGCAACTGGAATGTTTTTTCCTTGTGGAAGGAGAAGAAGGAGACCTTTTGCTTCTCATTCGAGAGGCTTCTTTGGGCCTGGCATCCGGCCTTCATCTGCTCATCCAAGATGAAGCTTCTCGGAAGAGAAGCGAAATGTCTTCTTCCTTGGGGGAAAAAACAGTCCAGTTGCCTTTTGGAAAAAGCACTATGGAGACAATAACGAAGCTAAAAGGGACTTTGGAGGTCTTCTAGTCCAACCCCCTGGTCAGGTAGGGGACCCTGGACCTTTCTAGATAAATGGCTGTCCAGTCTCTTCTTAAAGACTTCCAGTGTTGGAGCATTCACTGCTTCCGGAGGCAGGTTGTTCCACTGGTTAATTGTCCTCACTGTCAGGAAGTTTCTCCTTAGTTCCAGGTTGCTTCTCTCCTTGATGAGTTTCCATCCGTTGCTTCTTGTCCTGCCTTCTTCAGGGGCTTTGGAAAATACGGTTGACCCCCCCCCATCTTCTTCTTTGGGGCAGCCCCCCAAATACTGGAACACTGCTATCATGTCCCCCCCTAGTCCTTCTCTTCGTTAACCTAGTCATACCCAATTTGAGAATATGTCTGGTTTAATGAAAACAAAAATGAGGCAGGGTCTCCAAGAAGAAGCACAAAGATCAACTGGATGATCCCCCAGAGCCATTTTGACTCGAGTTGTTGGGAGTTGGGCAGTAGGCAAATTTAATAAACAAACAAACAAACAAACAAACAAGAGGATAAGTAAGAGAACTCTTGGGATCAGGCCAGGGGCCTCAGTAAGGGAGCCTCCACGAGAGAGAATGCCTCCAGGAGGACACCAGCCCAGAAGCACCCTAAGCCCCATCCTCTGTAATCAGTGTGATAAATTCCAGACACCCCTCCTCCCCCCCCCTCACCAGCCAAGGAGGTCCTGGCTGGAGATGAGAAGACCCAACTCTTGACAAGAGCAACTGAAGGTATGGTGGTCGTGTAAAAATATAAAAGCTTTTTGGACTAAGATATGGTGGAATATCCAAAGAATTTTTAGAAAGAGGGTAAAATTTACTCCACAATTGTTTTTGTTAGGTATTGTTACTGATTGTGATGCTAAGGAGGTTATATTGATGTTGAATTTGATTACAGCCGCAAGGCTGTTAGTAGGGCAATATTGGAAGAAGGAATCTTTGCCTACCTTGCAAGAGTGGCTTTTTAAAGTTTCCTATCTGGCGGAAATGGCAAAGATTTCGGCTTTCTTAAAGGAGCAATCGCAAGAGAAATTTTTTGCCGTATGGGAAAAATGGATAAATTTCACACAATACAAATTGGATATAAAAAAATACCATTTAGCCTTTTTATAACTTGTATATAAACTTTGATATTTTATAGATTGTACTTTTTCTCTTTTTTCTTTTTTTATCTCTTTTCTTCTTTCTTTTTTCTTCTTTTTTAAGCACTTTTTCTTTTTAATGCTTATGTTTTTTTTTGTTATATATATCTTATTGTTAATTATTTTATAAGTTGTTTAACTTTTTTTTAGGATTTTTAAAATTTTAATTAAGCCTATATTCAGCTCTGGGAAGCTCGGGGGGGGGATGGAGGGGGTGGTTTGGGAGGGGTTGGGTGAGGGTTGTTTTGTTTTTTTTGTTGTTGTCTCTTTTGTTTTTTGTAAAAACTTTTAAAAATTTTCAATTAAAAAAAAAAAAAAAAGAGCAACTGAAGGCCCATCGAAGAAGCTCAGCAGCCTTACCTGGTAAAGCCATCACTTTTCCTCTTGGTGAAGGGCTTCGATGAAGACTTCAAGCTTCTCCTGGATCTCCCGAACTTTTTCTGGAAAATAAAATAAAAAAATCAAGTTCCTGCCTTCAGGCCCAGAGAAGGAAGCCGAGGAAGGCCCCCCATGGTCTCCGGTTCATCTTCTCTCCCATCCGTTGTCAGAAGGCAAACGGCAGGCAAGGTGGTTCATCCAGAGGTGCTCCCTGACCTGCTACTTTAAGACTTGTGGACTTCAACGGCCAGAATTCCCCAGCCAGCAGGACTGGCTGGGGAATTCTGGGAGTTGAAGTCCACAAGTCGAGTCGGCAACTCCTGATCTAGATGAACTGGACCAAAAGCTGGGAAGCGACTAGGCTGGGAAAAGCTTAAACTTGGGACACCTGAATTTTATTTAGTAGAGTTTTCATTTAAAATATTATCATTTAGCAAATACTACATTGCAATGAAAAAATAAAGTTTGCACAATGGCATTCAACAGCACGTATTGGTTATATTCCTTTCCGGGAACGCCCGGAAGCGCAATTGAAACGTGTTGTGCAAATGGAGAGGGGGGGGGACTTCAGGGATGGGAATCGGGTCTTCTCTCAGCCTTCTCCGAAAGCCCCCCTGCCCCCCCCAGAGGCCTTGAACTGGGAACAAGAGAGACGTTGGGGAGCTGACACTTTGGGATTACCAGTGACTCCCCAGGAAAATAGTGAGTCTGCTGGATCCAGTGCTGGGAGCCAGGCTCCCTTCCTCACCCACGGAGACAGGGAAGGATAAGCCCCCAGGAGCCCCAGATGGCACCGGCTGTGAGAGGAGACAGGAGGACTTGGGATCCCTCTGGCAGGCAGGGCGCCAGGGGCCAAGACTGGCAGCTTGGGCAGAAGAGCCGCTGAGACAAGCAGCCATCCTGCCCCATCTCCTTGGCAGAGCTTGGCCTGGCCCCAAGACCAGGAACTGGACGAGGCAGGGCGGAGTCTGGAACTGGAAAACAAGGAGAAGCCCAACTGGCAAGAGGCACCCCCCGCCCCCGGGCCTTATTCCCTCAGGGGCACCTTGATATGTGCCGACCCCGAGCCCCTTCTCCTGCTTTGCCAGTCATCTGGACCTGCCCGTTACAATTATTATTAAATCTGTTTGCTGCCCATCTTGCCCCAAGGCAACTCACCCCCCCTCTTGCTCCAGATGTCGAGGAAGGATGCCAGACAATGCCCCTTGGGGAGGGTGAGAGAGGAACACCCTGGTTCTCCTACACCTGTTAAACAGCCCCCCCCAAGGCACAAAGCCCCCCCGCCCCCGTCCCAGCCGCAAGGAGCAGGATTCTGCAGCAGCCGGCGGGGAGCGCTGAACCCCCTGCTCCTGCCATTGACCGGGTGTTTGCTCAAAAGATGAGCCGTCCTGGCCCCCCTCTTCCCAGCCCTTCATCTGGTCATGAATATTCCCATAATCCTTTCTCCCAACATCCCGTCAACTCTGCCCGACACAGAAGGAAGAAAGCCTGGGCTATTCAGCGGCTTCAGGAGACCCATTCATCTTTCCAGCCTCTTTGTCCCCACATGAAACAACATCCATGGGCCACTCATCTCCCTTGCGTTAATCCTCTGATCCGGGGCTCAAAAACAGACTAATTGATCTGTAATTAGGATCTGAATACACACAGAGAACACAGGAAGACCCGGCTCCAGGACTGAGGCGGGGAGGGGGGGCTCGGCTCAAGAGGGGAAGGCGCCTTGAAACACAACCGCTCAGGATCAGCCGGGGGCACCACAAGGGCCTCACAAAAAGCAGCTGTGGGCATCTCAGCCCTAAAATCAGGATAGAGCTGGAAGGGACCTTGGAGGTCATCTAGTCCAACCCCCTGCTCAGGCAGGTAACCCTATACTATTTTGGATAAATGGCTGTCCAATCTCTTCTTAAAAACTTCCAGTGTTGGAGCATTCACCGCTTCTGGAGGCAGGTTGTTCCACTGGTTAATCGTTCTCACTGTCAGGAAGTTTCTCCTTAATTCCAGGCTGATCCTCCATGGGCCGCCCTGACTGTCCTCTCTGTGGCTTCTGCACCAGCAGCGAAGGCACAAAAGGCCACATTGCAAACGCCGAACGGAGGCCTCTCAATGCAGAGTTTGGCCACCTGTGGCTGCGATGGGAAGACGTCACGGGCAAACCTGGGAACGGCGATGGGGTTGTGACTGACAGGTTTGGTTTATTAAACTCACTGGTCGTTTGCCACAAAGCTTATCCTGCCATTAACGTGGCACTCGTGAACTGTTTCTACGGCTGACTGACAATCCCTTCTGGATTCTCTTCCGAATGGCGGGTTAGTACGGGGCCTCAGAGGCCAAGACTTTGCCCCCGGGATGCCCAGCCCGAGCGAGCGAGGTCACAGCTACCAAACAGCCCAGCGATGGTGAAGCTGCCGGATCTGATCTGCCGGCCTTTAAGAAGGCCGTTAAAACCCTCCTGTTCCGGTAGGCCTGGGGCTGATGTCCCCGGGGGGCCGGGATATGATCAGACTCGCAGTATGACTGCTTTATTTTATTGTTTTATCATTGTTTTAACTTTGTACGCAGCCCTGAGTCCTTTGGGATTGGGCGGCATATAAATACTGAAATAAATAAATAAATAAATAAATAAATCTAGTCATGCTGGAGGGGTTGCCGACAGGAAAGGGCAGGGCTCTGGCCTTCAAGGGAGGCTGTGGGAGATCTGGGGCTGAGGGCTTCCAATGGCCCCTCCAACAACGTGGGGTGCATTTCTTTCACTAGGTTCTCCCTTTCCCCAGAAAGTGTTCCAATATCTGCCACAAAGAGGAGGGGGTCAGTTTGCTCTCCAAAGCACCAGAAGGCAGAAGGAGAAGCAAGAGAAGGGAACTCATCAAGGAGAGAAGCAGCCTCTTGATCGTGAGAACAATGGATCAGCGGAACTACCTGCCTCCAAAAGTTGTGAACGCTCCGACACTGGAAGTTTCGAAGAAGAGATTGGATGGCCACTTGTCTGAAATGGCATAGGGGTTAGACTAGAAGACCTCCAAGGTCCCTTCCAAGTCTGTTACTCTGCTAGAGCTGAAAATGGCCTCCAGGAAGACAGGGCTTCCTTCTTCCTGAGGCACCCAGGAGGCTCCCAGTTAAAGGGAGCTGGGGAGGGGGCAGGGCCTAAACCGCCAAAGACCCCCAGCCGAGACCTTCGCTGGCTTCCCCTCCCCCTCCGGGACTCTGAGCTGGCTGCAGACCTTCCGTGACCCTCCCTCTTCCGGCATGGGGAGGAGGACCCCATTGTGACTAAAAGCTGTTAGAATGAAGTGAGCTGAGCCGGGGGTCAGGCCCCACTGAATGGCTGGGGTCTTTTGGCCAGACTGCTTGACAGCAAGGTCCCCCCCCCGCTTTGGAGCGGGTCCCCCTTGTTCACCCCCCCCCCGAGGAAAAGGCCAAACCGGGAGGGAAGCCACCCAGGTCAGCCGGGTGGAGACAGAACCCCATCCATCACTGGCCAAGACAGATTGATGGGAAGCCCCCCCACCCCCCAAGGCTGGAAACCAGATGGGCAGTGAATGGGCGGGGGGGGGGGTGTCATGGCAAGGTGGGGAGGGTCTGCCCGTTGGAGGAGGCGTTTGTGCTGCCAGCAGAGAAAGCGGGTCAAGATGGAAATGGGGCGGCCGGCGGGTGGCTGGGAGGCCCTCCCTCGCCTCAGCCACAAAGGCCGGCCCTGTTCCCCGTCCCACTGCCGGGCGGGTGGGCGGGAGAAAGAGGGGCTTGTCCCAGGCTCTGCCCTGGCCTGGGCTTCCCTGAGAGGCCGAGATGAGGCCGGGGGATTCTTCCCCCATTAGCTCACCGGCCCAAGGAAGCCCCAGGACAAAAGCAGCCAAAGAGAAGCCCTCTGAGGGAGACGGGAGCAGTTCAGGAGGAGTCACCCCCCCCACCGAATCAGGACGAGGGGGGCGCCCAGGGAAAGCCGACACCACCAGCCACGCTCCCTCACTGCCAGGCAGGCAGTCAAGGGGCCCCTTGTCAGCGCCTGCCCCGGAGCGAAAGTGCGTCCTGCCACGCTGAAGCAAAGCCTTCCTGGGGTTCCCCCCACACGGGAGACGGGGAAATCACGGCAACATCCGTGACACGGGTCAGCGGGGTGTGTGTGTCGGTGTCAGCCTCCTCCCCACCTGCGTCAGAGGCCCATCAATCCCGCTGCCGGAACCCTCACTGGAACCCTCACCAGATCCGGGAGGGAGGAAACCCCCCAGGACACCCGAGGGGGGGGGGACCGGGGCCTGGGAGCCCAGCACTCTCCTGGAAGGGGACGGGGCTTCCCAGGGAAGGAGCTCCCCCCGGGGGGTCTGTTGACTTAGCCACCCCGGCAGGCAGCCCGGCAACTGTGCCCCGAGTGGCCCCCTGGCAAAGCTTCCGGGAGGAAGGATCTGGCTCAGAGGGAGGAGGGGCTCCCCACTGCCAAATTGGAGGGGGGCTAAGAGGGCGTACCTAGAGGGGGAACATAGAAGGTGCCCCCGAGTCCCTGGATCAGCACCACCTCTGTCCCCCACCTGCCCCCTCCACAGCTCCTCCTCCCCCAACTGGCTCCCAAAGGCTCCTGAGGGGCTTCCGACGGTCAAGAGGCCCCCAGCAGCTTCTGGAGCCATACGGGATTCTGCTGGGGGGGGGGGAGTACAACCAGCCCCTTTCCTCCTCCCACCCACCGGAGCTTTCCTAATCCCTGCGGTAAGAGATCGTTTTCAACAAGTAGGAAGATGCGGGGGGGGGGAATTCCTGGTGAAGGAAAATCAGCCCCCTCAGGCTTCCCTGGAACGGAAGGAGGGAGGTGTGTGTGTGTGTGTATGTATGTGTGTGCGCGCCAAAGAAGCGACCGAAACCTCACTGCCAGTTCCAATCCTGACAGAGGTGGGACCCAGCCAGGATAATCTCCAAGATGAGCCTGGACTCCAGAGCAGGAGCAGCCCAGGCAGAAAGTGGCAGGTGGCATTTTGGGCTCAAACTGGATGGTCTGGTGTCCCATCACCCTTTTTAAAAAGCAGCGAGGGGGCCCAGCTGGGCCTCTCCCCTTTGCCAGCACCCAGAGCTGGCCTTTTGCTCTGCTCTGGGGGAGGGCATCCGTCTCACTCTGCCCCTCTGAGCTGCCCCCGATGGGCACATCCCATCGGCCCATTCGTGTGCCATGCGGAGCCACACACCCACTGGATGCCACCCCCCCCCAGTTCCCTCCCAGGGACCAGGAGCAGATCTTCGGGCGGGGGGAAGAGAAATCAGAGCAACGGCAGGTAGTAGGGAAGACCACCCACCCACAATGCCAGGACCAGGGTCTCTGTGGCTGCTTTGAACAGGCTGCTGCTGCTTTGCGCTGACCCCTCTCCTGGCTAAGGGCCGGTCTGGGCCACTGCTGCCCGGTGGGGTTAAGCTAACTCTTGGCAGGACCTCAAACAGTTCCTGGACCGTCCCTTCTGTAGCTCCAACTGGGGGGGGGGTGAGTGCATCCCAAGAGGGTCTCCTGCTTCTCAGACCTTCCTCCACCACAAAAGCTGGTTTATGGTTTCTCCTCAGCGTGAATGCTGACGCCCCTGAAATTCTAGCATTGATGGTGTTACCTCCCTGGGTAAAGAAATGTCTGCAAGAAAAGAACCCAGAGCGAGGCTCAGCCAATTTCACTGTATACATGTTATACTTTGATAATAAAGGGTTTATTTACTTGAGAGAACCAGCCCCCCCCCCTTGTTACAACCCTGGGCTGCCAATATTCTCCTTCTTCGACAACACAGCATCAGCACAGGAGCCTTCAGGTTTTGGGGTTCTATAACTTCCCAGGACAGGGGTAGGCAACCTTGGCTCTTTTATGACTGGTGGACTTCAACGCCCAGAATTCCCCAGCCAGCCATGCTGAGGGGAAAGGAGAGGTTTCCAAGCTGAGCCAGGCTGGCTGAGGAATTCTGGGAGTTGAAGTCCACCAGTCATAAAAGAGCCAAGGTTGCCCACCCCTGTCCCAGGACTTGGACTGGACCCCTGACCCTAGAACCCTCATCCAAAAGGCACCAGGGAGAATGTCCTTCCTGCACCAACTCAGGAGGCTCAGGCTGCCCACGGAGCAGCTGATCCGGTTCTACGGAGGAATCGCCGGGTCCTTCATTAGCATCTCCACAACTGTCTGGTTTGGCACAGCAACCACACAGCAGAGGTGTGGACTCCAATGGATTGTCAGGACGGCAGAAACAGAACAACTGCAACCAGCCTGCCTTCCGCTGAGGACCCGTCTATTGCGCAGGTCAGAAGGAGGGCCGGGAAGATCTCTGCAGATCCCTCACATCCTGGACACAAACTGTTTCAGCTCCGCTCCTCCAGATGGCGCTAGGGAGCACAGCAGGCCAAAACAACTAGACCCAAGGACCGTTTTTTCCCTCCTGCCATCACTTTGCTGAACGCCTAATTCCCATGTCTTATGTCTAAGGCAGTGGTTCTCAACCTTTTTAATGCCGCGACCCCCAACCTGTCGTAAGTCGAGGACTACTCAACCGGTGCAGCACCATTTGCAGAATGGGACTTTTGGCGGGCTCAGCAGGGCAGAGACAGCCTGGACAATTCCTATTGGCTTTTGAAAGCTAATAGAATTAGAGTCTATTCAAGAGAGTCTCTTCTATTGGCTTTCAAAAGCCAATAGAATAAAAGGGAGTAGCACAGCTAAGGAAAAGGGGGAAAAAATGGCAGATTGCTTTGTTTGGCGACCCCCGTGAAATGGTCGTTCGACCCCAAATGGGGTCGCGACCCACAGGTTGAGAACCACTGGCCTAAGAAGATTCACCCACATAGGAGGGCTGTGGTATTATTATTATCCTTATCATCTTCTCTACTGCTTTCTCTTATTGGTATCATTATTATGATTATTATTATTGCACATATACCGAGAGCTTCTGCAACGGAGACAAACCCCTTGTGTGTCTAATCACACTTGGCCAAATAAAGAATATTCTATTCTAGTCTGTTCTATTCTTCTATTCTTATTGGTAGCACCGAAATTCAAGAAGCCGAGCATATTTCCAATGGCATAAACATGTAGTAGTTCAGACTGCTTTGCCCAGAGCTTAATCACGACCCTCAGGAAAGAGAGGAAATGCATGCAAAAAGGCGGGGGGGGGGACGGCAGGGGCGGTGAGAGACCTGCACAAAGGCCTGCCTTCTTTGGGGGGGGGAATGACACCCCCCTTTTAGGACAGCCTCTTTGGAGCAGAGGGGTGGTGGGAGGGAATCCCCCGTGTGTTGTGAATGACAGCAAGGCCTCCCGGCAAGAGAGGCTGGGCTGCCTGATTCTCCCTAGGCCTCCAGGGGTGGGTGGGTGGGGTGGGGGACAAGCCCGGACAGGAGAGGGCCTTGGTGGGCCAGGAAATGCTCCTCATGCAGGAATTCAGCTGGAGATTACCCAGCACAAACACCCACGGAAGCTCCGCTCAGCGGCTGCCACTGGGAGAGAAACCCCCAGCCCTTTGCCTGGCAGGAAGCTGGCTGCCCCTCTCTGCCCCCCCCCCAGGTATCTGCCCCTCTGGCAGCTAGGCAAACAAGACCCCCCCCAGCCCGTGGACTCTTCACCCCCCCTTTTTCCTGCCTGCAGGAGAGAACCAGGGGGGGACTGTTCCTCCTGGCTGAAAACTGGCTTGAAGGCTTTCCATGCGTGTCCTGGCTTTGGATACTTACAAGGGAGGGGAAGCAGGGATACAGGAAACTGAGGACCCACCAAGGACACTCTCACCCACTCTGAGCAGGGCAAGCCACTTCCCATGAACAGAGAGCAGACCCCCCCCCAGCCCTGATGATGTTCCCCAGTCGGGTCACGAGACGCCTGCAAGGAGACTGGCAGGCTCAGAGGGTCCCAGGGACCCCATAGTCCTCCTCCTCCTCCTCCCTGCAAACCCCACTCTCTTCCAGTCCTGATGATGTTCCCTGGTTGGGTCACGAAACGCCTGCAAGGAGACTGCCAGGCTCAGAGGGCATCAGGGACCCCCCCCCGCCTCAGCGATTCTCTCCCCCTGGGTGAGCCACACAGTCCGGAAGGCTCCCAGAGGGAGGCACCCACACTGCAATGCCTCTCGCGGACTGTGGCTCAGACAAAGCCAGGACCCAGGGAGGCTCAGACACAAAGACCCAGAGGCAGCCAAGACGGTCTGGCCAGGCGCTTCCTGGGGTTCTTAACCGCGCAGAGCCCAGCACTTCTCCAGTGGCAGAGCGTCCCACTGGCGCAGGAAGGGCCCCGTGACTCCAGCCAGGAATACTCACTGAGGTCCTCAGCCAGCTGCACTCGCTTCCCCGTCAGCAGCGTCACCTTCTTCCCACAGTCTTCGGCAAAGTCCTCCAGCACCTCCTTGACGTTCTTCTCCAGGCGCCTCACTGCAGAGGGGGCCTCGGGGTTAGCGGAACTATTTCTGTGGGGTGTGTGTGTGTGTGTGTGTGTGTGTGTGTGTGTGTGTATCTTGGAAGGGCTTTCTCCAAAGGCAGCTGGACTTTTTGTTTTTCCCTTGAAGACATTTCGCTTCCTGCTTCAGAACTGAGGAAGCTTCTCGGATGAGAAATGAAACGTCTTCAAGGAAAAAACGAAAGCCCAGCTGCCTTTGAAAAAAGCCCTTTTGGGACAACCTGGATCATGGAGGACCTCCACAGATGCTTCTGCAGGAGGGCGAAAGTGCTAGAAAGGGAGGCTGAGGGCTCCGAGGAATCAAAGAGGAGAAAACCGTGGGAGCCGGAGGGCACCTCCTGGGGGGAGGGGGTCCAGGATCCATATCCAAAGGAGACGGAGGTCTCGCCTTCAGCCAGGGCTGAGCACCCTGGCAGGAACGGAGCCACAGATGCCAAGCAGCTCCCCGGAAGGGCAGGTTTCCCAGATCCTGAAGGGGCGTCCGAGATGAAGTGGGGGCTGCTGGGCATGCCCCTTCTCTCCCACCCGCCACCCGGACGGCCTCTGTCCCCACCAGAAGCCCATCCATCCACAGCAGGGCTCCTACCTTCGGTGTTGGCCAGCTGCTGCCTCAGGGTGTTGGCAGTGATGGCCAGCATGCGCTGGATGCGCCAGAAGAGCACCACGTCGTTGCACTCCAGCTAGAGGAGCAGAGGGACACGGCGGTGAGCCCCAAAATCTGCTTAGTGCATGGGGGAGGGGGGGCTGTGCAAATCCAGCCCGGCCCAGCAGGTGAGCGTATAACGCACGAATCCAGAATGCAAGTAAAGGCAGAGAAGGGAGAACGATCCCACACGGGGGGGGGGGCCCTCGGAGAGCTCAGCACATTGCCCAGACAGAGCAGCTGGAACCAGATGTTCACTGCAAGACTGCCATCTAGTGGAACACCGCAGAAGCACCATCCTCTTGGAGCACGGACATCCCGACTGGGCAGGAGAGCCTCCCCCATCTCACACACACACAAACACACACTGGCTTCTCCGCTTACCTCCGAGTCCACAAAGTGCCTCTGGTAGTAGTAGAAGCCCCTCCGGCAGAGGTTGCAGTGGTCCAGGGATTGCTTCAAGAAGTGCTGCCTGTAAACCTGGTGCCAGGTGTCCTTGATCTGGGAGCAGAGAGAGAAAGGCCTGGTCCTTCAAATGGCCGGGCAAGCAAACCGAGGCTCTCTCGCTAAGGATATCTGGTCAGTCCTGGACTGGGGGAGGCCCTCTGCCGAGGCCCCCGTCCTGAGCAGAAGGCAATCCGCAAAAGACCGCCCTCCCTACTGTGTGGACGGAGAACGGCTGGCTATTCTGCCCGGACACCCTTGGGGAATGCCCTACGGTGCCCAGGAGAAAAGAAGAGGCCCATCTGCGGTCAGTTGCCCCGGCCGGCCAGGATTTAATTTCCTGTCCTTGGAGAGAAAGTGGCGGGGAAGGTCCTGGGGGTCACTGATGGCCATGAGCTCCAGGGAGAAATTCTGACACCGAGCAGAGAACGAGAGGGAGACAGAATCAGGGCTTCCAATGGTCAAAAAAATAAAAATAAAAATAAAAAAAGAATAAAGTACAACAGAGCAGCAGAGTTGGAAGGGACCCTGGAGGTCTTCCAGTCCAACCCCCTGCTCAAACAGGAGACCCCATAATGTTTCAGAGAAGTGGCTGTCCAGTCTCTTAAAAGCCTCCAATGATGGACCACTGGGTTGAATTATGGGACCCTCGTAGCTCAGTGGTCAGGAGGCAGCACTGCAGGCTGACTCTGCCCACAGCCAGCAGTTCGGGTCTCACCGGCTCAAGGTTGACTCAGCCTTCCGTCCTTCCCAGGTGGGTAAAATGAGGACCCAGATTGTTGGGGGGGGGGGCAAGAGGCTGGCTCTGTAAAGGGCTGTAAAGCCCTTTGGGGCAGCGTACACAAGTCTAAGTGCTGTTGCTAGTCCAGAGCCCCTCCCAGGATGCTTGTTTTTAGGGCCCACTTCCCCCAGGGGCCTGATCCAATGGCAACCCCGGACAGAGGAAGCCAGCTGGAGTTGTGCTCACTGCTGCTCCCACCTAGCACACCTCCACAAATCCTGGGGGGCTCCTCCCTGGCCGGCCACTCGGCCGCCAGCAAGTGCAAGAAGAAACCTTCCAGGGGAGGAGAGTGGGCAGATTGAGAGGAGGGGGGGTCTTACTGAAACCCTACCTTCCCCACCTCACGGAGTCCGAAGCCAGGCGCCTTACCAAGCAGGGGTCCACCGCCACCCCTCGGGCCTCGAGATTCTTCCGGACGGTGGTGACCTCGTCGTTGGCCAGGTAAGCCGGGTGCTCCTCGTTGCATCTGATCATCTTCTCCAGCTCGTTTTTGGTTTCGTTGCGGGTCGTCTGGCGTGGAAGAGGCGGAACGGCCCCGTCAGCCCCTCGCAAGGGGTGGGGGGGAACATTTCAGCGGTTACGGGTTGCCCTCCCCCTCCTGGCTTTTCCCCTGGGCTTGGGCCAGGGTGTGTATGTATGTGTGTGTGTTGGGGTGTTGCAGGAAGAGCCTGCCTGTTTAATGGAGGGCCTCAGTTTACCCTGTGTTTCTATTGGGGTTATTTTTACCCTGTCGGTTTATGGTTTGGATTTAAGCCGACATGAGTCCCTCCCCTGGGATTTGGGCAGCCATATAAATTGACTCAACAAATAAGGTTGATTGTGCTTCTCCTGGAAATTGGAAGGAAGGGACAGCAGGGCCACGCTTGACATTAATGAAAGATTCCCCACACTGAATCCTCGGCTTACACTATTTAGGGACCGATCAAAGTTACAACAGTGCTGAAAATAGTGAGTTATGTTCGTCTTTCGCACTTAACGACCGTTGCAGCCTCCCCAGGGTCACATGGTCAGAATTCAGTCGCCTGGCAACTGCTTCATATTTATGACGGTCGCAGTTTCCCCCTTTGCGACCACACAAGAAAAGTCACCTAACAACTGTGTTACTAACCTAACAACTGCAGTGATTCACTTAACAACTGTGGCAAGAAAGGTCACAAAATGGGGCAAATCTCACTCCACTCCTGTCTCACTTAGCAGCAGAAATGTTGGCTGTAAGTAGAGGACTGCCTGTGCAAGGCAGAGGGAAAGGCTAACCCTGGAGCAACGCTGAAGGAGGAATGCAAATGCCACCAAGGGGGAGACAGGCTGAGGCTGGAGGCCCCAGAGACCCCCACTGCCTCCCACTCCCCCAATAAAATGAGTTCTGAGGAAGGTGGAGGCACCGCTGGGGAAGGCCTGCCTCCCCCTGGGAAAGAGCAAGAACTGGCAGCCTCCCCCAGGGTGAAGGAGGAGAAGCAGGAGGAGGAAGCCCAGGGCGCAGAAGCGGGACTCACTCCGCGAGGGGGTGCAGCCGGCCACGCAGAGAAGAGGGAGCCCCACCAGAGGGAAGGGCCGACCCTGGGGTGAGACACCTGCGTGTCCCTTTACCTGCTCTTTGCTGCGCTTCACCCAGTACAGCCACCTTTTCCTCCAGTCCGGCCCCACCATGTCTTCAATGACCGATTCCGCTAGAGAGAAGCGAGACAGAGGCCCCCCCTGAGTCCCAGAGGCCAGAAGACCCTCGCCCAAAGCAGGGAGAGAAGAGGCGCCCGGCCACATTCGGGGGGGGGGGGCTGCCAAGGATCCACCACCCTCCCTTCCGGGCCTCTGACTTAGGAAGCCCTCCTCACTTCAGAGCAGTAGCTGTGAGGTGGCCCAAGAGAGGCTGAAACCGGAAGGAAGGAAGGAAGGAAGGAAGGAAGGAAGGAAGGAAGGAAGGAAGGAAGGAAGGAAGGAAGGGAGGGAGGGAGGGAGGGAGGGAGGGAGGGACACTCACTGTCCTTCAGGCGACTCTGCAGGGTCTCCTCCATGAACTGAATGGCGGCGTCCCACTGCTGCTTGTCCGAAATGGAGCGGTCCTCCAGGGCGTTGTGCTGGATCACCCTCTGCCAAGACGGAGCACCGGCATCAGGAGGGCCCCTCTGCCCCCGCCCCACCCGTCCCGAGGGAGCACGTGTGTGCATGTGGGGGGAGGGGAGGGGGGCTGGCCCTACCAGGCTGTCCTCTGCCCCCTCGTTCCACTTGTGCCTCTTGATGCTCTCCTCCTTCACGGCCTGCTTCAGCTTGTCAAAGATGTCGTCGTGCTCCTTGCCCTTCTGCTCGGTCATGAAGCGGGAAAACTCCTCCTGCAGGGTCTCCCAGGCCACCTGCGGAGGGGCGGGAGGGGCGCCTCAGCAAACAGCAGGCAAGGCACCCCCCCCCGCCGTGCCCTCTTGCGCCCTGTCTGCCAGCCCCAGCGGTTCACATGGGATTCCCCGTCTTCTCCAGGCGTGGACCACCAGGCCCCCTCCGAGCCCAAGCCTCTGGGTGGGAATTTGATGGGGGAGTGGGATTTATCCCCCCCAGCTGCAGGAGGGATTCTCCAGGCTGGAGTCCTCCCTCCAAAAAAGAAGCATTTACTTCTGGGTTTTGGCAAATGGTTTGGTTCATGATTAGTTTAATAATTGCAGGGTTAGCTTAATGACCACCACAAAAAAATTGGGTCTGTCACGTGACTGACTTTTATGGCCATCTGAAGTTATGATCATGGGCAGGCTCCATTAGTGTCAATAACAACAACAGCAAACAATAACAACAACAATAATAATGTTGGGAGGGACCTTGCAGGTCTTCTAGCCCAGTTAAGTGGTCCTAACCTGCCAGAGCCTTAAGCCAGTCTCCCTCCTGGCCTAGGGCCCCCCTCCAGAGGGGCAGGGGGCGGCAGACCCCTCACCCAAGGACCTCGGTCCCGCTGCCATGCCCACATTCGGGCTGAGAGACCGCCTGCGCCGGTGGAAGCTATTTAAGCCACCAAATCCAGGGGTGGTCCAATTTCAGCTGAACTTGAACGGCCTTTAAAAAGGGAAAAGAGGCTTCAAAGAGAGCCCACGTGGTGAGGAAAGCAATTGGCAGGGGAGGCCGCCTGGCAAGTGGGGCAGATTGAGGGAGAAGCTCTTGGCCCCCGTTCAGGAGCAATGCGCTGGGGGTCTCAGCATACTAATGCAGGGGTAGGCCACCTTGGCTCTTTTATGACTGGTGGACTTCAACTCCCAGAATTCCTGAGCCAGCCATGCTGAGGGGAGAGGTATCCAAGCTGAGCCAGGCTGGCTGAGGAATTCTGGGAGTTGAAATCCAGGAGTCATGAAGGGGCCACAGTTCCCCCACGCTGGCTGAGGAATTCTGGGAGTTGAAGTCCAGAAGTCATAAAAGAGCCAAGGTTTCCTACCCCTGCACTAGTGGAAAGCCTGGGTGGGGCAGGGAAGGCTCCGAGCGTGGAGGGGAGAGCAGGACTGGCCCTGCGTCTCCCAGAAAGGAAGGAAGAGGTGAGGCAGGGACGCCAGAGGTGTGTGTGTGTGTGTGTGTGTGTGTGTGTGTGTAGGGTCAGTGCTGCTGTCCTGCTTCGCCCCTCCACTGCTTTACTGATGCCAGACTGCCATGAACCAAGGGGGGGGGGGGAAAGGACCTTGAAAAACGAAAAGTAAGTAGTACTCTTAGTACCCGAAACTTTTCAGAATCTGGCTTCCCCGGCTTGGTAACCCCTTGGCTTTACTAAAAATGTAGGGTTTCCTGCCTGAGCAGGGGGTTGGACTAGATGATCTCCAAGGTCCCTTCCAACTTTATTATTATTACTAGAAAAGCAGCCAAAGGCTCTTCTTTCCTCAGTGACCCCACTGGGGGGGGGAGAAGGGCAACAACATGATCGGCCGCTCTGCTCAGGGGAGAGTCCCCCAAGAGAGGGCAAGTCCCCCAGGCTGCCACTCACCTCCACGGCCTTGTTGGGCAACTGCTTGTCTGTCCACTGCTTCAGCCGGATGTCCACGGTGGTGTTGAAGGTCCCGGCATTCAGAGACTGGGCTGCTGGAAGGTAGATGTTCTCTATCACGTGGGTGGAGACCCTGTCCCACAAGGTCTTCTGGAGGATCTCCTCCCTGGGAGAGGAACAAGGGAAGAAAGGAGACCGGCGTCAGGAGGAGATGAGGGTCCCAGGAAGGGGAGAGAACGCCCCCTTGGCTGCCTAGGCCAGGGGTAGGCAACCTTGGCTCTTTTATGACTGGTGGACTTCAACTCCCAGAATTCCTGAGCCAGCATGGGGAAAATATGGCCCCCTCATGATTCATGGACTTCAACTCCCAGAATTCCTGAGCCAGCCTGGCTCAGCTTGGAAACCTCTGCTTTTCCCCTCAGCATGGCTGGCTCAGGAATTCTGGGAGTTGAAGTCCACGAGTCATAAAAGAGCCAAGGTTGCCTACCCCTGTTCTAAGATTTCCTGCCTGAGCAGGGGGTTGGACTAGATGACCTCCAAGGTCCCTTCAAACATTATTATTATTATTATCATCATCATCATCATCATCTTTTATTAATTAAACATGAACCTCAGTCAACTGAACATTCAAATTGGCTGGCACTGATGGTTGACACTGGTTGCTACCAGCATCCCAGGTGTCAATCAGGTATCTTCTTAAAATATAAGATGTTCCAAGTAGCGCAGTTTTTTATAACATCATCATCGTCATTATTAAAGATCTGACAGGCAATTATCCTTCCTTCTCCCAGAATCTCAGTCATTTGGCATAATTATCATCTGAAACTCAGAAAAAGTAAATTTCAACTGATAAACCAAACTCCTCCTTCTCTTGAATAAACACACGTTTCCATTTAAATGGCCACATGAATGAAGAAAATGAACATTATGGTAATGTAAGCACAATGATCACACGGACTCCAGAAGCCTTTTGGGGGAATGGGCAGGAATGTATGAGTGACATACACAAACACAAAAGCTGTTGTTGCAACTTCATGCGCCTTCCATGAAAAGCAGATTAAAGAAACTGGGATGTGTGGGCATGTGTTGTGTGTGATCACACGTTGTGAGAATCCAACCTTTCTCTTTGCTGCATGAACTAGGCTGTTATGGGAAACACTAATGCAGTTTGTGTAGAAAGCGCACACATTCTATGAACACAGCAGTGGTGTTTGTTAACTGTGGGAGAGGATTTAGAACAGGGGTATCCAATCTTGTCAGCTTTAAGACTTGTGGACTTCAACTCCCAGAATGCCCCAGCCAGCACAGCTGGCTGGGGAATTCTGGGAGTTGACGTCCACGAGTCTTAAAGCTGACAAGGTTGGGATACCCGATTTAGAGTAAGTCCGAGAGGATTGTTGATAACAAGAAAACATAAAACGAGGCAAAAAGGCAGAATTCTGAACACGAGGAATTCGGAATTAATTAGGAAGAATTCTAGGTCTATGAGACAGGAAGTCAATATGGTGGGAACGGTAGGTTAATAGTCCAAAGGGTAAAAATGACAATAATTAACACCATGAGCCTGAATGCTTCCTTCCTGCGAAAGGAAAAGGATGGCAAGGAAAGCAAAGAAGGGAAAACTATTTTCTTGCAGAGAAGTTGCTCCTTCCTGGGATGTTTGGCAAGCAAAGCCATTCAAAGCTTTGCGATCCTGCTGAAGTCAGGCCAAGGGGGGGGGGGGGAATGTGTGTGTAGTAAGTAGGCCCATCTGGTCTCCAACTGGCTTTAGGAAAGTTATTTATGACAACTTAAAAGGATGCGAAGCATTTAAAGAATAAAAATGGGAAAGGCTTGGAAACAGAAAACAGACGTTTCACTTGTCTTTTGCCAAAAAATCTTCTGGCCAAACCAGACTCATTTGCTCGAAAACAGCTCCGCAAATACACACAGACATACAGACAGACACACACAATTTCCGCTTGCTGTTGGAGGCCTCTTGATCGACCTTGCAAGAGGCAAATCAAAAGCAGGGTCGGGTGTCTTGTAATCTTTGCTGCTTTGGTGATGTTTTCAAAGGATGAGAGCAGGAACAAAAATGTTCCAGGGCGAAAGGAAACGTTTGAATTAAAAAAAGGACCTGGGGAGACATGACAGCATCTTCCAATATTTGAGGGGCTGCCACAAAGAAGAAGGGGGGGGGTTTCCACCTATTCCCCAAAGCCCCTGAAGGCAGGACAAGAAGCAACAGATGGAAACTAATCAAGGAGAGAAGCAACCTGGAACTAAGAAGAAACTTCCTGACAGTGAGAACAATTAACCAGTGGAACAGTTTGCCACCAGAAGTTGTGGGTGCTGCAACACTGGAGGCCTTTAAGAAGAAACTGGACAGCCCCTTGTCTGAAATGGTATACGGTCTGCTGCTTGAGCAGCGGGTTGGACTAGAAGACCTCCAAGGTCCCTTCCAGCTCTGTTATTCCATTAAAGGTCAGAGCCCAAAAGGCTCAAGCAAGCCCCCCCCCCCGCCCCCAAATATCTTCCTGACATCTCAGTAGTCCCTGGCAGGGATTCTCAAGACCCAAAACAAGGAGAATCACATGAGGCAGCCCCATGGTTTTTAATCCAGCATACAGCACCAAGGGGGGGGGGCGTGGGAGGCCCTGGCACTTTGTAAGCCTCTGGCAGGCTGACCAACGCCATTCTTTGGGGCGGCCAGACAAACCTGGATTTTATTTGGAATATTTACAACTTTGCACAACTGCTTCTCCTCTGCTGCCCAAGTTCCCCCCGCCCCTCTGGCTGGTTTCAATCACTCTTGGAGCAAGAACAATCCACACACACAGGCATGTTTTCTTCTGGGGAGGGGGAGCTGCAAAAACCACAAGGATGGGACGGGGGAGGGGGAGGAAGGGGCTCCCAACCGACACGGAGGCCCATCCACGCTCGACAGTCCCAGCGGAGCATTCAAAGCAGCCCCTCCTAAGCTCAGCACCCCCGACCACCACCACGTTCCTAAGACCAACGAAAGAAATGAAGGACGGTACCAGTGCTTGGGGGTCACCTGGCTCAAGCTTATGACTTCGTCGAGGATTTCGTTCTTGGCTTTTTCAAACAGCTCGTTCTGGAGAAGGAGAGAGAGGGAGGGAGGGAAAGAGGGAGAGTTACTGAATGTGGGAAGGGGGTTGAATCGGGTGTAGAAAGAGGCACGGTGGATTTCTGCCGAGATCAAAGGCAAGAAGGACGTCTCCGGAGAGGAGGGATGGATGACACAAGCCTCTCCTGGGGACTCCGCTCCTTCGCTGAGGACCCCAAAAGGTTCCCTGAGCAGCCCCTCCCCACTTCAGGGGCCCCCTTTAGGCAGGGCAAAGGCAACAGTCCTGCCCTCCCACACCTCCCCCTGGCCTCGCCCACACCGGCTCCTTTCAAAGCAGACACCTCCATGCCTGGACTCAGCAGGGGCCTCTTCCACAGGGTGTGTATGTGTGTGTGTGTGTGTGTGTGTGTGTCTGTGTGAAACTCCTTTCATCCCTGGTGGAAAAGGCCAATGGCCGACCGCTTCAACACCTTCTGGTGGTCCTGAGGCAGCTGGGGTCAAGACCCTCCTTCCTCTTTTGGGCTCTCCTGGGGGAGGGGGAGGCTGGGCTGTCTTTCAACTTTCTGTGCAAGTTCGATTAACGAAGGGGAATCTTTGTCAGCTCAGGGTTGACACCGGAGGCCCTTGCTGCTCTCCGAGCTTGGCCGTTTCCTTGCGGACGGGTCATGACCCAAATGAAATAACATCACCAGGGCAAATAAGCAGCGGAGATTCCCTAACCCAAACCCCAATCCTTACTAGCACTGATGATGTTAGCTAGCTGGATAATAAAAGGCCTGCAGGAAAACAACCAAACTCACGGAGCATCAAGGACCCCTCAAGTTTGATTAATTAATTTGTGCTATACCATGGACTGCAAGGCGATCCAACCGGTCAGTCCTAGAGGAGATCAACCCCGCCTGCTCTTTAGATGGCCAGGTCCCGAGGTTGAAACTCAAGTACTTTAGCCACCTAATGAGAAGAAGGAAGGACTCGCTGGAGAAGAGCCTGATGCTGGGGAAGATGGAGGGCAAGAGAAGAAGGGGACGACAGAGAAGGAGGTGGCTGGATGGAGTCACGGAAGCAGCAGGCGTGAGCTTCAATGGACTCCAGAAGATGGTAGAGGAAGGCCTGGAGGAACGTTGTCCATGGGGTCGCGAGGGGTCGGACTCGACTTCGCAACTAACAACAACAATACATGCATGCTCTAATTGGCAAGTGAATTCGAGTTTTAAGTTTTAGCTTTGCAGGGTGGGGCCCCAAGAGAAAGAGGGAGCCGGGCACCTGTCCCAGCTCTATGAATGAGGCCAGTGCTGGTAAGCAGAGTCCAGCTGAGCCCCCCAAATGTCTGGCTCCAGAGGCTCTGCACAATAGGATCCCAGTCCTTCCTCAGCCCAGATCCCTCTGGTGAGGTCCATCATAACTTAAACAGTCATTAAACAACTGGACATGTCGAGAATTACCCATAATTGTGGAAGTTTTATAGCAGAGGTATCCAACCGTGGCCATTTTAAGGCACATGGACTTCAACTCCCAGAATCCTCTAGCCCAGCGTTTCTCAACTGTGGCCATTTGAAGACCTGTGGACTTCAATTCCCAGAATTCCCCAGCCAGCTACGGTTGGCCACCTCCTGCTCTACAGGGAAGCCACTGACAGGCCTTCACGTGTAAGGATGCTGTGATGGCTGAAGCTGATCCTGAGGCCCAGCAGATGCTCCAAAGGCTCTGAGGCAGACAGGAACTCACCCGGTCCAGCTCTCGCAAGCGGGGGTAGTTGTTCTTCCACTCGGTTTCCAAATTAAAGCGGGTTGCTGGGAAAGAAAAGATAACAGTGAGACCCACACCTCCGTGCTTGCTTTTCCGGAGGGTGCCCTTCCCACACCCCGAAACCTTCCACGGAACGCCCAGGCCCTTCAGCTGCAGGACACGGCCAGGAAAGGCCGTCTCGCTCTTCAAAAGCCACCTGTGTGTTTATGTTGATTATTATTCTTTCCAAATCAATAGACCCCGGGGGCGCTTTAAGGCAGCCTGATCAGAACATCCAACCCATTAAAGCCTCCGTAGCCGGCATCATTAAAATCAAATCATCTATTAAGAATCATAAGGGAAAAATAAATAACACCTCTAGAGTCTGGGACAAAAATCGAACGTGATGTTAAACTGAAATTGAAAAACCATGACCGTTAATTAGTCACCAGAGACGGGCAGTTTTCATTGTGAGCAGCCCCTCCTGGCCCTGCGGCGGTCAGAGAGGCACGAAGCCAAACCCTCCGTGGCCGGAGAGCCTCCTTGGGCAGCTGCCCTGCCTGGTTTGTGGTGGCCGAGAGGGAGTCCAGCCTGCTTTCCCACTGCCTGGGTCAGCTTTTCCTCCAAGGACTGCAGATTTCCCTTTCTCCTGCCCCACCTGCCTGGGAAGGGCCAAGGAACCGAGGGAAAAACCTTCCTCCTTCTCCCAAGCTTTGAGGTCCTTCCCCCTAGAGCAGGGCTAGGCAACCTGGGCTCTTTTATGACTCGTGGACTTCAACTCCCAGAATTCCTGAGCCAGCCATGCTGAGGGGAAAGGGAGAGGTTTCCAAGCTGAGCCATGCTGGCTCAGGAATTCTGGGAGTTGAAGTCCACGAGTCATAAAAGAGCCATAGTTCCCCCATGCTGGCTGAGGAATTCTGGGAGTTGAAGTCCACCAGTCATGAAGGGGCCATAGTTCCCCCATGCTGGCTGAGGAATTCTGGGAGTTGAAGTCCAGAAGTCATGAAGGGGCCACAGTTCCCCCATGCTGGCTGAGGGATTCTGGGAGTTGAAGTCCACCAGTCATAAAAGAGCCAAGGTTGCCTACTCCTGCCCTAGAGCCAACGTTGTTGCCTCCCTCGAGACCTCCGGATCACGCTTGCCCTACCCGGGGAATGCCCCAAAGCTCCGGGTGCCCCAGAAAGAGGGCAGACCCAGCCTGCAAGGCGTCTCCTGCCTTCGGTCTCCACAGCGTTTGGCCTGGGGGTCGCTCGCTCCTGTGCTCACCCTCTGGGTCCACCCCCGAGATGTGTCTCCAACTCCACTGCAGCCACGAGAGCCCTAAAAGAGCTCAGCCCAGCCCCGAGTGCGGAATCTGCCTTACCTGAGATCCCACCCAAGATGGCAAGGGCCACTTTTCTGCCCCCAAAGACCCGGGAGCAACACGCGTGGTCTGGTGGCCCCTTCGTGCACAGTCCCAGACTCCTCTCTGCCCCAGGCTCCCCACTGCCCGAGCTGCCCCTTTACCTTTGAAAGCGTCCGCCTGCTGCTCCACTGACTCACGCACCATCTTCCAAAAACAGTCGGACACAGCCAGGCTGAGGTTGCGCGTGGTCACCTGGTGGGGTTTCAGCATGCAGTTCCTGGGGAGAAAAAGACACAAGCGCTGCAGGGATGTGTGCCAGGTGAGTGCCGAAGGACCCGTGGCAGCCCATTGCTGTAATCCCGGCTGATCAAGTACAGCGGCTTTAGGGTGTGGAAAGTCAGGACCTCCCCCCCAGAAGGAAATATTAAAGAGGCAGAAAAGCATGCCCAGTTTTCTTAATAGCCCCAAGTCTCCCTCTCTCAAGCAGAAATCAGCTCTGTAGAAATGGAGATGCAAACCATTCAGGAAAGTTGGAGGCCCCCAGCTAGAAGCTTAGAAATCTACATACCCACCCAAACTCTAGGACAGGACATAATGGGATTAACCCACAGATGCCAAAGAGGCACACTCAGACTCAGTTCATGCCACAGGAACAACTCCAAACAAAAGGCTCCAGAGGGTATCAAAATCCACTCCCTACATGTGCTCTTTTCTCTTTTCTTCCAGTCTGGCTCTCCTCTTCAATAAACTGTAACTTTCTTTCTAAAGCAATCGACAGGTTGTTTACTCCCGGCTTGGACTGAACCATGATGAAGACTTTTCCTTCAGCAAGGGCCTGTGGACTCCAACTCCCAGAATTCCAGGCTAGCTCAGGGGGTTCTGGGAGTTGAAGTCCACAAGCCCTAAAGCTGCTCTAGTTGCCCACCTCTCCTGTAATAATCCATTAAGACCGTTTTTAATTTTCTGTCTTAGGACAGCAACCTCCCCCCCCCCAATTTTATACAATCAGCAACTACAATGTGTGCCTCCTTCCACTCCTTCCCCCAAGTCGTGGCTGAGGGACGGAGGAGCAGGGCACTCAGAAGGGGCATCCCGCTCAGTCCCTGACAGGATCCGACGGAGACTCACATACGGGGAGTCCTCAACTTACGACCACAATGGAGTCAAAAGGTTTTGTTGAGTTTTGCTCCATTTTACGACATTTCTTTCCACAGTTGCTAAGCAAATTGCTGTAGTTGTTAACTTAGTAACACAGTTGTTAAGTGGACCTGACTTCCTGATTGTCTTTGCTTGCCAGAAGGTCACAAAAGGGGATCACGTGCCTCAGGGACACTGCAACCGTCAAAAAAACCAGTCAGCCAAGAGTTTGAATTTTGATCACATGACCCTGGGGATGCCACAACAATCGTAAGTATAAAAACGGTCATGTCCCTTTTTTCAGTGCCGCTGTAACCTTGAACAGTCACTAAGCAAACGGTTGTAAGTTGAGGACTAGCTAAGGTTCATGTTTCTGCCACATGGCCCACATTTAACCAGCCTGCTAATCAGCAGGTTGCAGAATATGTTGTTCTATGCTCTGCACAAGGTACACAATGTGTGCAGCACTTCCACAATCTCCTAAGGCAATTAAGCCAATCGAAAAAGGAGATAAGATTAGCCTGGCCCGTCCACACCGGCTTCTGGTAAACTCCTGCTTGGATTTCAAGGTGCTCAAAAATCGATTCCTTTATCATTTCCTCCAGAATCTTCCCCAGAGCAGTTATAAGAGTCTTATATCTCCCTAGATAGTCTTTCCCCTATTTCTCAGGAAATCCCCTGGCCCTTCCTCCAAGATTATTCAAACACGAGATGTGCAATAATTTGTCTAGCCCAGGGGTGTGCAACCTCGACAACTTTAAGATTTGTGGACTTCAGCTCCCAGAATTCCTCAGCCAGCATAGCTGGGAGCTGAAGTCCACAAGTCTTAAAAGTTGTCGAGGTTGCACACCCCTGGGCTAGACAATCCATCGGTCCCTTCCACATCCCAGAGGCCAAACTTCTCGGCTTTGGAAATTTAAGCTCAAATTTTAGCCGGAACAAGAGAGGAGTCAGCATTTTCTTCTGGCACTTTACTTTCTTTCTGGGGCATCCGGGGAGCTGATATCCCCCCCTCCTTTGATTTTAATGTGTAACAAAACCAAGAAACACCCCAACACCCCCCAGTCTGAGAAGGCTGTGCAAAAAAACAGAGAAGCCGGAGGGTGACTGAGTGCTTCTGGGCACTATTATTTGGAAGAGAGCAGAAGCAGAATAGACTGAGGCTTTTGTTGTTGCAGGTGTTCAGCTAAATTGTGTCTGACTCTTTGTGATACCACGGTTCGCCAGGCCCCCCATCCTCCCCCGTTCCCTGGGGTTTGCCCAAATTCGTGTTTGTTGAGTCAATGAGGCTATCTAACTTTCTTCGCCTCTGCCGACACCTTCTCCTTTGGCCTTCCGTCTTTCCTGAAGATCGAGGCTTACACACCCTCATGAAGGAGAATAAGCCCTACATTCAAGGCTTGTCCTGCACAGAATCTTTAGATCTCCATCCATCCAGAAGCAAGGTGTCGCCTGCCCAGACTGGAAGCACATCCTTCCAGAGCTCAAAGCCTAGGGTTCTCCTGCGGCCGAGGGCCTGAAGGCCACCTTCCCAGGTCCCCCCCAGCCTGGCCAACTGAAATGCATCACAGCCTCAACAATTCTGAAATATGCCTGAGTAAGTAGCTTTAGACCAGCAAGACATGCTTTAGAAACTGAGAATTAGCTTACTTCAATAGTTTGGAGTTTTGGAAAAATTCCTCTTCGTGGTCTCTAATAGAGTCAATACTTTCACTGCTGTTTCCTAGAGAGAGAGAGAGAGAGAGAGAGAGAGAGAGAGGGAGGGAGGGAGGGAGAGAGAGAGAGAGAGAGAAAGAAGCATTTGAAACCAGGCCACGTGGGAAGGAAGGGCCTGCAAGCTGGACAAACGCCAACCTTAACGTACTGTCAACGCTGCTAACATCAGATGTTTTTGCTTTGACAACAGATGGAGATGCAACCATTTTCTTGTTATGTTTTACTCTTAGAGTTAGATGATGCTGTTCTCCGACAAGCTAACACACATTCTTATTGAGCTGGCTCTCTCCTGCCCTTGGTCTGCCAGTCCTCTTCCCCCATTCAGTGAGAGTGAGAGAGCGCTGCTGCTGCTTTCTGCTGCTTCCTGCAGGAGCCCCATCTAATAAACTCGTCAGCTTGTCCGAAAACAGTGTGAGGCCACTCTCTTTTTTAGCGCAAGTGCCTCTCTCTGTCTCTTTCTCTCTCTCTGCAAGTGGCGGAGGAGGCTGGGAGCCGCAGGTTGCTGACCTGTGAGCTAGACATAACAATACTGGACCTAGTGTGTAAACCAAGGTTATTGAAATAAGAGATGATAAGAATTGGCGGTTGAAGAACTGGAGGGGAAGCCTGCATTTCACACTAATTGGAGAATGTGATTTATGACGGTTAACTGGAGGAGGGAATTGTGCTTTGATACTATATGCTCAGGGGAGGGGAAATCCAGTTTTTGGCTTTGATTGTGTTATGCTTCTCAAATAAAGATTCTTTAAGGTAAACAATGCCTCGAAGTTCTTTGAAGAGTTTACCAGGACACGTACCTTTTCCGGTAACAACCGCAAAATACCCCAGAGCCTTCATGGGGAAGAGTTTGCCTTCGATGATCTGCTGAATCTGCGAGGAGAAGAAAGCAGCAGCTCAGCCTCATTGGGATGGGGTGGGGTGGGGGGTCCCTGACTTTTGGCAAAACCCTCCACCATCACGAGGCGCTGTTTAGATCCGGGCACCGTTCCCCCCCCCAACCCCCAAGGACAGGAATCAAAAGTACCCCAACTTACAACGGAGATATCACATGATTGGACTGGATCTTTTTGAAGACCTTTTGCCTTATTAGTTTTGACATTTTTTGATATTTTTGCATCGTTAAATGAATTGGTTTTTCCCAAATGGGTGGTTTTTTTTGCCAGAAACCGGAAGTTAAATGCCAGAAACCGGCAAAAGACACCTCAAACCGCAGTCATGTGATTGAGGGGGATGCTGTTAAGAGGCATAAAGGGAGTCACTTGTCAAGTGCCCAAAATGCACCCATGTGACGTGTGAGTGTGTGTTTGTGTAATTTAAAGGAATGGGTCAGAAGTGGCTTTTGGAGGGGTCCAGCGTACCATCTGAGTGGACATTAAATGAGAGGCTGTAAAAAGAGGACTGCCTGTAAATGCATCCTGACCGGTGGCTTGGCTGTCCCTGGTTTTTCAGGGAAGACAGCCTTGCCTCCCCCCACATTCTCCCCCCCATCAACTCCCCTGCCCCAGGCGCAGAGCAGGAGGGCTCTTACAATCCATGGGGCAGAGGGGCAGAGGGGATTCTGGGATGCTTCGAGCCACACTCTGCAGCTGGGAATGGTGAAGGTGACCCCCCCAGCATAAAAAGGAGGGGAGGGGGATCCTGAGACTTGGCTCTGCAGCACCTGGCTGTGTCCAAAGGTGAAGGCAAGGCGCCAGGGATGCCCCTCCCCTCCGGAAGCCACTTGCATTCCCAGGGTCTCTTGTCTAACGCAGGGGCCTACAAACATGACCACTTTAAGACTAGTGGACTTCAGCCCAGAATGCACGGCTGGCAGGGGAATTCTGGGAGTTGAAGTCCACCAGTCTTAAAGTGGCCGAGCTTGGAGACTTCTGCTCCAGAGGCATTTTCCTATAAGCTTCCAACGGGCACACCAGTCACGAAGCGTATTTTTTTCTGTAGCTTCAGAGTTATACACACACCCAGGAGACATAAAAAAAAACATTGCCAACCTCAGTGAAGGAGCAAGCCTTCCGTGGAAGAAAAATCTCACACAGACAAGGAGGCACAGAATCTTCCTGACAAATTGCACCAGAACCCCCTGGCTATTCCTAACGGTTAACAGGTAAGGGCTTCATAGGGGAAGACAGCGTTTTTTTTTTGTTTTTTTTTTTTTTTAAAAAAACACCTTTCTGCTTTCTGAGCAACCTCAAATCCTTCCCCTTCCCCTCCTCACCCTGCTGGGACTGGCCACGTTTTTCTCCGCCAGGTCCACTTTGGTTAACACAAAGATGGTCCTCTTGCCCTGGGGGTCCATTTGGCTGACCAGGTCAGTGACGATGCTGCGCTCGGCATCCACGGAGCCATCTGGGAAAGAAACCGGAGAGTTGGCCCAGAAGGGAAAGGAGGAAGGAAGGAAGGAAGGAAGGAAGGAAGGAAGGAAAAAAGAAAGAATGAAAGAAAGGAAGGAAGGAAAAAAGAAAGAAAGAAAGAAAGAAAGAAAGAAAGAAAGAGGGGCATCGTTCTTATTCAACCCTGGGAGTCTTGGAACATCCGATGGTCAAGGAGAAGGACTTGTCTACCCACAGCATGGAGGCAGACTTGCCCGGCCCTGCCTCCCCCAGTCGGAGCCCAGGGGGTCAAAGGCAGGTGGGGGCTCCTCTCCCACCAGCAAAACCTTCTGCATGGCCAGCAGGGCTCCTGGCTCCCTCACCTTGGATGCACAGGATGATGGCGTTGGGGTTCTGCATGTAGGCTTTGCTCATGCTGAAGATGAGGTCTTTCGTGTTGGCCGCCATGCCCGAGGTCACCGTCTGGGGAAAGAGAGGCTCATTCTCACGCCTCTGTAGTTGAGGTTTCAATCTGCTGCTTAACAGAATAACAAGAGCTGGAAGGGACCTCGGAGGTCTTCTAGTCCAGTGGTGGTGAACCTATGCCATGGGTGCCAGAGGCGGCACTCGGAGCCCTCTCTGTGGGCACACGTGCCGTTGCCCCAGCCTTACCTCCCCCCGTGACCCCCTCCTCACCAGCAGCCCCCCTGGAGGAGAGTTGCCCCCGAGCGTGGCCCATGCGGAGCAGTGCAGCCAAGGACACGGCAGCCAGGCAGTGTAGACAAGACTCTGCCCTCACGCTCCATCGTGCAGTTGATGCTGTGGGGCGCAGGTAGAGGGCGTGGCTGCCATGGCGCTGCTGGGCGATCTGCAGCGGGCCCTGGAGATGGTGAGTGGCCCTGCGGGCAGGCGGGGTGGAGGCGGAGCGGGGGCGGGGCAGGGAGTAGAACGGGGACGGGGCCAGTTTTTGGGCACTTGTCTCTAAAAGGTTCGCCATCACTGTTGTAGTTCAACCCACTGCTCAAGCAGGAGACCCTCTACCACTGCCGACAAACAGCTGTCCAATCTCGTCTTAAAAGCCTCCAGTGATGGAGCATCCACAACTTCTGGAGGCAGGTAGTGCCATGGGTTAATTGTTCTCCCTGTCAGGAAGTTTCTCCTTAGTTCCAGGTTGCTTCTCTCCTTGACGAGTTTCCGTCTGTTGCTTCTTGTGCTGCCCTTCAGGCGCTTTGGAGGATAGGTGGACTCCCGCCCCCTTCTCTGTGGCAGCCCCCCAAATATTGAAACACTGCTATGGTATCATGTCCTCCCTAGTTCTTCTCTTCATTAAACGAGACCTACCCAATTCCAGCAATCGTTCTTCATGTGTTTTAGCCTCTGGTCCCCTAATCTTCCTCACTGCTCTTCTCTGTGCTCTTTCCAGAGTCTCAGCATCTTTTTTTATATTGTGACGACCAAAACTGGATGCAATAAGCAACCTTCTGTGGGCAGCTGCATTCAGGAGTGAACTGCTCACTCTGAACGGGGGAAGAACTGGCTTCAGTTTCATCCTGGCAAGGCCAAAGAGGTTGGGGGAGGTTTAAGGCCCCTGGGAACTCTCCATCCCTTCAAGGGGATCAGCACTGGGCTGGCGTTTTGCAAACCCTGATCTGTCCCTGGATGTCCTCAGCCACCTTATAGCTTGAATCTCGAGAGCTAAGCAAAAGGCAGGACTCTGTGTCAGATCTGGGCCATTTTAATTGAAAACACACATTTCTTTAACGCTACGTACTTTAAATACTGCAGCAGTGCCCCAACCTGGAAAAGGCCACCTGCCCTTGGTGCAGACCAGGGGTCCCCAACTCCCAGTCCATGCACCGGTACCAGGCTGTGGCATGCCAGCAATCAGTCCGCACAAACAAGCAAAGCCCCATCCATGGGATGCAGGCAGCACACAAAATCACGCACCCTCCGGTCGGTCCGTGGAAAAACCTTTCTCCACGCACCCGGTCCTTGGTGCCCAAAAGGTTGGGAGCCTCTGGTTTAGGCAACATTCCCTTTGTCTAGCAGGAGCGGGGGGGGGGTTGGGTTGAGAGAAAGGGCCCAGCCCCCAATCGTCCCTGGGCTTTCGTGGCTGAGCTGGGATCCGGGAGTGGATGTTACTCTGTGGCCATAGTCTTGCTCTGATTTCTTTGCAAAGATCCCAAGGGGGAGGGTGCCTCTTTAACCCGGGCACCCCATTTTGCAGCCAAGAGACCCAGCCGGATGGCGCGAGGCCCCGCCTCCTTGGCCCCGGGGCCGCAACCCTCCCTCCCCAGCACAGGAGACTCACGCTGATGACACCGGGCAAATCGACCAGCACCATCCTCTGCAGGCCGGGGCCCTTCACACTGAGCGAGATGGTCTGCAAGGGAAACAACATCGCAGCTTGAGAGAGAGAAAAAGGGGAGGGGGATGGATGGGGGGGAAGTGGGGAGGGGCACGAGGGGGCCTCACCTCCGAGCTGACGGTGCAGCCGCTGCCCACGCTCTTCTTCATCCGGATCTCGATCTCGTGTCGCAAGGCTGCCAGCTGTCTCGGCACAAGCAGATGGGGGATTGGAATCAGGTGGGGCAAGGCGTGAACCCTGAGCCCCCCCCCCCCCCGGAGGAACTGGAAGAGGCCCGAGGCGCACAGAGCCCAGCCCTGCCTGGGAGAGGCATCCTCGGGCACAGCCAGGGAGAAGAACACAATCAGACTGCAGGCAGTCCTCGCATTAATGACCCTGCATTTAGTGACCGTTGAAAGTTACAATGGGGCTGGAAAAGGTGATTTACGACCGGCACTGGTCCTTATCACCCCCGTCACAGTGTCCCTGTGGTCACGTGACCAAAGTCTAGGCATCGGGCTTTCGACAGCCGCAGCGTCCACTGGGACTGCCGCTTGCAACCTCCCCAGGGGCAGAAATGGCCATAGAGTTGGATGTGATCCGCTGAACCATCTGATCGTTGCTGCTGAGCTGTGGAAGTTCTGATCCCAACTGTTAAGCCGAGGACTCCCTGGGTAGAGGGGAGGGGCATCCCGGGGGCTCACTCTGGAGTTTACAGATGGATCTGGGAGGCCTTTATGGGTAAATGGACAGGCCCACCAGTCCTCTTTGTCAGGCATGACAGAAAAGTCTCAGTCCTGCCCCCCCCCGAAATGGCCCCAGGCAAGCAGACCCCCTCAGCAGCAGCACCAACTGCTAACCGGGAAGGTTCCTGCGCAGAGGCTGTGCAGAGCAATGAATCTGTTCGACCGGAGCTTCCTGTGGGGAGCTGATCCTTGGGTGCCCGACACCCAGGCCACGGTCTGAATTCAAACCGAAAAGGCTCGCCGGTAACCCTGTGATTCCCTCCCCTCCTCAGCTACCTTCTCCCCAGAAGGGGAAACTGGGGGACACAGCTGGAATTCCCCAGAAGCCCCTAGGGCAGTGGTTCTCAACCTTTTTAATGCCGCGACCCCCAACCGGCCATAAGTCGAGGACTACTCAACCGGTCGTAAGTCGAGGACTACTCAACTGGTGCAGCACCGTTTGCAGAATAGGACTTTTGGCGGGCTCAGCAGGGCAGAGACAGCCTGGACAATTCCTATTGGCTTTGGAAAGCCAATAGAATGAGACTCTATTCAAGAGGGTCTATTCTATTGGCTTTCAAAAGCCAATAGAATAAAAGGGAGTAGCACAGCTAAGGAAAAGGGGGGGGGGGAAATAGCGGACTGCGTTGTTTGGCGACCCCCGTGAAATGGTCGTTCGACCCCAAATGGGGTCCCGACCCACAGGTTGAGAACCACTGCACTAGGGGCACCCCAGCCTCTTTCAGCGACATGGACACCGCTCCTCCCTCCGGGAAGCGCCCAGCCCCCCCCCTCCCCGCCCCACCTCTGAATGAGCTGACCTCTCTCGACCTCACTTACCGAAATCCCTTGCTAGCACTGACAGACAGACAATTCGTTCTGTGGGTTCTAGGGGGACGGTTTTTTTTAAAAAAAGAAGACCGCAAGCCCTCCGAGAGCGGCCTGCTCCTTGAAACTTACATCTTCCTCCTTGTTCAGGTCAAACTCCCGAGAACTGTCCTTGAAGACGGCCACGTGGTGAGGGCCTTCGCTGAGAGTCACCTGAGGCCCAAAGTGGATTCAAAAAAAAAGGGGGACAGGGTTAAAGCTCTGAGCAGATCTCAGCGGGACCAGGCCTCCTTCCGGAGGGCTCGCGCCTCCTACCTTGACAGGGGAGCGAGTCATCATTTCTCCCGAGCCCCGAGGGAAGATCCGGGCCTGAGCGATCATCTCCAGCACGCTGGTTTTGCCAGCGCTCTGATCTCCCACCACCACCACCTGGAAGGCAAAGGGCCTTTCTTCAGAGGGAGGGAGGGAGGGAGGGTTTCTCCCCAGCTCCTCTGGGCCCACCGCTCCGGGATTCTGCTCCCCGACGACGAGGCAGCTTTCCAAAAGTTCCCCCACAGAAGATCCGATGACACCGAGAGAGATAAATTCCGTGTTATTAAGTAGATGATTTAATAGGGTGGGAAATAGATAACTCTTAGGAAATAGAACAGGATTATATTCAAATAGATAAAATGTGTGTTTTGGATATTATGGTTTGTTATGAAGGGAGATAAGGGAAATTTTGGTGACCCAAAGTCTTAAAGTTATAAATATCAAAGGTTAAATTGGAATATCGATAAGAAATTAAAAATTGAGTAAAAATCAATAAGATATGGATTGTTTACGAAGATTGAATGTAATTCAAGATACGTATAAGCTAAAAATTATTGATGAATGTAATTATGATGTCCTTATTGAATTGATATAATTAGAAATGTACCAACCTGAACATGAGACAGTAATTGTTAAGGGAAAAAGAGAAGAAATATTTGATGTTGTAGCCTGAGATTTGCACTAAGATTTTGTCATTGAGCTATTGATTAACCCAGTCACCACGTTGCTTTTTAAATATTCAAATTGGAAAATTAATAAAATATTATATTAAAAAAAGAGTGAGCTAAATTCCATCTGGATACAGTCTTCTTGGGATGCTCCCAAAGCAAGCCAGCTATTGCCTACTAGCCTAACAATTGAAGCCTTTTCCACTATAGCAGGGGTAGGCAACCGTGGCTCTTTTATGACTCGTGGACTTCAACTCCCAGAATTCCTGAGCCAGCCAAGGTGGCTCAGGAATTCTGGGAGTTGAAGTCCACGAGTCATAAAAGAGCCAAGGTTGCCTACCCCTGCACTAGAGCAATCTTCCTTTTCCTCACAGCTCAAGATATTCACCTGCCCTTTTTCAGGGTGAATGCAGAACGCAAGCCACACGACTGTCTGCAGCCTGGTCAAGAACGACCTCGGCCTGGATGGAAAGGATTAAAAAGGCTGCAGGCCCGAGCAGGAAGGTCAAAGGTCCATCTTAAGAAAATGGGGCTTCCCTACAGAGGATGCTTTGTGAGAATGTGGAGAAGCACAAACCGCCTCACACAGGCTGCGCTGCGCAGGAGGCCCTTCAGCACGTGTGGAGGAGGAAGACCTCCCGCTGACGAGGGAACACGCTGTCGATGTGACCGGGCAAATGTCTTTTTAGTTTTAATCGCATTTTTTTCTACATAATTTTTGCACAGGTTCTATTTCCTGTTTTATATCCTCGGTGATGAATTCCAAAGGGGCTTTTCCCCCCAAGAGGTGATGGGACTTCCTTGGGTTTTTTTTTTCCTGGAAGAGGTTTTGCTTCTCATCCGAGAAGCTTCTTTGGTTCTGAACGGAAGAAGCTTCTTAAGAGGAGGAGCAAAACATCTTCAAGGGGAAAAAGTCCCGTCCCCTCTTGGAAAAGCACCCTTGAGAGGGCCGTGGCCTGCATGGGTGGAGAATCTCCAGAGACACCCAGGGCTGGATGACGTATGTCCACACGTCTGACAGGAATAAAGAAAAGTGTGAATGCAGAGGCTCGTCGCCAACTCACCCGAGGCAAGTGGTCGTGGGTATTGTAGCTGGCATCGTAGTCTGACAGGGTATCCAGAACTTCGGAGTACATGTCAATCAAAGATTTCTAGGGAAGGAAACGATGAGCTTGGTGAGCGGAGGCGGAGCCAAAGCACGGGAAAGAAGGAAAGGTTACCACTCTCATTGTCTAATCCAGGGGTGGGCAACCTTGGCTCTTTTATGACTCGTGGACTTCAACTCCCAGAATTCCTGAGCCAGCCATGCTGAGGGGAAGAGAGAGGTTTCCAAGCTGAGCCATGCTGGCTGAGGAATTCTGGGAGTTGAAGTCCACCAGTCATGAAGGGGCCATAGTTCCCCCATGGTTACTCAGGAATTCTGGGAGTTGAAGTCCACCAGTCATGAAGGGGCCACAGTTCCCCCATGCCGGTTGAGGAATTCTGGGAGTTGAAGTCCACAAGTCATGAAGGGGCCATAGTTCCCCCATGCTGGCTGAGGAATTCTGGGAGTTGACGTCCACCAGTCATAAAAGAACCAAGGGTGCCTATCCCTGGACTCTAATGTCTTGCTATAATTACAGGCAAACATGGAGAGTCACGGTGTTGTGGAACGCCAGTTAAGGGACTGGAGTGGGAAGGTTTCCCACCCACCCACTCAGGTAGGCAGGCAAGGATGTTGTAGACCCCGTTAGCCAAAGAACTCTGGCTGGTGGGGTCTGGGGAGAGGGGGCTTCACTGCCGCTGCCACCCATGGGAGGCTGGGCTTTTACGAAGCCAAAATCGCTATGGGAAATAAGGCAGGAGCCGGGGAGACCTCCCGCATCCCTTACCTTCACCTTCCTCTGATGAATGCCTTTCTCGTCCTTCTGCAAGACAATCTTCCTCAGCTCTTTATTCTCCTTCTCCAAACGCTCCAGCATCCGCTGATATTTCAGCTGCAAAAAAGATGGAAGGGGTTAATGTCAAGACTTGAGAGGGGAAGTGCAGGAGATAAACAGACTGCCCTTAGTTCTAGGTTGCTTCTCTCCTTGATTAGTCTCTATTGCTTCGTGTCCAAAAGATCTTGGATTCCTTCAAAACATTGTTTTTTCTTCCCAGGAAAGGTAAAAAAGTTCTTCAATAATGGTATTTTCAAGAGGTGGTTGGGGTCACCCTCAACCCTGCCCTGGTCTTTCCCCAGAACTGTTCGTCTTCTGGAAGGGGAAATTAACCCAAGGGAGAGTCTCAGTTCATTGGGATGGAAAGCCCAGCCTGCTTCATGGTTAGAAGCAGGTTCATATCTACTGAACACCTAGCTCAGGGGTCTTCAAACTTGGCCCTTTTATGACTTGTGGACTTCAACTCCCAGAATTCCTCAGCCAGGCTAAAGAATTCTGGGAATTGAAGTCCACAAGTCATAAAAGGGCCAAGTTTGAAGACCCCTGACCTAGATAAATAGTGTATTAAACTTGAGAAATATTACAAAACGGAGTTGATCGTATTTTTAAATGGCATTTCCTCCCCTCCCAAAACTTTAATGGCAAAATACAATGCACAGGATTAGAACTGAAATTTAAAATAACCCAGAAGAGTTTCTGTCAGGTCTGAAGAACCAAGAATGACATGTGAAGTTCCCTCTATTTATTTCCGTTTGCCTACAGACAGAATCTTGCCGGACTAAAGCAACTATCTGCAATGACTACAGACACCCTCTGTGAATTGCTAGGGAAGGTCTCTCCTTGCTCTCTTCCTGCCCTTAAGATATTCCAAGCTCCTGTTTTCACTGTTTTCAACCACTGGACAAGGGGGATTACGTGCGCTGCGCAACTGAGTTGGGAACACTCAACCCACCAAACCAGCATGGCTGACCCACATCTGGATCTCTGGCTACATGCAAGGGCACGACAGTGATTGGTCCCAGCCTGATCACCCCTCCAGGACTGCCATATCTGGATCTGATTCTACAGGGCAGGAGGATTCTCACCCGCAGGCAGCACGCTCCCTGGGGATCAAATGTTCAGTGGGGCTACACTGATCCTGCCTTGTTTTTTCCGCAACTCAATTAAGAATCTGCCTCAACAACCGCAAAGTTCCCATACCTGCGTCCGCAGTAATTCTTCCTGGAGCTGATCGACCTTTTCTTTATCAGAAACCTGCAGCAGCAAAAGGACACAGAACACACAGTCGGCATTTCAGATGTTACCAACATCTGTAGAGTGAGATAAAAATTCATTTAGCCATTTATTGTTTTAATCATGGTTAGATTGATGAGTCCCGTAGGAGTGGATGGATATGCAAGCTGAAATTATAAATAAAAAAACCCAAAGTATTTCAGATGCAAGAGATCATAAGCTTTAAGAGTCATTATTTTACAAGAACAATTTGCTCAAATCTGACAACCTGGACCCAAAATCAAACTCATTCCTAAACGCATTTTGCTGTAATGGCTGCTACACTTACTTGAGATACCTTATTTCTAAAAGAAGCTGCAGATTTATTAGCAGTGCACTTGAAAACCATGTTTTTCTAACTGAACAGACCTTTTATGTATGCCCGAATAACAGAGCTGGTTTCTCCAATTCCATCCCTCTCTGCTCAAAGAAAAATCTGCTGTGCTGTTAACAAACGGTTTTTAAAAATGTGCACGGAGATACTCACTAGCCTTTGGTTTTACAATTTGGGGAAAAGGTTTGCTTTACATTCATTAATGCCCCTTCCATGTGTTTCATGCCATTTGTTGTGCTTCAAAAAGTTTCAACTAGACCGGGGTAGGCAACCTTGGCTCTTTTATGATACGTGGACTTCAACTCCCAGAATTCCTGAGCCAGCATGGCTGGCTCAGGAATTCTGGGAATTGAAGTCCACGTATCATAAAAGAGCCAAGGTTGCCTACCCCTGAACTAGACGGAGCTCCACCAGGTATTAGCAGGAGCTATCCTAATGTTCAAAATAACAAGTTGTCCAAGTTGAACAGGAAAAAGTTGGCTCCTTCTTTCTTTACACATCAGTGATGTTCTGTATCAAGGACAGACCTTCCTCAGCCATTCAACAGGGAGACCCTCTCCACAGGGCGGCTTTCAACTGCCATCCCTTGAGCCCAAGGACAGCCCTGGGCTGCCAGCTGGCAAAGGGGTGATGGTCCACGAGGGAGAGTTGGGGGAAGGACAAAGCTGGTCTGTTCTCTGAGCTTCTCTTATCCTCCAGCATGATGGGCAGCTACTTCAGCGCGCCTGAGAAGCACCCAGAATAGTCACCCAGCTGTGCAGAAGCCTTATGTCGTCTGCATCTCCTGCTTCTCCAGGACCACAGACGGACTGTTGGCCAAGCATAATGTCTTCTCTTCTCCTTCATAAACAAGTGGTCAACGTGCAAGAAATCTTTTGTTTAAATCTGTGACTAAAAATGTTCAGCCTTGTCAAGCAGCAACACTTTGGCCTACGGCAGAGGTATCCAACTTTGGCAACTTTAAGACTTCTGGACTTCAACTCCCAGAATTCCCCAGCCAACACGTGCAGACTCCTGGGAGCTGAAGCCCACCTATCTTCAATTTGCTAAGGCTGAGAATCATTGGTTTAGAGCAGAGGTCTCCAAGCGTGGCAACTTTCTTGTGGACTTCACCTCCCAGAATTCCCCAGCCAGCACGTGCCGGCTGGGGAATTCTGGGAGTTGAAGTCCACAAGTCTTAAAGTTGCCAAAGTTGGGCATTCCTGGTCTAAGACATGGCAGGCAGATGTGAAAGACGCGGAGGATAGTAATAGTAATAGTAGTAAAGTTGGAAGGGACCTTGGAGGTCATCTAGTCCAACCCCCTGCTCAGGCAGGAAACCCTACACCATTTCGGACAAATGGCTGTCCAGTCTCTTCTTAAAAACTTCCAGTGTTGGAGCATTTACTGCTTCTGGAGGCAGGCTGTTCCACTGATTAATTGTTCTCACTGTCAGGAAGTTTCTCCTTAGTTCTAGGTTGCTTCTCTCCTTGATTAGTTTCCCTCCGTTGCTTCTTGTCCTGCCTTTGGATGCTTTGGAGGATAGCTTGATTCCCTCTTCTTTATGGCAGCCCCTGAAATATTGGATGAAACGGCCTCTTCCACGGCTGCTCCTTTACAGCTTAGCATCCTCTCTGTGGTGGCCAGCAGTTAAAGTTCAGTTCTGAGCATCGGGTGCTGATGGACTGGAAGCAGAGCCCAGATGAAGAGGCTCCATGCCCCTGAGCCCAGGGGAAAGAGGGCAGCCGTCTTCAAGGATCTGAGCAGCAGCTCGGGAGGACAGGAGTCCCCCACCTAGGAGGGCAGGAGCCGAGGGGCCGGGAGGCTGCTCCTCAAGGCCAGCACTGCTCAGGCTGCCCCAGGAAGCAGAGCTGCTGAAATAAAGGCATTACTGCAGGGGTCTTCCAACTTGGCCCTTTTATGGCTTGTGGACTTCAACTCCCAGAATTCCGCATGCTTGGCTGAGGAATTCTGGGAGTTGAAGTCCACAAGGGATAAAAGGGCCAAGTTTGAAGACCCCTGTCTTAAATCTATCAAACAAAATGGAGGCTGGCTGAGGATTTCTGGGAGTTGAAGTCCACAAGTCATGAAAGGGCCAAGTTTGAAGACCCCTGCATTACTGTGTGAGGCACCGAATGGAGGTGACTAAACCTTATGGCTATTAAAGTCGCCTCCAGTTGAAGGAGTCTAATTCAACAATAGCAGAAGAACAGAGTTGGAAGGGACCTTGGAGGTCATCTAGTCCAACCCCCTGCTCAGGCAGGAAGCCCTATGCCATTCCAGATAAATGGTTGTCCAATCTCTTCTTACAAGCCTCCAATGATGGAGCATTCACAGCTTCTGTACTGGTATTGGTTTCTGTTTCTTCTCCAGGAGGGAAAGAGAGCAGAGTGGACTGAAGCAGCAGGCAGCCTCCGAGCCTTCAGGAGAGCAGGGAACAGGTTGGATGGATGAAAAAAAATGGGATGGTTTTGCCTGTGGGCTAATCCATCTCTCCACTAGAAGAGGAGATTTCTGGGCTATAATGAAATCCAAGGTAATGATGACCACCGCCCATATGTGGAATAGAGGATCCCGTTAGACCCTGTTCCTTGGCCCACTGAGGAAAGCAGATTAAGGCCCTAATCACTGTCCAGGAGTAAAGTGCAAATTTAAAAAGAAATAAAAACCCATCAAGCTTATCTCTGGTGACTATGCAGTCATTAAAATCACTGGAAGAGTTAAACATTAAAAACAGCTTTCATCATCTGTCCAGCACAGGGATTGGCAACCTTGGCTCTTTTATGACTGGGGGACTTCAACTCCCAGAATTCCTGAGCCAGCCATGCTGAGGGGAAAGGGAGAGGTTTCCAAGCTGAGCCAGGCTGGCTCAGGAATTCTGGGAGTTGAAGTCCATGAGTCACAAAAGAGCCAAGGTTGCCTATCCCTGGTCCAGGAGGATGACATTTATTTATGAGACTTATATACCGCTTTAAGTGCAAGCACTCTGTAAGCGGTGTACACCAGTAAGCAATGTATATATATATATATATTCACATTGCCCCCAACAATCTGGGTCCTCATTTTACCTCCCTCGGAAGGATGGAAGGCTGAGTCAACCTTGAGCCGGTGAGATTTGAACCGCTGACCTGCTGAACACAGTCAGCTAAAGTGGCCTGCAGTACTGCACTCTAACTCCTGCGCCACCTTGACATCTCCTCCAGGTGGGCCTGGCAGCCCTTCCTTCCATACTGCCACGCTCTGGCTGGCTCACTCGGCCGCCTTGAGGGCACAGGACGAGGAAGCAGGCTGAGCTCCAACAGGGGGTCCATTGGAGACCAGAACATTGTGGGCTACAGCCTCCCTTGGGCCCTCCCCGGCTATCTAGCCTCTTTCCTCACCTCTCAGCTCCCCCTGAGGTCCCTCATCTTGGGTGGGTGTCCTTCAGAAATTCCCTGCCCTGGAAGAACCTTCCATGAAATGGGCGGAATCGGACGTCCAGGGATGGCCTCCAAGAGAGGCTTTACCTTCTCAACTGCTGATCTTTACTGTCAAAGACCAGGGAAGCCACCAACACAACCATCTTGGTCCCCATCGGCATCCGACGGTCTCAAAATTGGATAGAAAAAGCGAGGAAGAGCCGGGAATATCCCCAGGGAAATCAACACCCCCTTTTGTGAGAATTAAACAGGCGGGAATCAACCTGCTGGAAAGACAGCCCTGGGAGGAAGAAGAACCAGGAGCCAACGGATCGGGGCCTTCGTAAGAGGAAGGCCGGAGAGGGGAAAGTCCAGCCACCACAGCTCAATCACTGCCAAGGGTCTGATTGGGTGAAAGAGGAGGAGGGAGGGGGGGAGGAGAGCAGAAACCCCCCCCCACTCCCCAGGCCTGCCTGGTCTATCTGAGAGGCATCACCTTGCGCTTCTGCTGGGAGGAGGAGGAGGAGCCTGGCCCAAATTGGTCAGCGGCTCTGCGGACATCCTCTTCGTGCTGCTGGATTTGCTGCTGCAAGAGGATGAGCTCGCCCAGGAGACCCTGCCGCACATGGGGGGGGGTGAGAAGGGGGAGGAGGAAAAAAAAATATGGAGGTGAGGGGGGCAATAATGTTAAACCAAAAGGTGCAACACAAACACACGCCCACACGCACAACAGAACTGGCGGAGGCAGCGGAAGAGATGAATGTCAAAGGATGGAAGAAAGATCTGCCCCCTCCTTAGGGAGGGTCAAGAGAGAAGAGGGGACAGGGGCCTTCAGGGTTTCCCCCCCCCAGCACAAAACAGGAAAACTGGAGAGGAGCCCAAATACAAAATTCCTCCTCTTGGGAATCATTTGGGACCGTCCGGACAATCGCAGCTGGTGTTAAACAGGAGAAAAGAACACCCAATCACGACCGTCTCCCTGCCGGGCCACAGAGGCACATGGAATGCCTGCACAACCGACACCCTCTCTGCAAATATGGGCAACGTTCACTTGTTGGAGCGCCTCCCGGGAGCACAAGGAAGCAACGGGAGAGGTGTGAATGCACCTGTGCACGGAGAGGAGATGCAAGCGGGTGGCTGATAAATGGACTTTTTGCCCATCCTTGGTGCTCTCAAAAGCGTTCTGCACCAGAGACGGCCTTTCACAAGCCTCCCTCCTGGGTCAAAGGCAGATAAGACCTCCTCCGTTGGGAGAGGTGGTTAATTAGGGGAGGGCCAGGAAGGCCTCCCTTCCCCAGACAGGAGCTTCCCCCCCCCTCCCAGGCCAGCAACGGAAAGGGATCCGGCAGGGGGCAGGCGGATGCCGGCAGAGTTGGCACCGCCGGTCTCAAAGGCTGCCTTCCTCAGGGAAGGGAGCACTGTCGGCTTCGGCCTGTCCAGGACAGTTAGGCAGACCACTCCCTCCCTTTGCCACCCAGACTGGGGGGGGGGCACTGGTCCAAAGAGGGGAGGAGGAGGGGGGGTCTCACTGCAGGAACCCACCCTCGCCAAAAGCCAGGTCTCCTTCCACTGAGTCCCTCCCCCCAACCAGGAAGTTTCTGTCTATGGAGTTTTTCAGCCTATCAGCCACGGAGCTCCACAGGGTCTCCCAGCCCAGCCCTGCTTATTTTTTCGAGGAGGGGGTCTGCCGGGGTCAGAAACATACCCCCGGCGTCTGAATGCTCTCAAATCAGGCCCGAGCACAGCGTGACAACCACAGACCCCCAGAACTGAGGTGGCCTCCCTTGCGGTGCTTCCTTCCTGGTTCATCCCCCTCCCCTGCGGAGCCCAAAGACCCCCGCGTCCCCTCTTCTGCTGCCACCGGGGTAGGAAGCCTCAGGTCCAGCTGCCACCAAGGAAACACCCCCCCCCCGTGCAACACACAGACAAAAAGCGTGAGATGAGATGCAGCTTCACCCTGGGCGAGGCTCCCAGGCCCGTTCTGCCCTCGGGCAGAAGGGGGGGAGAGGGTCCTGCCAGACCACCAGAGCGGAGAGGAAACAGTCTTTCTCCCTTGTGCGACGTGGTCTGTGTCCCGGGGGGTGGTAGAACTGGGGCCTTCTTTGGTTCTGGGGGGCTGACAGCACAAGCCAGCCTTAACCTTTCTGCCCCCTTCCAGGGTCTCCTCAAGAGAACACCAGCTCTGCGCAGACCTCCCCTTCGGCCCTGCTGGAGAAGAACCAGCGGCCCACAACGCAGCTCAGAGAGCCCCAGGGCCCCCTCCTGTCGGCCCTGAGCGACAAAGGTTCTCCTTTATCGGAGCTTCAAAGGGCTGCGGAAGAGTTGGAGGAGACAGCAGGGAACATCACGAAGGATCTACTGGAGGACGGTGGAATTATGGATGACAAGATTTCCTTTTAGCCAAGCCAGAAGGGAAGATGGTGGGGCAGTAGTACAGCCTGGGGAGGGGGGGTCTAAGAGGGGCTTCCCAACTTACCCCACAGAATCTCAGAGTGACCACCGCCTGCCAACAACCCTGGGCGTGAGGGTGGCTGTCCTCCCGCCCTCTCCAGCACCACTGTTGGGCACCACCGGCTCCCTTGCCAAGCTGGCCTGGAGTCTCTGCCCAGCACTGCAGCAGGTGCTGCCCGGCCGAGGGGGATCCTGTCTCCAGTGTTAGCCCACCAGGTGGAGGACGAGGGCAGGAACTGCCTGGCCTGGCCCTTCCTTGCCAAGAGCCAGAGCAAAGAAAAAACAACGGGGAGACAAAAGAAGGCAGCCCCTTCGGGACGGGAGCTTCGCTCTGCTGAAAGCCCCATCAGAGCCACGTGGCCCCCTGGTCTCAGGAGGGGGTCTCTGGCAGACCCTCCGCGACGGCCACAACTCCTGCTTGGCCTGCACAGGACTGCCCAACACGCAAAGTACAGAGGGGCCCGTGGCGCTCTCTGAGCTGGGCTGTTTCCTTGCAGACGTTTCATGACCCAAACTAAGTAACATCAGTGCTCATTTACAACCCCCCCCCAGCACTGATGATGTTACTTAGTTGGGTAATGAAAGGTTCACAAGAACTCAGCTCAGAGAGCACCAAAGACCCCTCATTTCAACCCTGGGCTATCAATATTCTCCTTTGTTGATTGCAAAGTGTGAACCCACCACGTCTTGATCTGGCCTGGCCGGGCCAGGAGCCCCCGAGTGTGGGGGTTACTCCCCTCTCCTCTGACTTCCAGCAGACTTTTCTGGGCTTCCCTTAAGCTGCCATCTTAAGTAAAAACGCTGGATGTAAATTCCACGGAAGCTCATCCCACCCCAGCACTTATTTCCTTATCCTCTGGGCCCAGTGCAAAGTGCCGATTAGTCCCGAGAGAATCTGGGCCTCTTTTCCTTTCCTGAGATAATTGTTATTTTTTTTTCTATTACATTTTGAAGTCTAGATGCCCATTCCAAAGCAAAACATTTTGGAAACTTAAAATACGAAGGCAGATGCGTCTGTCGCCTGGCTAGGAATTACTCATCGGCAACATTTTTCTGGATTTGGGAGGGCTCATTTTGGCAACCCAACTCGTGGCTGAGAGAGCGCGCCTGCTCGGAGGCACCGAAACGCAGAAGGCGGAAACCCAGCCTTCCACGCTAGGCCTCTGCCGAATCTGTCTCCCACGGAGCTGGCCCTGCACCTTCCCAGCTCACCTTCTTGTGCTGCTTGTCACCTTCGCTTCCCTGGTCGGTGGCTCTGAAGGCTGAATCCCCGGAAGAACCTGGGAAGAGGAAGGAAGAAGGATTCCCATAAGGTGGCACCCAGTTTCAGCAGAACCCAGATAAGCCACACTATTTCAGAAGCAATCTGCTCATTGTTAATTCATTCATTCATTCATTCATTCATTCATTCATTCATTCATTCATTCATTCACCCACTCATTGATTGATTGATTGATTGATCCATTCATTTAGGGGCCAGCAACCTGCATGGGCCCTGCTCACCGGACTGCAGAAGGCTTACAATATTGTCACCAGCACCAGGCATTCAGCCCCATCTCCTCTGGTGTCCCTCTTATCTTCCTCTCCAAATGCTCTGCCAGACAAGACTCCTCCAGAGCACAAGGGTGGGGGTGGGGGGCGGCTGACCCAACCTTGGGGGGGGGGGACAAATGACAAACTATTCTGCAGTGAGGGAGTTCCTTTGAGAAAGGCAATCCTAGCAGTTTTCTTTTACGAGTCTGTCCACAGGACACTGGAAGTTCTCTCTTGGGTTGTTTCCTTCATTTATTTGTTTTGTGCCTGAGCAGGGGGTTGGACTAGATGACCTCCAAGGTACCTTGCAACTTTATTATTATTATTTTATATAATAATAATAATAATAATAATAATAATAATAATAGAAAAGATCTGAAAGGCAATTTTCCTTCCTTCTCCCAGAATCTCAGTCGTTTGGCACAACTATCATCTGAAACTCAGAAAAAGTAAATTTCAACTGACAAACCAAACTCCTCCTTCTCTTGTATAAACACGTTTCCATTTAAACGGCCACACGAATGAAGAAAATGAAAATTACTGTAATGTAACCACAATGATCACATAATAATAATAAAAAAGGGCACCCAAGTTCTGAGGTTTTGCTTGATAAAAAATACAGGAAACCAGAAGGTGCCTTTAAGAGTTACGTGTATGTGGGTGTTGCAGCCCCAAATCGCTAAAGAGGGACTGGGAAATTGGGGATCACCTCGGCTTTCTATTTTACTGGGAAAGACGGGCAAACTGTAATGCCAAATTTCGCCAGGTAGTCGGTAAGGAACAGGGCACCACAGCACAACCGTGTCTGCTGTCCCTGGACTCACCCTCGTGCCAAGGAGAAGGCTAGGCCTGGCAGAGGCTGCGGAGACGCCACTGCTGGTTTGTGGGGGCGGTTGCCCCCCCCCCCCTCAATCAATTAGGTTCCTCTGCGCAGACCCTTAAAAACCTGGACACTTTGGGAGACCGTTTCCAAGTCCTGGGGCAACGCGAAGAGTCGCTTGAGAGTGGGAGGGGATGCATATAAATGTAATAAACAAAATAGAATAAAAATAAAATGGGAACAAGTTCCAGGGCTCCTGAAAGAACGAACGGAATGGGGAAGCTGCACTTCCAAAGGGGAATTGGGAAAGAGGCACCTTTGAACAGCCGGTGAGGGCACAATTTTTGATTTTATCAGAACTGAACCAGGTTCGTAGCTCTTACACAAAAGGCTGTTGCGGTGTGGATGTCCATTTCCCTCATCCAGCTATGTGGAAAGAGCAATAATAAAACAATTAGCAGCTCTTGCAAAACTCTTGATTAATATTCTAGAAATTTATTAACCAAGCCTGGTTTATCTTTATCCACTGCTAGCTTAAAGGTAGGAACAGACTTTTTTGTGAAGGAGCAGACCTGCCTTAAGCCATTCCAGTTCGATGGCATGGAGGAAAATTACATTTGATTCATTGCTTCATTGGATGATTCACTCACTCACTCACTCATTTTTATATATCACATTTTTGAACCTCAAACCTCCCTTATACTTCTTATTCAACATACATGTCTGCAAGGTGCCTTTTCAAAAGGCAACTGGAAAGAAGAAGAAGAAGAAGAAGAAGAAGAAGAAGAAGAAGAAGAAGAAGAAGAAGAAGAAGAAGAAGAAGAAGAAGAAGAAGAAGAAGAAGAAGAAGAAGAAGAAGAAGAAGAAGAAGAGGAGGAGGAGGAGGAGGAGGAGGAGGAGGAGGAGGAGGAGGAGGAGGAGGAGGAGAAGAAGAAGAAGAAGAAGAGGAGAAGATGATGATTATTTCGCTCTTCACCCAAGAAGCTTCATCGGTTCTGAGGGAGGGAGGGAGGGAAGGATTCCTGCTATCAGAACTGATGAAGCTCCTTGGATGAGGAGCGAAAAGTTTTCTTCTTCCTCCTCAAGGAAAAAAGAGTCCAGTTGCCTTTTGAAAAAGCACCTTTCAGGCAACCATGGCCCGGATGACGGAGAACCTCCAGAGACCTTTCTTCCACGTATAGCTTCCCGATTCCTCTCCTCTTGGAGAGGAGAGGGAGAAAAAGGGGGGTGCCAGGGAGGACGGAGACAGGAGGAGAGGAGGAAGCTGGAAGAGGGAAGCCAGGAGGGCTCAATTCGGCAGGTTCGCCCTGCAAAGCGCCTGAAAAGAGCTGGGAAAGGACTTGCGGAGGAGGGAGGGAGGGAGGAGAGATGCAGGCAGGAAGACCTGCTTAGCCCCCAAAGCCGTCTGGAGCCTGCATTTCATTTCAGAGCCAGCTGAGGCCCTGAAGCCACGATCAGATGGGCTAGCCTGCCTCCCAGGTGGGGGGGGGGATGCTCCGTTGCTGGAGATTTTCAAGAAAAGCTCAGACAATCTTTTGTCCCAGGGGGTGAAAGGACTCCTGCCTTGGGCCCCTGGGGGTTGGACTAGGAGACCTCGTGAGGTCCCTCCCAGCCCTCGGATTCCGATTCTAAGGACAAAAGCAAAACCCTCAAGGGAAGGTGCAAGGATAGAATAGAAGTTGGAATAACTAGAATAGAAAATAGAAAATAAAATAAAACAGAACAGAATAGAATTCAGAATAGAAATAATTAGAATAGAATAGAACAGAATAGAATAATGAATAGAATAGAACAGAATAGAATTCAGAATAGAATAGAATAGAAATAATTAGAATAGAATAGAATAGAAATAATTAGAATAGAATAATGAATAGAATAGAATTCAGAATAGAATAGAATAGAATTCAGAATAGAATAGAATAGAATTCAGAATAGAATAGAATAGGAGAAATTAGAATAGAACAGAACAGGACAGAACAGGAGCTGGAGGGGCCCTGGGAGGTCTTCTAGTCCAGCCCAGTGCTCAAGCAGGAGGACCCATAGACCTCCTGGGACAAAGGGCCGTCTAAGCTCTTCTGGGGAAGGGGACCTGGCTTTTCCATCCGGACTCCAAGGGGCCGGAAAGACCCCAGAGGAGAAGGAAAGCTCAGCCGCCTCTCAGCTCCTCTAAAAGGAGTTGTGATGCTCTTGCCTTGCTGACCTCAAGGATGTTGGGACGAAGGGAGGCCAAGAGCCCACCAATGCAGAAGCCGTCTAGGCAGCAGAATTTTGGAGACGCCGGACCTCAGCCTAAAAAGGGCTGGATTTTTTTTACATAGGCATATACCCTTCCCCCCCCCAACATTTACAACTTTTAATTCCTCCCAGGAGGGACCCTGTGACATTAACCTCTGCGGGACCTTTTAATCAGTGCATTATCAATGTGTCAGCAACACACATTTTACTTACCTGCAATTGTTTTGTTTCTTGCAACTTAAATGGAAAGAAAGGGCGAGATCTTACCACAAAATTCCTTTTTCCAAAAAAGGCAACTGGACTTTTCTTGGTTTCTTCCCTTTGAAAACGTTTCGCTTCTCAACCAAGGAGCTTCTTCAGTTCCAGATGAGGAGTGAAATGTTTTCAGGGGAAAAAACCCCCAGAAAATCCACTTGCCTTTTCAAAAAAAGCTTTGGGCCAATCATGATCTGGGTGATTAGAGAATCTCCCTAGACAAGACTCCCCTTTCCAATTTTCTTTCTTTTAATTACATGATTTTATTGTAATGCTTAAAACTGGTAATCCACTGAGTCATTGCGGTATATGTATTGAAGATTTAAATGATTCTAAAACATTCCTTTCTATACAACTCAGAAAAATTACTAGAGTGCATAAAAATACTTCAATTTTATGTGAGAAACATAATTTTATCATGCCTGACAGACCTGTAAAAAAGCCAGAACATTCTGGATCAAAATACGTATGCCGATACAAAGAATTTCAAAGACTTAAAGACTCAACTGAAACCACAGCTTTCCTTGTTGGGATTAATGGGCAGAGACCTAGAAAAGAGCCAGGGGTGGCTATTTTCATATATAATTCCTGCTATGAGACTATTATATGCACAGAAATGGAAAGACTCTGAAATACCCCACAATGGAGGGAAGGCTGAGGAAGAGGATGGAACTACTAGAAGATAGCAAAAGCAATTTGTTACATTAATAGTGACTAGGAACCCCATGTGGACTTTTTGCTAAAAAAGGAAGAACAGGAATTTGTCTGATGATTAGAAAGAGCAGTTTACGAAAGAAGGAACTTATGCAATTTTAGAGAGAGTAAAATATAAATGCAATTATAAGCTCTGTCAAAAAGAACAGAAACTGCTCTTTAACTTCTATTTTTTTTCTATCTATGGAATTTGTGTATTTTGCTGTTACTAACATTTATGTTTTAAAACTGATTATTTTTATACCGATTGCTTTATATATATATGTGATGTTTTATAAGATATAAATTTGTCTGCATTGTTGTACACTGTCCAGATTTGCTTTTTGTGAGATGGGTAGTCATATGAACTTGATTAATAAGTATTTCTATTTTCTATCTTACTTATTCACTATTTTTCTTTACTTTCTTTCTTTCCTAAAATTGGCATTGCTTTTATTTTGTTAAAAATTTCTCCGATAAAAAAAATATACAAAAAGATCCTAAAATTCTTCGAAGCACAGGTCCCTCAGCTAATTCAGCAGCATTGCTGTGACGTGATCTTTGCGCAAAGACAAATGAATTGGGTTTGGGAATCAAGAGAGTAGGAACTGGGGGGGGGCAAAGGAGGGGGGGGCAGGCAGATCATATATTTTCGGGGTCTGCTGAAGTGTGAAACAAATGCTGGCTTTCCTCTTTCCCAACTCAGATGAACAGCTAAAGGAAAGATACTTGGTGGAAGACCAGGAAGCACCAATTTAAAAAGAAATAAAATACTTTCTGTACCATAAACGCCTATCCAGACACTAGGAATCTTATCACCCTTCTGGAAGATAATGCAGCAATTTGTGGAGCAATTTAGCGCTAATTGTATTGTGCTTAGTAATGGTGACCTACAGCTATCTAGAGTACTTTCTGGGCAAAAAACAAATAAAGTAAGTGGATTGCTCCCTTCCACTCACTGCAGGCAGATCAGGCGTATCTGAGCCATGTCGGGAAAAGGGCCACAGGCTTTCCATGCCAAAGGGCGGAGGGAGCCCCATCTCCCCAGGCACAGGAGAGGCGTCTTCAGGGGATTCTCAACCAGAATTCCATCAGAAGGTCAAACGTGCTTCTTTGAATTTATTTATTTATTTATTTCTAAAATTTATATGCCGCCCAATCCCAAGGGACTCAGGGCGGCGTACAAAATTAAAACAATAATCTGACAATAAAACAATAAAACAAATACATTCATACAGCGTGTCCGATCATATCCCGCCCACCCCCCCCCGGGGACATCAGCCCCAGGCCTGCCGGAACAGGAGAGTTTTAACGGCTTTCTTAAAGGCCGGCAGGGTGGGAGCAGTTCGAACCTCGGGGGGGGGGGGAAGTTGATTCCACCAGGTCGGAGCCACCACAGAAAAGGCCCTTCCCTGAGGGCCCGCCAGCCGACATTGTCTGGCTGACGGGACCTGAAGGAGGCCCAATTTATGGGACCTCACCGGTCTCTGGGAACTGTGGGGCAGTATGCGGTCCTGTAAGTAACCTGGCCCTATGCCATGAAGGGCTTTAAAGGTGATAACCAACACCCTACAGCAGCGGTCCACAACCCCTGGTCCATGGCCCAGCACCGGTCTGTGGCCTGTTGGGAACCGGGCCACAGGTGCATGTGTGAAACCCTCCCCTCTGCCCCACCGCCGGTCCACAGAGACGGAAAGATTGGGGACCGCTGCCTTACAGATCCGAGGGACAAAAACCAGCTAGAGTTGGATGTGGCGTCAAAGTAAACGGTGTTTGGATCAACAACTTAAGATATGCTGACGATACAGTTCTGCTTGCCAGTAAGCATGAAGACCTTCAGCTCCTCATCAACAGAGTCACAGAAACATCTGAAAAATACGGCTTGAAGCTTAACACCTCAAAAACCAAGATCATGGTCGTCAGCAAACAACCCATTAATTTACCACCAATAAATTCAGAAGGAATACCATAGAAAAAGTTGAAAGGATCACACACCTCGGTTCCAATTTACATGAAAGCTGGGACATGACCACTGAAGTAAAGACTAGGATAGAGAAAGCTCGAACAGCATTCTTCAAAAGGTCTTCTGCAGTCACGACAGAAGCCTAAGACTGAAAATCAGGCTTGTCAGATGCTCTATTTTTTCTATCCTGCTCTATGGAGTAGAGAGTCGGTCTCTGACAGAAGGCCACCTGAAGAGACTAGAAGCCTTTGAAATGTGGATTTACAGGTGGCTGTTATGTAGAAGCTGGGTTGACAAGATCAGAAATGAGGAGGTGAGGAAAGCCAAGGAAAATCAACAAAACAGTTGAAAAGCGAAAATTAGAATATTTCGGACATGTGAAATACTCCATTTAATCCTCCAGGGAAAGATCGAAAGCAAACGAGGTCCAGGCAGAAGAAGAACATCGTGGCTTCAAAATCCAAGGGACAGGTTTGGACAAAACTCAGCAGCACTTTTTTGTGCGGCTGCTGATAAAAACAGGATCGCCAACATATCGCCAACATCCGATAACGGACAGGGCACAAGAAGAAGAAGTTTAATTTATAAACATCAATGAGTTTAATAGGCAGAGGAAATGGGCGCTTTGAGGAAACCCCATCAGCAGCAACACCCAGAGCAGCTTATCTTTGTGGATGGGGGGGAATCTCCAGGAAGGGGGGGAAGGTGTTAAGAGGGGGCCGAGCCAGGACTCCTTGCAGTGCAGGAAGCAGCAGAGGCCCGGCCTCCCCCAGGCCCCCTAAAGCCTCATCCCACCGTTGCCCAGGGGGGACACGGTCAGCCTGGTGAGATTCTCATCACGTGGGTGAGCAGCATTAAAGCTGCTTCAGCCACAGGATGGGGGGGGGGCACTCTTAGGACAGGAGTGGGTGCAAAACTGGGCACAACCTGAAAAGACGATTTGACAAAAGTCTGGATCCTTGGGGCACCGGCAACTGGGGGCCAGATCAGGTGGTGGACGGCTGGATTTTGGTTTAGGCGCCAAGAATCAGAAATTATTTCACCCTACCATGAGTGAACAAGGGGATGAAAGATTATTATATTGTGTTTTAAGATGGTCTAATCTTAATTAGAAATCGGATGATTTGATAATGATATTCAACATTCCAACGATGAAATGACGAAACAGTAATTGCTGCAATATTGTAATGTAAACCTACAGCCACATCTGAAAAGTATCAGTATTAGAGACAGTAACAGTGAACATCTACATAGTTTAGATTGTATAGTATCTGCCCGGATTCTCCATCATTAATAGGGTATTTTATATAATAAATGCTTTCAGACTTGCAATTTACATTTCACCAAATTCACCAAAATTGCTTTGCTTGTTCCCGTTTATCTAAATCAGGGGTAGGCCACCTTGGCTCTTTTATGACTTGTGGACTTCAACTCCCAGAATTCCTGAGCCAGCTATGTTGAAGTCCACGAGTCATAAAAAAGCCAAGGTTGCCTACCCCAATCTAAATGGAAAGCGTATCCGGGATTCATCACCAGATCTGGTATATTATTTCAATATAAAATTTACTAACCTTCCCCTTCTGCTTCACTGGTTATTTTTAGTGATTACTGGGGCAAATTAAAATCAATGAAGTAACTTTTTTTTTCAAAAGACCCTGAATTTTCATGTATTGATTTTTCACTTTTTCTTAAAAATTATTTTCTAAAACCGAGAAACTGAATTTATAACATGGAGGAAAGACAATTCTATTAGCCTGACTTGAGCTTAAAGATTAACTCCGGAATTCCCAAGTCTTAAGAATTAAAAAACAAAACACATTCCCCCTGAACCGAGGCACTGTCTCCGATTCCTGCAAGCATTTTATCATTGCAGTTTTTGAAAAAGAGAGGAATATTAAACGAGTAAAGAAAAGTGCATATTACACACCTAACAACAGTAGATCAGAAGCTTCTATGACTTCATTAACCAAATTGTAACCTGTGAGAAACCAGCAGAAGGAGGGGGAGAAAATTACGCGGGAGGATTGACAACAAGGGCCACACAGACACAGCTTTCTCAGAGATGGCACACCAAGAGGGGTCGACAATGGGAAGAGTCAAAAATAAATTGCCACAAAGGGAAGGGAAGTGGGGGGGGGGTCCAATTTCCAAAATATAAGAGTGCATAGGAGGCTCTCATCTGCCGGTCCTGAATATCTGGACATCGTTTCAGCTGTTGTCTTCCATGCCACACACCCCTTCCCAGGTCCCATCTGGAGACAGACACTGTTAGGCCAAGGCTCAGTCCAGCCTCCCAGGAGAAGGACAACCAGCCCGGTGCGGGGTCAGGCCAGGGACTGACTCTCTGGCCAGGACCCAGGAGAAGCCAGGCTCATCAGGCGCAGCCTCGCAGCAAAAACCAACTCTCTAACATCTGGGCCTGTGACTAAAAGAGCCCTGGTGGCCCAAGTGATTGCAGTGCAACATTCAGGCTGACCCACTGCCCACAGCCTGCAGTTCGATCCTGACGGCGCTCGAGGTTGACTCGGCCTTGCGTTCCTTCCCAGGTCGGTAAAACGAGGACCCAGGATGCAAAACATTGTCAACTGCCCAGGGAGTGCAGTAAAGCACTACGGAGCGGTATATAGTTCTGAGTGCTACTGCCGTTGCTAAAAATGCCCATCATCTCCTCCTGGAGACTCACCTTTTCTGGAAAAAGGTGGCCTCTTCCAGGCGGGTCCCACTTCCTAAGCTGCCCAGGTCTAAAGAGGCCCGGGGGGAGGGGATCCGGGAAGTCTAGCTAGTTGCAGGGGAGAGCACAAGGCCTGGGATGCTCGCGCATGCCTTCATCCTCTTCCGGAAAATTCCAGATTCAAAGGGCTAAGACAGGGGTAGCAACCTTGGCTCTTTTATGACTCGTGGACTTCAACTCCCAGAATTCCTGAGCCAGCTCTGCTGGCTCAGGAATTCTGGGAGTTGAAGTCCACGAGTCATAAAAGGGCCAAGGTTGCCTACCCCTGGGCTAAGAAATAACAACTCCTTCCCAGCTTCTCCGGACCAACCTCCTCCCACTTCTCTCCCCTTTTGGAGAAAACAATCCCCTTACCGGGTGTGAAGAAACCGGATAAGGAGCTGAAGGTCTCGCTGATCTTGTGGAAGTCCGGCACCAGCTTGGCCAGCTCTTCGGAATCGGGAAGAGCCTTTTTAAGTTTCTCTAGGAACAGAGAAGACGGGAAAATGAGTCGGCTCCAGATTTTTAATTAAAATAAAAACAAAAATAAGGTTTTGCCTTGGTTTACTTCTTGCGTTCCGCAGAGCCTTTCAGGCAGTGCCGCTATAAAATGTGGTTGAATCTTCACCTCTCAGCCGAAGGATTGGGTCCCCCCGTTTGCAATCTCCACCCTCCAGGGCTCCCAGGACCGTCCAGTCTGAGCTCACAGGAGGCCAAAAATAAACTGGTCAGTTGTGGTCCTGATACTCCCTACACACACACACACACACAGAGAAGACCTCTACAGGGGGCAGGGAAGGACAACTCTTGCGCTTTCCCACGAGGTCACTGCTGGGGGGGCAGTGGGGGGCATCTGACCGCCCAGTCTCCAGCTGGAGAGAAGAAATCCCAAACCCCAAACCGAAGACCAGCTGAAACCTGGCAGGTTTGGAGTTCTTGAAAAAGGGGGCAGCTGAGGCCCTGAGGCCAACCGTGGAGGTCCTGCTCCTAGGAGAGAGGCTGAGAGTAGCCCCCTCTTTTATGATGAGAAAGGGGGGGGGAGGGCGAGCTTGACAAAACCTGTTTCCTAGCCACAAAGGGGAAAGGGCATGTTTTACTCATCGATTTTTGTTATACACAACCTGTTCCTTCCGTTATGTACTCAAGATGGACAACAGGGATTAATATTTATATGCTACTTATATGTAAGAGTGTAGGTCTATACATATGTTGGATAGAGCATGTTTAAATGTGTTATGTATGTGTACACTTTGAGAGCAAGCAACTGAATTTCATTTTTAAGGTGTGCCATTGTGCCCATAGTAAAAAATAACAATAAAGGCTATCTATCTATCTATCTATCTATCTGTCTGTCTGTCTGTCTGTCTGTCTGTCTGTCTGTCTGTCTGTCTGCCTGCCTGCCTGCCTACCTACCTCTATCTATCTATCTATCTATCTATCTATCTATCTATCTATCTATCTATCTATCTATCTATCTATGAATGAGTCGGCCCAACAGTGAGATGGGCGCTATACAAATTTAATAATAAATAAATAATATAAATACAACTTAACAACAGTTTATTCAGTGACCATTCAAAGTTACAATGGCACCGAAAAATGTGCCTTATGACCATTTTTCGCAATTACGACTGTTGCAGCATCTCCACGGTCATCACGTGATCGAAATCCAGATGCTGGGCAACTGGCTCGCATTTATGACAGTCGCTGTGCCCCAAGGTCACGCGATCCCCTTCTGCGACCCTCTGAAAGCAGAGTTAGTGGGGGGAAGCCAGATTCACTTAACCGTGTGACTCATTTAGCAACTGCAGTGATTCGCTTAACAACTGTGGCAAGAAAGGTCGTAAAATGGAGCAAAGCTCCCTTAACAAATGTCTTGCTTAACAACAGAAATACCGCAGTACTGTATAGCTCAGATTATCACAATTAAAACCCATGAACCCCCCCCCCCGAAAGGTGGGCTGGATGAGCAGGCACCTGGGTCCCTCTGCCCTCACTTAGGACTCTCTGTCAGGGGCGACAGGGAACACGAAGCACCTACCGAAGTCGATGTGCTCATCGATTTCCCACAGGAAGTCCGGAACAATCCATTTATATTCGCTGAGGTCAGGCAGAGAATCCTTCCACTGGTTGTAGGTCTAAAGCAAGCCAGAAAAAAGATCGTGAGGTTTTTGCACTCCTAAGAGAAAGTCTTGAAAAAGCCCTCCGGAAAACCCAGCCCTGATCAAACCGGTTCCGACGTGCGCGTAAACCCGCTGATTTAAGTTCACATCTGAATGTGTCTTCGAGGGTGGAAAACGTGGCAGCCCCACGGGGAGGCAGGACAGCATCCCAGACGTCCGGCGCCCGTCTATCAAGCCACCGCCCCTCCCTTAGACCACGCCCACAAAACAGCCCAATCGGTTTACTGAGAAATGGGTATGGCGCGGAAGACAAAACTCAGGTTTTATTCATTTGTTTCTTAAGGGGTATATATTGCCCGTCTCGCCAAGAGGTGGAGGCTTACGACCAACCAAGCAAAACCACGTTTTGGACAAAGGGCTAATACATTCGGCCGAGGATCAGGCCCCTATCCAGGTAGCCCTCGACTTACGACCGTAAAGGAGTCCAGAATTTCCATTGTAATTGACGGTGGCCCTAAGTCCAGGCGCTCCTGTGACCAGACACGGTTTTATGACTTTTTCTGCAGTGTGGCCGTTAAGTGAACGCAGGGGTCATTACGCATTGCACGCATTGTTCCCGTGGGCATTTTTTCTGCCAGGAACCAGCAAAACCCTGTTGTGAATGGCAGTCAGGAGGCCGCACGGAGGCCGCAGGGGCCCCCAGAGGCGGGCCCTGGCCAGATGCAGTCAGGTGACCCCAGGGATATGTCTATGCGGATGTGGAAACTCTGAAACCGGGTCACATGTAGCTTTGGGTGGGCCTGTCATTAATTTCAAGCGGTCGGTAACCGACCGGTTGTTAAATGAGGACTACCTGCCCTACATGAAGCCACCTCCATAGAAAGAGCTTCGTCTGTGTCCTCCAAACCTTCCAAGGTCCGGCTGGGGACTTTCGCAGCGACCTCCCCATCTGAGTCCAGCATCAGGAGGATCCATCCTTCTGGGCAGCCATTCTCCCACCTAGCTCCACCTGGCAGACTTCAAAGCTGCGTTAAATCTAATTACAGCAGCCATTCAGAACCGGGCAAATGCTTATTATAGCTGAAAGGGCCTCTCTAAGGAGCTCAGGACATGCCAGGCTTAACTTATCTTTAACGAGATGAAATGTAACAGACACAGCGGCAAAGTTCATTATTTAGAAAATCAAATACACAGGAATACGTTAGAGCAGTGGTTCTCAACCTTTCTAATGCCGCAACCCCATAATACAGTTCCCCATGTTGTCATGACCCCCAACCACTTATACATCACCAGGTGCCAGGGGCATGGCCAAAGAAAAGGGGGAAAAAATGACGGACAGCCTTGTTTGGCGACCCCTGTGAAATGGTCGTTCGACCCGAAATAGGATCCCGACCCACAGGTTGAGAACCACTGCGTTAGAGGGTATCCAACTTAGTAATGCCATTTGGAAACACAGACACTCCTGGTTTAGCAACTACCTCGCTCTGCGGCCATTCACAAACACAATGGTAATAACAAAATTATTTCCCAACCGATGCTTAACAATTAAGCCCTGTGAGCACAGATTAAAGGACCTGGATGTGTTTAGCTCTGAGAACAGAAGACTGGGGGGGGGAAGGAGGGGGGCAGAATATGATAATATTCACACAGACTCATACAGAAGTCAGAACAAGGAATCGTGGGATTGGAATGGACCCTACAGATAATCTAATATTGCACGTTATTTTAGGAAAAAACGAACAATTATTTAAAAATGCCACCAAGGAAGACAAACTTTTGCTGGAGCTTGCAATAACAATAACAATAATAAAGTTGGAAGGGACCTTGGAGGTCATCTAGTCCAACCCCCTGCTCAGGCAGAAAGCCCTATACCATTTCGGACAAATGGCTATCCAGTCTCTTCTTAAAAACTTTCAGTGTTGGAGCATTCACCGCTTCTGGAGGCAGGTTGTTCGAACCAGTTGCCAAGCGTCTGAATTTTGATCACGCAACCAAGGGGATGCTGCAACGGTCATTAAGTGTAAGTCACCTTTTTCAGTGCCGTTGTAACTTTGAATGGTCCCTAAACGAAGTGCCGTAAAGTCGAGGACTATCTGTATCGAATCAATGTTACTTGTTAGGGAAGGAAATCTATTCCTGGAGAGAAAGGTTTAATTCTTAGAATCCTTTTGTTTCTAAAAGATAAAGCCTAACACCTACCTTACAAACAGGTCTAAATGTCCTACTGAATTAGGTAACCATTTGTGGATGCTCTACCTCAGGGGTCTTCAAACTTGGCCCTTGGATGACTTGTGGACTTCAGCTCCAAGAATTCCTCAGCCGGGCACGCGTGAGGAATTCTGGGAGCTGAAGTCCACAAGTCATCCAAGGGCCAAGTCTGAAGACCGCTGAACTAGATCAATGGTCCCTGGAAAGTGTCTTTGGCTGTCCGTGGGAATGAAGGACACTCAAAAAAATAATTTAAAAAAATGGCCACTGAAAGGGAATCTCTGGATGACCTTTCTACTGCTCTTATGCCCTAATCCAGGGGGTTTCCCAGCTGTTTTTTTTAATTTTCATTTCTGTCTTTTTTTTTTTAATTTTTGAATTGTGTTAGCCCAGGGGTCTTCAAACTTGGCCCTTTTATGATTCGTGGACTTCAGCTCCCAGAATTCCTCAGCCAGCATCCACAAGTCATGAAGGGGCCATAGTTCCCCCATGCTGGCTCAGGAATTCTGGGAGTTGAAGTCCACAAGTCATCCAAGGGCCACGTTTGAAGACCCCTGCTCTACCTCCATGTTCTATGATCTGAAAGGATACCTGGACCGCCTGCATGTCAACCACAAGCCGCCCTCAAGGACAGAGTGCCGGTACCTTCTGGGCCGTGTAGCCGCCGCCCACCGCAGAGCCCAGCACGATGTAGCGCAGCCGCAGCAGCCTGGACGCCACCCGAGCAAGCCAAAAGTTCCTGGAGGGCTGGAGGCCGTACTTTACAAACAGCCTGGAGCTGCGCAAGGGAAGGCGACTGAGGGCGGAGTAATGCTGTGCCGAGGTCCTTAACCGAAGTCGTGGTAATTTGGAAGCAGGATAGCAGGAATGATGTGTTTTTCGTGAAATAAGATGCAGTTTCTGCAGCGGCAGCTTCCCTCTCGCTCTGTAGGTGCCATTGGCCAAATTCTGACAGGCAGCGCTAAAGGGGAGGAAACGCAGATCCTGGATTATTCATGCATGGTTCTTAATTTTCTCTGAGTCTTGAATGCAAGCAAAATCACAGGTCAACAAGATTTCACGCTAAGTTTCTACATTTACCCCCACACCATCATCGGCTACTTTCCTAGACGCAGTGGGCCACCTTGAGGAGGGGATCTGGGGGTGCACTTTGAAGCTGGTTCAAAAAAAAATGCTGCAAGCAACATATGAAGAGTCACGGAGAGACTTCCATTTGAAAAGCCCCAGGTCTGTGTTGCAACCTGTGCTGCCTGTTTGGGAGCACAAAATTCATGGTCAGAGGTCTCATAAAACCATCCTACATAAAGACGGTGGCCACCACCAGAACAGTAGCTTCTGTGCAAAAAGCACCACTCCTAAATAAATGGTGAATAAAAACCACACGGTTTCGTAATGATTCAACCTTTAGGCCCTTTAGGCCTTCCACAACCTGGAGCCCCCTGGGTCTGTGGAGATTTTCAATCATCCACATCATGACTGTTGCAAAAGAAGTCCAGTTGCCTTTTGAAAAGCACCTTTGGGATGGAGCCCTCTGAAACTTCTCAGTGGAGATGTAGCCTAACAAACCTCAAAGGTCACACAAGGGAATCAGGAACACGGCACGCTACATTTCCCAAATGCTCAGCGCTGTAAGACAGCTGCGCAGAGACAATGAAATAACTTCTTATTCTCATGTTTATAAACGGACTGTAGGTTTACAGTGTTGCCTATACAAAGTAGAGTTACACATTCAAGGCAACCTTTGGACAACCCCTCTTTTTGGCCTTCAAAATGGTGGTGAAGATCTTGGGCTAGGCTAGAAAGGAAAGGTAAGAGTATGAAAAGTTTAGCGTGCAGTGCTGAGGTTGGGATTATAGGGGGCTGTTATTGCTACCAGTAGTAATATTGATTCAATTTAACATAGCCACCCACTCTTCTGGATTTGGTCAGTTTTACTTATTTTGTTTTTATTGGACAGAGTTGTCTTGCATAAGATTGCCTATTAAGTCTCTAAATAATTAATCCAAAGGGGAGGATAGTGGCATCTTAATGGGGGATGCAATAAATCTACTTTATTTCATTGCAAAGTCCAGAGGCTCCAACATTAGGAGTGCTAGTCTTAACTCCCGGATGTCTCGGTTTCCAGCCCGGTGCCTTAACCACAACGTCACACCGTCTCTCTCTACGTTTACCATTGGATCGGTATCCTTTCAAAGGGAGAGGCTTCTATTCTCCTGGTCTATGGAGATTCTCCATCCTCCAGGCCCTGGTTGCCCCAAAGATGCTTTTTCCAAAAGGCAACTGGACTTTTTCCCCTTGAAAACATTCTGCTTGTCATGCAAGAAGCTTCTCCAGTTCGGGATGAGAAGAGAAAGATTTTCAAGGAAAAGCGCAAGTCCCTTTTGGAAGAAGCAGCTCTGGGACAACCAGGGCCTGGAGCATCTCCACAGACAAGGTGAACAGAAGCATCTCCTTGAAGGGAGACCGAACCAATGTTTATATAGCTCCATCCTCCAGGTCCCGCTTGTCCTAAAGCTGCTTTTCCCATCCTGAACTGAAAAAGCTTCTTGCTTGAGAAGCAAAACGTTTTCAAGGAGGGGAAAAAAGCCCCTCCCACCCTCCAGAGCTGCTTTTTCAAAAAGGCAACTAGACTCTCTTTGTTGTTGTTCTTTTTTTCTCCCCTTGAAAACGTTTCTCTTCCCATCCGAGGAGCTTCCCCCGTTCTGGGGGAGGCCTTTCGGAGAAAGCACCTTCGGGGCGTCTATTATTCAACCTGGCATCCCGAAGACATCGCCACGATCCTCCACGGGATGCGGGGGATGCGGGAGGGGGAAGGACCGGTCGGCTCGCGGAGTCCTCCCCCGTCCTGTCCGCCTGGGCTGGGCCTTCATGCGCCACCGGTCCTCCGCCGGGCCCCGGGGAAGAGGCGGGCGGGGCGGGGCGCTGGGCAGGGCCGCGGGAGGGGATGGGGGGAGCTTCGGAGAGGCCGCCACCTGCCTGCCGGCCACGGGAGCCCCGGCCTCGACTTCTCCAGGCGGAAGGATCACTCCGGGCCGGGCAGCCTCGGGAGGCGCCTCGGCTTGAGCCCCCGCTCCGGGCCGAGCGGAGCAAGGCGGCACGGCCGGCCAGAGGAGCCGCTCTCGGGAGCGACGACGCGGATCCCGCTTCCCGCCCGAATCGCCCTTCCCCGCCTCGGCCCTCCTTCCGCTCAACTCCGGTGGGAGCTGGCAATCGCGGGCCCGGGTCTTGGCCCCGCACTAACCAGGCCGCCGCCGCCGCCGCCGAGCAGGCCCGCCACATCCTGAGCCGCCCGGCCCGGCCGGTCCTTCCCCGCCGCCGCCGCCGCCTTGCCCTTCAGTCGCTTCCGCTTCCGGGCTATCCGCCAAAGCGCTGCGCCTGCGCGCCAGGTCCCGGGCTGGAACGCGATTGGGCGGACGGGCCGTGCTGTAGACTCATGAAAGTGTAGAAGGGACGCGCCAAGCCGCTCCAGCTCGGCCTCGGGTCCCGTAGCCTTCGGCGGCTGCCCGAAAAGCCCCGGCGCTGGAGCCGCGCTCCTCTGCCCGGACGGAGACGGGCATGCGGGTCTCCGAAGGACCTTCCTCGGGGCCCCCGCCAGGCCCGAGCACGGGCAGTCCCGAATCCGCAGATTGGCCTGGCTCAGGAGCTCTGACATCGGTGGACTCCAACTCCCAGAATCCCCCAACCGGCACACGTGGACTCCAGGCTCCCGGAAGCCCTTAGCTGATGTGCAGGGACTCCAACTCCCAGAATCCCCTGCCAGCCCACATCATCCCCAGTTCCCAGCTCCTGACAGCTGGTGTTCAGGGACTCCGACTCTCAGAATGCCAGCCAGCCTGCTGCTTTTACCCAGTCCCTGGTCCCAAAGAACTCAATTCAGCCACTCAGAACGTGAGACTGGGAAGGCCGGGCTGCCTCCCTCTGCCTCCGAGACCCCCACTGCCTCCGTCCAGAGGTCCGAGCGCCCACTGCACCGCCGAAGGGCAGGAGGGCGCTGGAGGTGCTTTCTCTGCCAGCCCCACAGAGGGAGGTCTCCGAGACACCCTGTCTGTTTGTGTGTGTATGTGTGTGGTTGTGAACCTGCGTCACAATCTCCCTCTGGCCTGATAATAGTTAATAGTTGGTCCGAACATTGTTCCGGTCTGCCCCCTTCAGTACTTGTACTGAAAATTAACAGAATAGCAGAGCTGGAAGGGACCTTGGAGGTTTTCTAGTCCAGGGCTTTTCAACCAGTGGTACAGGTACCACCTGTAGTCCATTGGCACCTGGCAGGTGGTACGCGACCATCCTAGAAAAGGGGTAGTGGGGGAGGGGAATGAGCTGAACCGGTGGCAGCACCGTACAAGCCTGAGCGAGAGACGGCTGGAGCTGCAGGGCTGTCAGGGCTCAGCAGAAGCACCAGGATTAGTGCCAGGCTCCAGCTGGAGCTCGGCGCTGATCCTGGTGCTTCTGCTGAGCCCAGAAGAAGCACCAATCAGCTTGAATGTTGCAGCATCTTCAGGGTCTTGTGATGCTTGGCAACTGATTCATATTTATGACGGTCACAGTGTCCCAGGGTCATGTGAAGTGATCAAAACCTGCTGCAACCACCCAGCAGATGCGGGGGGGGGGGGAATAAAAACCAAACACCCCCCCATGCCACCCCCGCTGCCAATCCTCAACAAAAATGCTCACAACAATGAAAACCTCGAACAGGAGGAAGAGTGCCGCCGGGCGGGCAGGCAAGTGTCTTCCTCGGCACTTTTTTCAGTGCCATTGTAACTTCGAACAGTCACTAAGTGAACTTTTGTAAGTTCGAGGACTACCTGTATTTTATCACTTTTTTCCTTTTTTTTTTTGCTAGGTGACTGGTGGTACTTGGATATTGCCATATCCTAAAAGTGGTACAATGGGTGAAAAGGTTGAAAAGCCCTGTTCTAGTCCAACCCCCTGCTCAGGCAGGAGACCCTATATGCCAAATCAGACTGTCCAATATCCTTAAAACCCTCCACTGATAGTGCACCCACAACTTCGATAGGCCAGCCCTTTTGCTTGTTCCTTGCTTCTCCGCAGGGAAATCCAGTTGCTGTGCGGTTGTTTCCTCCCTCCAGGAAGGGAGGACCTCCTGGGGGCAGCAGATGCCAAAGGGAGCTTTCTTCCGACTTCCTTCTCCTTGTAAAAGGAGACAGTTTGTTCCAGTAGATCTTTGGGTGGTTGGGACACCGGTGCTTATTTTATCTCGGTTCTGTGGCTCATGCGGTTTATTTCTTCCTTTCTTCGGTGGGGTGGGCCACCTGAACTCCGAGCGATCAGAATGGCACCCACAAATAGTAAACAATCCCCTCCCCCTCAATATTGGTAATTTTGCATATCACTGGGATTGGGATTACACCCCTGTGGAAGCATCTGCTGTCCACCCTAGTTTCCTGCTCTCCAGGAGACCCAGGATCTGGACTTTCATCTGTCTACGAAGTGCCCCTCCTTTAAGGAGAGCCTCCAGTGCTAGTTGCAGGCACAGGAGGCCCCGTCCTTGGCTGGCTCCCTCTTCCTAAGGAGGTGGAAGAGGGAAGGGTTGTTTTTTTTTTGCAGAGTTTTAGGAGTGTCTGTTAAAATGAATGTTTAAACGTTCAAAGGAGAGGCTCCATTAAAAAGACCAGGGAGAAAGGGCACATAGTTTGGGCAGCGCAGCTGTCAGCGGTGGCCTGACTCCCTTGGGTGGCAGGCAGAGAGCCTGTGTTGCGGACGGCTGGGTCCCCCCTTCCCTCCACCTGCCTGACTAGAGAGACCCCAGATCAGTTGAGCATCCCCGCAGAACCAGCTGAGAGGGACTCTTGTAAAGCATTGTCTGCTGCTTCTGCCCTGTTCTTGGGGAAAGAGGCTTCTGGTTACAGCAACTCCAGCTTTCTGGGGACGTTCCTGTGGTGTCTAAGAAGCCCAGCTAAGTTTGTGGTGGAATTTCTCTTAAGAAAGGGCCCAGGAAATTCCAAAGAGCCAGAAAACAAAGAATAGAACAGAAGGGAAGGGACCCTTGGAGGTCTTCTAGAAGCTGAAAGGGACCTTGGAGGTCTTCTAATCCAGCCCCCTGCTCATGCAGGAGAACCTATACCATCTCAGACAAGTGATTGTCCAGTCTCTTCTTAAAAACCTCCAATGATAGAGCACCTGCAGCTTCTGGAGGCAAGCTGTTCCACTGGTTAATTGTCTTCACTGTTAGGAACTTTCTCCTTAATTCCAGGTTGCCTCTCTCCTTGGTCAGTTTCCAACCATTGTTTTTTGTCCTGCCTTCAGGTGCTTTGGAGAATAATTTGATCCCCTGTTCTTTGTGGCAGCCTCTCAAATACTGGAATATTGCTATCATATCACCCGTTTCTTTTTTTCTTTAGACTAGCCAAACCCAAGTCCTGCAGCCATTCTTCGTATGTTTTAGTCTCCAGGCCTTTGATTATCTTAGTTGCTGTTCCCTGAACTTTTTCCAAGGTCTTAACATCTTTTTTGTAGTATGGTGGCCAAAATTGGTTGCGGTATTCCAGGTGTGGCCTCACTAGGGTTTTATAAAGCGGTACTAATACCTTGCGTGATCTTGATTCTATGTCTTTGTTTATTTAAACCAGGACTGTATTAGCTTTTTTCGGCTGCTGCTGCACACTGCTGATTCATAGTCAAGTGATAGTCTACTAGGACTCTAAGGTCCCTCTCAGTTACTGTTTTTGAGCCAGATGTCACCTAATCTGTACTTACACCCTTGGTTTTTTCTGCCTAAATGTAAAACTTTGCTGTTCTCCACATTAAACATCATTTTGGTGGATAGGACCCATTGTTCAAGTTTGTCAAAATCTTTTTGGATGCTGAGCTTGTCTTCTGGGGTGTTGGCTGTTCCTGCCAGTTTAGTGTAATCTGCAAATTTGATGAGTTCCCCTTCTATTCCCTCATCTAAGTCATTAATGAAGATATTGAAGAATATGGGCCTAAGACAGAACCTTGGGGTACCCCACTGCTTACTTTCCTCCATGTAGTAGTGCCATTGAGGACTACTCTCTGAGTACGGTTTGTCAGCCAGGTGCTGATATTGTCTATTCCATCTTTTTCTAGCTTACCAAGCAATAGTCTACTTTGTCGAATGCCTTACTGATATCTAGGTATACTATGTCCACAGCATTTTGCTGGTCTCCTAGTCACTTTGTCGAAGAATGAAATAAGAATGGCCCAGAAGAACTTTATTTTGCCCTGTATGGGCTCTGTCCATGGTTCCTACTTTAAGGATTAGCTTGTCTGCCCTGCAGGGTTTCCTCTGCCCATTCAGGGTGCAAGAAGCAGAAGACCAAGGGGTTTGGGGGGGGGAGCCCTCAAGAGCATGAAAAGGGAAGGAAGCACCTCCAGGCCTCTGATCCAGGCGGCTTCTCTCCCACAAGCGGTGGTGGCACTCGCACAATACCTGCCTTTGTCAGGAGTCGCCCCCTGCAAATACATCTCCTGCAGGCAGCCCCCTCCCTTTGCCTGGCCTGGAGCCTGCCTGGGCAGGTGGAACTCTGGAGTGGCCCCATCAGGAGGGAGCCCGGTCTCTTCAGCGCTGGAGGAAGGAGGGCGAGGGAAGGTGTTTTCACCTGGAGCTCCAGGGAGGAGCCATCCTTCAGCAGCAGCAGCAGGAGCCCGGCAGGAGGAAGGTGTGGCCCTGCAGGTCAGCCTGGTATATAAGCGGCCCCATCCCTGGTGCCCCAGGAAGGGCAGTTGCGCTAGCAGTTGCACTAGCAGGCTTGGAGGGCTGCCCATGGAGGAGAAGCATGGAGGGAGCCACAGGGCCCTCCTCAACAAGGGAGAGGAGGCTGAAATGGTGAGTCTGCCCCCCCCATTGCTGGGTCTTCCCCACCGTCGCCCTGGAGGCAGCCTCTTGCTCCGGGGAAAAGCGTCCCTGCAGGGCTGGCCCCAAGGCTCCGGCAACGGGGCAGAGAGGACGGGCTGGCCGAAGGGGGTGAAAGCCTCTCCAAGGCAACCGGCCCTTGTGCTGGGAGCTCGCACCTGCCCTCTATGCTACGAAGCCCTCCTCGGCGGAACTTGGCAGTCACCGACTCTTCCTGGGAGGGGGCCTCGCTGGAAAGGGCGCAGACCCCCCAACCAGCAGAGCAAAAAAAAAAGGGGGGGGGTCTTCTTCACGGGCTTTATTGCACAAAGGATTATAGTTGCGTGGCCGCCAATGGGACGTTCCTCGCCAGCTGCGCTCAAGACGTCGCCCGGAGCTAAGAGTGGCCTGAAGGCGCAACGCCCCCCCCCAAATAAGTACTGTGTGGGGGGGCCCGTGTCTCGTTTTCCCCGCTTTGCTGGCTGAGCTGTAACCAGACCCGGGCTGAAGCCCGGGAGCCCGCGCGGCCACGGCTGCTATTCCGAAGCGCTGCCGAAGCGCTGGCTCTGCCCGCTGCCCGCCGGCCTCCTCGCTCGAGCGGGGAGGCTGCCAGCTCCGCTGCCCCTGCCGGGTCTTCGGCGGGGGGGGGTTGGGGGATGCCCCCCCCCGTTCCCCTTCGCCAGTCCGCGCTCCGAGGCGCTTTCTGCCTCCCCGCAGCTGCTCCCCATCCCGCCCGCAGCCTTCCTCTCTGCTCCGCTCCCCCCGGATTAAACTCTCCCTCCAGGGCCCCCCCTTCCCCCGGGCGAGCAGCGTTCCTCTTCTGTAACTGGAGCCCCGGGAGGGTCTGGAGCTCCGCGGGGCATGTGGGGGGGGGGGCTTCGGACAGCGGGGCCCGCCCTGCCCGGCGCCTGTGCAGGTGGTGGTGGGGGGCTTCCTCCGGCCTCGTCTGCCCGGGGCCCCCCTGCGGGAGCGGTGGCCAAGGGTCGGACGGCGTCCTTCGGAAACCCCGAGCCCAGCCCGGCTTCCCCGGACCTGGCTGCGCTCCTCCCCCGGCCTCCGTCTCCTCTGCCGGAGCCGAGCGAGGGAAGCGGCGTCCCGAAGCCCGGCTCCAGCGTCTCGTCGCCTCGCCTTCTTTCCGCCTGCGAGGCAGACCGGCCGAGAGGCAGCCCGCCCCGCAGCTCTCTGGAAGCGGCGCACGGGCTCTTTCGGGCCCCCGGGCACCGCAGGCGGAAGGCGGCTCTCCCTGGCATTTTTTCTGGAGGGGCGGAGGTGGCAAAGCCCCCCCCCCGCCTCTACATACTCCGTAGGAGATGTACCTTTTCAAAGTGATGCACTTCACTTTCATTTTCAGCACTTGGCAAGGCCGAGGAACCCAGAGCGTAACATTAAATTGTATGTTAAATTAACATATAATAAATGTCAAAATTAATTTGATTAATATATAATAGATAAGGTTCATTAAGGTTAATCGAAACTAATTTAATTGACCTTCTATGTAGCCCATCTTGCTGCCCGTGACTGTGGGCAGCTTACAACCTCTGTATGAGCGGAGGGGCGTGTGTGGGTGTGAAGCCTGGAGGGAGGGGGTCTGCAGGGTGGGATCAAAGGACAGCTGCCACTACGTGTGACTGACGCGTGTTAAGCGTTGTCCGTTCCCTGCGGACTCGCCTGCTCGAGAGTCATTTTCTCAGCGCTGAAATTTGGACTCTGTGCCCAGACCGGAAGGCTCTGCTGCCCCCTTCTGGCCCTTCCCTCTTTGACACTCTCTGCGTCACAGCCCTCCCCTCCCTCGGCTTTCCTCCCCGGATGGAATGGGTCAACTCACCCGGGACAACTCTTAGCCGTTCGGTTTAATTATTTAAAATAATTTTAAAATTACAGTATTTTAATTTTTGTCGTCCAGGTTTCATTTTGCCTTTCCTTTCTCATCCTTTCTTTGATGATTCTATCCCACCGTTCCTTCGATATTAGATGACTTGGTTGCGTCAAGTTGGCCGTGGCCAGTTGGCAGTACATAGCAGCCGAGCAGGAGAAAGTTGCAGGCAGGTGGGTCAGTAGCAGCCCAGGGGGAGAGTAGAATTAGGATTAAGATTTAGAATTAGAATTACAGAGTTGGAAGGGACCTTGTGGGTCATCTAGTCCAACCCTCTCCATATGTTGAGGCCACTTGGGGTCAGTCACCCAGGAGCCCATTGAAGGGCTGGGCAAGGGGTCCCAGGCTGCCATCAGGATGGGGGGGGCTCCTCAGCTCCTCCTCCTCGGCCCCTCCCAGGCCCTGGAACATCCCCCTTCCAAGCAGGGCTTTGCTCTGGCTCACCCATTCTTCCTGAGGGGCCTGTTTCTCAGCTAAGCCAGGGTGCTGAGCCTTTGCTGCCGAGGGGCTTCGGCTTCTTCCTTTGAGGCAGAGATGGGGGCAGGGACCATCCCAAGACCCGCTGGGACATCCCCTGCAGGCCCCGGACCCACAAGGTCCCACTCAAGAATCCTTGGATCCAGCTGCTCCCCATGGATGTCTTAATAGGGGCGCCTAGCCTCAGCCTCCACCAGAGGCCCAGCCTTGGATCACTTCCGCAATTTTAGGGGGACGCATCCCCGGATGTGAGAGAAGAGTTTCTCCCAAACAAACCAGGAAATGGCTTCCTCTCTCTCTTGGCCAGGCCCCACGGATTCAGAGGAGAAAAAAGAGGGACGGGGGGGGGCGCAGGAAGGAGCCGGGGCTGGAGACGAGGGAGGCCAGCCTGCAGGAGCCGATGGTGGCAGAAGGCGGCAGTTCTTGCCTGGCAAAACCGCAGACCGGATCTGTTCCCTTCTGCCACCCTCGGCCCGGTGTCACTTGGCAGCTGGAGACAGGTGCCGGCCCTGCATGTCCGAGGCTGTGCTGGTAATTTTGGCCGGGCGTTCTTCAGGGACGCTTGGCAGAAAACAGACTCACGACAATCCCAAGCAGAATAAAAAGAAGGCAATTAAAGGAAACGCAGGACGGGCAATTACAGCGTAGATTAAAGCAATTAAACCCCAGAGTTCAAAAACCGGGGAGAGATCCAGGAAGGAAGCCCCACCCTGAAGAACCGGTCACTGCCTGCCTTGCCTCAGCCGGGAGGGACCTTCCCCGTCTGCCAGGACGGGACCGAGTGGCGCTGGGTGCCAGATTCCTTGCACGCAGCTCTCCCTGGCTCCTCGGAGCTGCCCTGCATCCCTTCGGCAATATTGGACTTCAGTTCCCATAATCCTAGGCCAGTAGCACCGACGGTTGCACAGGAGGGAGAGGCTGGCCGATGATCCGCAGCTTTTCCGGGATGATGAGGAGGCAGGGAGTCCTCGACTTACAGCAGTTTGTTTAGTGACCGAAGTTGCAACAGCGTTGAAAAAAGTGACGTGTCCGTTTTTCACACTTACGACCGTCACAACATCTCCATGGTCACGTGATCACAACTCAGAGGCTTGGCAACTGGCTCATAGTTAGGACGGTCGCTGTGTCCCGGGGGGGTGTGTCGTGTGATCCCCTTTTGCAACCTTCCAACAAGCAAAGTCAGTGGGGAAACCAGACTCACTTAACAACTGCAGTGATTCACTTAACAACCGTGGCAAAACTCACTTAACAACTGTCTTGCTTGGCGACATAAATCTGAGGCTCAATCGTTGTCGTAAGTTGAGGACTGCCTATAAAGGCAGGAGGCCTCTCACCCGCTGCTTTGCTCAAAGCCTCCCCCTCCCCAACCGGGACAAAAGTGGCCGCTTTGAGGGAGCCCAGGAACAGGGCTGGCATTGGGCCCCTGGGCATGCAGAACAGCCCCGAAACGAACCTCAGGGAGTCCTCTGGACCCCAAAGCGCCCGGTTCGCCCTCCTTCCTCCCTCCTCTGCCCTCCAGGAACCCGGCTGCCCAGAGTAATTGCCCCACAGCAGAGCTTGCTTTATTTCAGAGGCCTCCTGCCGGCGGCTTAGAGGCCGGCCAAGGAATTTGGCCAGATGCAGGTCAGGAAAGAGGCTGAAGTGGACTAGGAGGGCTCCACCAGCTGACCTGGGAGGCCTCTGGAGAAGGTAACCCATCCACACAAGCAGCCTGAGCCCAAACTCGCTTTCTTCACCCAAAAATCTACTTGCTCCTCGCCTCTCTGGACATGGCCTGACTGGATTTCCAGAGAGGTAGTCCTGCTCCTCTCTCGGGTGGCAAATCGGCAGGAGCTGCAGCTGAAAAGGGAGCAAATGGGTTTCTACAGAAGCTGCTCTGGATCACCGTCTCCTCCATCCAGCAGACCTCACGGTCTTCTTCGCTCATAAATACTTCCTTGATTGATAGGGACAGCCCTCCTCCTCCTCCTCCTCCTCCTCCTCCTCCTCCTCCTCCTCCTCCTCCTCCTCTTCCTCCTCCTCCTTTCCAGCACTGATGATGTTACCTTGCTGGGTCATGAAACATCTGCAAGAAAACAATGGAAGTTCAGAGAGGGCCAAGGACCCCATACTCCTCCCCCCTCCATTCTCCTCTTCCTCCCCTTCCCTCCTCCTCCTCCTCTTCCTCCTCCCCCCTCCATTCTCCTCCTCCTCCCCTTCCGTCCTCCTCCTCCTCCTCCTCTTCCTCCTCTCCTTCCCCCTCCTCCTCCTCGTCCTCCTCCCGTGATGCTTGACAAATGCCTCTCGGGCAGCTCCAGAGCCAGACCTTCTTCCCTTCTGGGTAGCAACAGGACCTTCTGAGTCTCTGGCAGCAGTTTCCATCTGACTCAAGGATGCCAACGTGGGATCTGGGATCTACCCTGTGTCATTCCCAGCAGTGATACCTTGAAGTTGCGGGGGGGGGGGAATCCCAGGAGGATGAAACGTCGTCTTGCCATGATCTTCTTGCTCTTTTGAGCTCCGGGGTCCCACAGCATCCATTCAAGATGTCTGTGAAATCCACGTGAACATTCTTCATTTTTTTACAGAGTGTCTTGGAAAGTTTCCTCTTTCAGGATAAAATCCAAAATTCACACAGTATGCAAGGTTCAGTGACTTCCCAGATGTATTTTATGCAGCTGGGAAATCTGTTCGTTGAATATAGGGACACGTGAAGATTCAATTAAACTGATTTATTGCTAAAAGCCTACGCAGAGGAATCTTCTCAACTAATGGCCAGCACTGGTTAGAGATAGACAAGAGTCGATGGAATTCAAGGGAAGTTGGACTTTGTTTCCTTGTGGCTACATAAAGATGCTAGGCTGATTCCTCTGTTGACTCCGCCCCGGGTTCTGCCATCTGTTCTCCTACAGGTTGATTATTTTGAAGAGAGATGAGTTTTTACAAAGACTGGACCTTCACGCAGACTGAGTGGGGAGGGCTCTCTTCACGGCAATCTCTTTCCTTCCAGGAGATGTTTGGCTACAAGACCCACGGCTTCCGGAGGGCCCTGTGCCTGGCTGGCTACATCCTGTCCTGCGGAGGCCTCCTGCTTCTCTTCCACTGGAAACCCGAGTGGGACGTCTGGGCCAACTGCCAGCCCTGCAGCTTGGAAGAGGCCGACGTGGTGCTGCTCAGAACCACAGTAGGTCCCTCCCTCCCTCCTTTCCTCCTTTCATGGGAGCTGGGTCTCCAAAGGAGAGTATCTGTAGCTGGGTGTGTGTGTGTGTGTGGGGGGGGGATACAGTGAGGGCTCCTTGGTGCTCTCTGAGCTTGGTTGTTTCCTTGCAGACTTTTCATTATGCAAAATTATGCAACGTCATCAGTGCTAATCATGCTTAACTGCCAAAGAGGCTGAGGAATGAAAGAAAAACAGAGGCAGGAATTACAGTTTTACATTCCTGAGAAATTATTGGGGTTTCGGAGACTGGGTGGATCTTGCTTTTGATCTGGAACCTCCTTTCTCCTTGAGTCAGTCTCCTCTCCTCACCCGAATCTCTCAGCGACGGTGGGCTGGCCAGGACAGACCCCGTGAAGGGTTTCCAGCAAAAATGGGTCCGGTGGGGGAGAAGATAGAAAGAACTTCTAAGAGCGGAAGGATCGAGGGCCGTGATAATTTGGGTATTAGTATTTGATTTGGACAGGGAAGATTTCACAGCTGTCTTGAGTTAAAATCCCAGAACAGTGTTTCCCCAACCTTCTCCATTTTAAGGTGTGTGGACTTCCAGAATACCCCTGCCAGCCAGCTGGGGTATTCTGGGAGTTGAAGTCCACACATCTTAAAAAGGAGAAGGCTGGGAAGCATTGACCTAGACCAGGGGTAGGCCACCTTGGCTCTTTTATGACTCGTGGACTTCAACTCCCAGAATTCCTGAGCCAGCCACGCTGAGGGGAAAGGGAGAGGTTGCCAAGCTGAGCCATGCTGGCTCAGGAATTCTGGGAGTTGAAGTCCACGAGTCATAAAGTGGCCTAGGCCTAGGCCAGGGGTAGGCCACCTTGGCTCTTTTACGACTCGTGGCCTTCAACTCCCAGAATTCCTGAGCCAGCCACGCTGAGGGGAAAGGGAGAGGTTTCCAAGCTGAGCCATGCTGGCTCAGGAATTCTGGGAATTGAAGTCCATGAATCATAAAAGAGCCAAGATTGCCTACCCCTGACCTAGACCAGAGGTCCCCAAACTTGGCAACTTTAAGACTTGTGGATTTCAACTACCAGAAAAAGTCTTAAAATTGCCAAGTTTGGGGACCCCTGATCTAGACCAGGGGTAAGCCACCTTGGCTCTTTTATGACTCGTGAACTTCAACTCTCAGAATTCCTGAGCCAGCTGGCTCAGGAATTCTGAGAGTTGAAGTTCATGAGTCATAAAAGAGCCAAGGTGGCCTACCCCTGGACGAATGTTAATGCCAACCAGAAGGGGCTCCGATGAAGAAGATGCTCAGGTGGGCAGGAGGATGGCTGCCTGCTGGTCTCCAAGACTCACCCTGGGGCCAACTCCAGGCAGCCTGTTGGTGGATTTGGCAGCTTTTGGTGGATTTGGTGGATTTGGCAGCCACCTGCAGGTGGCTTTCGGAAAAGATGCTGGCTGTGCTGAACGGGAGGGTCGTGTTCCTCCTCTCCCTCTTCTAGCCTGTGTTGTTTTCCTCCACAATTTCTCAGGATGAATTTCAGATTTGCACCCAGAAAAAGGTGACCTGGACCCCTTTGTCTGCCCACTTGAAACCCAGCTCTCTTGCCACGGACGACGAGGAGGAGTCCCTCCTGAACAAGGTCATCGTGAAATCAGACTTCAAGGTAAAGGTGGAGTCCCACCATCTTCTCTGGAGCTCTAGAAGGATGGGACGAACAGATACAAGGGAGGTGGACAGCTTTTGCCACTCAGCCACCCAGCTAGGCTTGGAGAACTGCTAGGGGTCCTGCCCTTCAGGCCCAGCAGGAAAGGCTGGAGCTGGCCAGAGCCAAGCCTTTAATCCTCTTACCAGGCTCAGCTGAGCGAGGGGGGCACTGCCAGGCTTCTCCCGTGAGCTGCTGGGAGGTGAAACCGGGACACGTCTCTCAATAATAAGGTTATAATAATAATAGTAAAGTTGGAAGGGACCTTGGAGGTCATCTAGTCCAACCCCCTGCTTGGTCAGGAAGCCCTGTTCCAATAATAATAATAATAATAATAATAATAATAATAATAATAATAATAATATTATTAGAGAAAGAACTGGAGAAGATAACAAAATACAAAGACCTACAAATAGACATAGAAAGACTGTGGCAAAAGCAAGCAAGGGTAGTACCAATAGTCATAGGCTCCTTGGGTGCAATCCCAAAACAACTGGAGCACCACTTGAACACCATTGGCATTGACAAATTCGCTATTAGTCAATTGCAAAAGGCGGCCTTACTAGGAACTGCTTCCATCCTACGACGATATCTGTAATACCATCAAACATCCACATCTTCCTATCCCAGGTCCTGGGTAAGGACTCGATAGGTAGACAAAATACCAAATCCAGTCTGAACATCTGGCTGACTGTGCGATGATTGAGAATAATAATAATAATAATAAAGTTGGAAGGGACCTTGGAGGTCTTCTAGTCCAACCCCCTGCTCAGGCAGGTAACCCTATACCGTTTTGGACAAATGGCTGTCCAGTCTCTTCTTAAAAATTTCTAGTGCTGGAGCATTCACCACTTCTGGAGGCAGATTGTTCCACGGGTTAATTGTTCTCACTGTCAGGAAGTTTCTCCTTAGTTCCAGGTTGCTTCTCTCCTTGATTAGTTTCCACCCGTTGCTTCTTGTCCTGCCTTCAGGTGCTTTGGAGAATAGCTTGACTCCCTCTTCTTTGGGGCAGCCCCTCAGATACTGGAACACTGCTATCCTGTCCCCCCTCGTCCTTCTCTTCGTTAAACTAGACATCCCCAATTCCAGCAACTTTGCTGGCACAGCAGGGCAGAAATTCCCCAGATGCTCTCCCCAGAAGCCCCAGCTCCCATAATACACAGCCATGCTGGTTGGCAGGGAGATGCAGTTGTATTCCACACCTTGGTGGGGGTCCAGGTTGGAGAAGGTGTCCCCACCTGGCCCAATGCCAGCTGGAAAACCCCCGCCTTGCGTCCCGGGGTTACCTGGTGACTTTATTGTGTCTGGATGCCTTTAGAAGCAGCTTCTTGGATGAAAAGCAAAATGGTTGCAAGGGAAAAACCCGAAGGAAACCGAGTTGCCTTTTGGGAAAAGCTCCTTTGCCTTAAACAATTCTGTCTTCCCCCCACCAGAAACTGGAAGTAAATGCTGGGAACTGACAAAAAAAAATAACCCTTCAGAATTTTTCATTCATGTGACCGCCGAATGTTGCAATCAGCCGCAAATGCAAGCTGGTTGCCCTCTGCCCTTTGAATGGTCATTAAGTGGGAGGTCCATTGTAACGGAGTGGTCATTAAGTGATGAATACCTGTAATAGTTTTTCCTCCCCTCCCTCAAGCTCTCCAGTGCTGTCCCCTCACCCAGCTGGTTCGCCTTTTCCTTAAGCCAGTGTTTCCCAAACTTGACAATTTTAAGGCATGTGGACTTCAACTCCCAGAATTCCACAGCCAGCGTTGCTGGCTGTGGAATTCTGGGAGTTGAAGTCCTCATGCCTTAAAATTGTCAAGTTTGGGAAACACTGCCTTAAGCCTAAAGCATGGCAGGCTGCGTGATGCCCCCTCCAGGCCTGACAGCAGTGGTGACCCCCGTCCCCTCACCATGCCTGCTGTCCTTGCTTGCCCCCACAGCTACGGTCCCTCCAGGTGCAGAAGATCCGCTACGCCTGGGACTTCTCTGCTCGAGAGTTTCGGAAGGTTGGGTGAGTCCAGTTTTGACCTCTGGGGAAGGAGGCGCGGCCGCAGGAAACCCCCCTCCCTTGTGTACCACCAGCTGGACCCTCTTCCTTTTCAGAGTCCTGGAGGACCACCACAGTTGCCTGGAGATGCATGCCAAGTTTGGGGCAGGGCTGACAAGCCCCGAGCAGGAACTCAGGTATTCCCCCTCAGCAGGGCCAGCACAGACCCGATCAGGCAGAAAGCCGTGCTTGTGTTTGTGAGTCAACGTGTGAGGAATCTCCTTGCACATGAGGACCACCAGGCCACCTTCACCCACAAGGTGGAGGGCATCGGCCATTGCTCTTTATGGGAACACAGCCCCGGTGAAGTTTCTCCACGGAGAATCTCCACAGACATGTCCTGGTGGGCTTCTTACTTGTTGAGGTGCTATGACCATGCCTGGCTGGCCAGCCCCACCAGCATCTCCCCACCCCCCAGGCAAGTATCCCTCGCAGGCCGAGGCCTTTTCCAGACATGGGCGCCCTTCTCTACTGCCAGTATGAAGCCACTTGCTCAGCTTCTGCAGGCCTCTGCTGGTTTGTAGTAGCAGCCCAGCTTGCTTCTTCCACTTATTTATTTGTGTTGACCTGTTTGAATCTGAAGGTTCACAATGAAGTGTTGTAATTAGAGGTGTTACCATGAGAAGATAATCTTTGTAGCCTCAGGGTTGAATTGTGGGGTCCTTGGTGCTCTCTGAGCTTGAATGTTTTCTTGCAAATTAAGTAACTTCATCAGTGCTAGAAACTTCACCAAAAATATTACCTACTTGGGTCATGAAACATCTGCAAGAAGACATCCAAGCTCAGAAAGCACCAAGGACCCCACAGGTTTGAGGTGTAACCTGCTGGTAGCCCCTTGGACAGCATTTTGGATAAGAGCTGGGATATAAAAACACAGGGAGATAAAGGAAGTTATGGGGCAGCTCCTTGCTCCCAGAGGTGGGGGGCAGTTCTAGTTTGGGAGGGACCTGGTGATATCGTCCAGGTCTTCCAAGGACAGGCTCTGCTTCAGGAGACCCTGCACACCTGACAGCAGAAGCCACCCCAAGCCCAACTCCAGGCATTGGGAAGAGCTGTTGGGGAAAACCGGATCTTCTGTTCCCGGAGCAAAACAAGCACCAGGGCCCCGCAAGGTCAGAAATGGCTTCAGTGTTTGGCCTCGGAGGTGGACCCTGAGGTCATCTCTCCCTTTTGTATCCACAGGAGAGAAATCTGTGGCCCCAACGCCATCGACATTGAAGTCACACCGATCTGGAAGCTGCTGGTCAAGGAGGTACTTCCCTTTCTGTGGACTAGCTTCTCTGGCAGATCCTGTGCGCCAAGGCGGAGAGTTGGAGTGTCTTGGGCTTCTCTTTCCTCCTCACGCAAAGAGCATCTCTCGGTCCTTCTGCATCCTAGTCATTCCTTGGTGGTTCTGGTACGCCGGCCCTTGGTGGGCCTTCTTCCGACAGCAGAACCTCATTGCAGCTGGTGCCTCCTTTGAGGCAGTCTCCTGTCTTGGTTTGCCCACTGCCCACCTGGCAGCAGGCGAACACTTTGTCTTCCTCCTCCCCGGCTTCATTTTTGGTACAGGAAGAACTGGGAGCCTGCTAGAATTCCCAAGGGGAGGCCTTCCGGAAGTCTCCACACCAGCAGCCTTTTCCTTCTCTTGCGGCTTTAGAGATGGCAACCTGCAGTTTTTCTCCAGCACTGATCCCTTCTGGCTCGTTTCTCAGGGTTTCTCTGACTGCTGCTTCACCTCCTTTGCTCCTGACCTGGGAAAATGTCCAGATCTAGCCTGCCCAGCTGTTCCACACTGTGAGGCTCCTGACATCCCAGGGAATCTTCTGATCGTGTTCACTTTATGAGCTCATGGCTCATTGCTCCTGCACTTCTTAAGATGGACACACGAGTCAGAATAACCAGAATAAGAGAGCCGGGAGGGACCTTGGAGGTCTTCTAGACCAACCCCCTGCTCAAGTAGGAGACCCTCTACCATTCCAGACTGGTGAATGTCCAGCCTCTTCTTAGAAACCTCCAGGGATGGAGGCACCCACAACTTCTAGAGGGAAGCCGTTCCCCTAGTTCAGTGTTTCCCAAACTTGACAATTTTAAGGCATGAGGACTTCAACTCCCAGAATTCCACAGCCAGCAACGCTGGCTGTGGAATTCTGGGAGTTGAAGTCCACATGCCTTAAAATTGTCAAGTTTGGGAAACACTGCCCTAGTTTATCGTTCTCACTGTCAGGATGTTTCTCCTTAATTCTGGGTTGCTTCTCTCCTTGAAGAGTTTCCATCTGTTGCTTCTTCTCCTGCCCTCTGGAGCCTTGGGGAATAGGCTGACCTTCTGGGGGGTGGTCATCCTCACCAATGAATTTTCAGCCCTGTGGATTGGTGCGCCTTCCCTGAAGTGGCTCAGATGATCCCTGCACGGAGGTCTCCCAGCCACCTTTCTGCTCATCGCCAGAGAGAGAGAGTGGAGAGAACTTGGGTGGCAATAGGGAGGGGGGAAGGGGGGCTCCTACCCATTCAGCTCAGCCAGAGAAGGTTCCCTTGTGGGGACAACCTGCGTAGGTGCCAACCCCCCTGAGCAGCCCTGCGCAGGAGCCCCTGGCACAATCACGGCAAAGCTACGTTTCCTGCTGCTTTTTGAGAGCCAGATTAGCAGCTCGGTGAACAAAGGATTTATTCAGCCAGAACATTCTGTCTTTTCTGGAGTAGCAATTCCTGTTTCTGCAGCTCTGGGCAATTCCTGTGAAGATTTTTTGAACCCGGTCGAGTCATTTAATCTTGCTTAAAATCCGGCTTGCAGAAAGGCCCCAAGAGATTCCAAATTGATTCCTTTTTGACAGGGTTTTTCTGTGAGCCATGGGGAGGATGCGCAGTGAGGGACTCAGCCCCTCTGCTCAGCCATGCCGGTGGGGCTGTCCGGGGTCCACGTGGCTTTGGCGCAGCTGCAGGTGCAACAGGAGGCTGTTCTTTGGCCAGGCACGGGGTCAAGGGTTGTGCTCCCTTCAAATGTGTTGGAGCATCCACAACGTCTGGAGGCAACTTCTGTTTACTGGCGGATTGTCCTCCCTGTCAGGAAATTCCTGCTTAGTTCCAGGTTGCTTCTCTCCTTGATGAGTTTCCATCTGTTGCTTCTTGTCCTCCTTCAGGTGCTTTGGAGAATAGGTTGACCCCCCCTCTTCTTTGGGGCAGCCCATGAGATATTGGAACACTGCTATCCTGTCCCCCCTCATCCTTCTTTTCTCCAGACTAGACAGACCCAATTCCTGCAGCTGTTCTTCGTGTGTTTTAGTCTCCAGTCCCCTAATCATCTTTGTTGCTCTTCTCTGCACTCTTTCCAGAGTCCTAACCTCTTCTTCGTATTGTGGTGACCTAAGCTAACCACCTGGTGCCTTCTTCCCCTTCCCAGGTTCTCCATCCATTTTACATCTTCCAAGTCTTCAGCGTCTGCCTGTGGTTTGCAGAGAACTACACGGAGTATTCTGTGGCCATAATCATCATGTCCCTCCTTTCCATTTCACTCACTGTGTATGACCTCAGAAAGGTGAGCACCTCCCTGTCCTTCCCTGGTCACCAAAATGTCTTCTCACCATCTGCAGCTGATTGGTTCGTTCCTCAGTTGCTGCCCAATGAGAGGTTCTGTCTCAACTTCCTGGCAAGTCCTGCCCTGATGCTGCCCCCGCCCAGGATTTGTGCAGCCCCTGCAAGAGCTCCAATACATGGAGCATCTGGTGGGGTTGGAGCCATGGATCCGTGCTCCCTGGATCTGGATGAATGTTGCCAGCTGCTTCAGGGGTTTCCTGGCATTTGTGGGCTACTAGGAACAGGAGGTGACCTGGGTTCAACAAAATTGCTCCAAAGCACAGATCCTGGAGAGACCCTGGGTTGACCAAGAAATTCTAAGAGACGAAGCAGCACAAGTTAACCTGGAAGAAGGCAAGGCGTGAACTTCACCAGACCTGAAGGTTGAAAGCCAATTCAAGACAGCCTCCTCCTCCTCCTCCTCCTCCTCCTCCTCCTCCTCCTCCTCCTCCTCCTCCTCCTCCTCCTCCTCCTCCTCTCTCTTCTCCTTCTCCTCCTCTCTTCTCTCCTCCTCTCCTCCTCCTCCTCCTCTCCTCCTCCTCCTCCTCCTCCTCCCTCCTTCTCCTCCTTCTTCTCTCCTCCTCTTTTCTTCTCCTTCTCCTCCTCCTCCTCCTCCTCCTCCTCCTCCTCTTTCTTCTCCTCTTCTCTCCTCCTCCTCTTTCTTCTCCCTCTCCTCCTCCTCCTCCTCCTCCTCCTCCTCCTCCTCCTCCTCCTCCTCCTCCTCCTCCTCCTCCTCCTTCTCCTTCTTCTTCTTCTCCTCCCTATACCCTTACCCCTGCCTTTATCCCTACCCCTACCCCCACTTTCCTTGCCTTTATTTCCCAGGAACTCAGGAAGATCCCTTCAGAGATGCTTCCCACATCCCATTCATTCTGTGGGTTGGGGTGTCTCTTATATGGCCATCGCCCTGGCTGCACCTCTTCCCCCTCCGATCTCTCCAGGATATTCCACATTAGCTGCTAGCACCTTTCCAGCCCCTTACCCATCTGCCCACCGGTTGTCATGTGCCCCTCTCCCACCTCTTTCCTGATCTGACTCTCCCTTTCCTTCCATGCAGCAATCCGTGAAGTTGCACCAGCTGGTGGAATCCCATAATAGTGTCCTGGTCAAGGTGTTCAGCAAACAGACAGGTAAGGCAGCCCAAGAGGCCTCCATCATCCACTTTGTCTGTGTCTGAGCCAGGGACCAGAGAGAGCCCTGAGGGTGTTACAAAATTGAGTTCAAACCACTCAAAGTAGAATTTCCCAAAATAGAGTTTATTCTTGCGTAATTCAGATGAAAAGCAAGGTAAGCGTGCAATTAAGCTTAATCATTTCCTTTATATTTATGCACCTACAGTATATATGTATTGCTTGTCTAATTTCAAAGTTCGCTTACTATGATAAGCTATACCCAACAAGGCTATGCAAATAAGGATGCCCAACGAGGCTACTCAAGTTGCTGTAAGTATTGTTGCCCAACTAGGCTACTGACAAGGCTGACTCGGATTTTGCAATACTTCTCGCAGCTTGACAAGCGAAACAGAAGGGAGGGGGTGGAATTCCTGGGGGCGGCTGGGGGGGGCAGGGATCCAAGCCGGCCAGCAGAGCCTGAAAAAATTCCTGCACTTCAACGTTATGTGATGAAAACACAAAGAATGCTTTGGATGGGTGGACAATGGACAGTGTGTGTGTGTGTGTGTGTGTGTGTCGGGGGGGGGGCTAATGGGGAAAAGGGGAAATCACTTATGCTGCTTCCCATGGGAACCTTTAGAATCATCGTTGCTTCTTCTGTGCCTATCAGTAAAGTTATATGCTTGTAAAATTATGTCCCAGAAGTTTCTTTTTCTGCATATGCCAATGGGATGGTTGACAGCTACTCTTGTTGTCAGTTGCAAAGTCGTGTCCGACCCCTCGCGACTCCATGGACAACGTTCTTCCAGGTCTTCCTGTCCTCTACCATCTTCTGGAGCCCATTGAAGCTCACGCCTGCTGCTTCAGGGACTCCATCCAGCCACCTCCTTCTCTGTCGTCCCCTTCTTCTCTTGCCCTCCATCTTCCCCAGCATGAGGCTCTTCTCCAGGGAGTCCTTCCTTCTCATTAGGTGGCCAAAGCACTTGTTACAACTTCAGGATCTGGCCTTCTAAAGAGCAGCCAGGGTTGATCTCCTCTAGGACTGACCGGTTGGATCACCTTGCAGTCCAGGGGACTCGCAGGAGTCTTCTCCAGCACCATAGTTCAAAAGGCCTCAATGACAGCTGCACATTCACACAATACTCGCATACGTTCTCCGCACAGGGGCTCAGGCTGCATCAGAGTGGGCAGGGAAGCAGACTCAGGGTGCCCCCTGCTCCAGGAAGAGTCGTCTCCCACTTCGGAGTTCAGGGTTCATTCCAGGTTTTTCTTCATACCAAGCTTGTATGTACAGTACATCTTGCCCCAGTCATGTCAAGAACTGCATATTCTCACTCCCTGTTCCGTGACTCTGTGAAAAAATGCCATCCACTGCATTCCTTGCACCCACCAATGTCCCACTTGATATCATCATCAGCAATTCACTCATAACACGCATCCAGGGTCAGCGATACATACATATCCCAGCGATGTGAGTTTCCTGGTGGGTTCATAAAAAGGCTAGAGATGCTTGTACCCTGGGCCCACTGTACTCATGACTTATTCTAATGTACTATACATCATGTATCGTATTTGTTATATATTCATATAATGTGTAACAAGGAGGCGTAGGGCAAGAACCGGAACTTGCTAGATTCCCTCATCAGCTGCAGAACTGTGAGTGAGGGGCCTGCCCAGAAGAGGCAGCAGCTTTGGGGGGCCCCCCATTCCTGCATGAGGAACAGCACCCCAAAGGCAGGAGCTAAGCTGTCCAGCTAGAATGGGACCACAGGGGGCCTGGGTAGAGCCGGCGAAGGAGGCAAAGCACGGCCTTCCTTGGGCTTAGCCCCAGTTGGGGGACCAGCCCGGGAAGACCCGAAGGGCTGAAACACGAACGCTGCCGTTGCAGCAAGACTGCAGAGCCCCCCCTCAAAGACCCCCTTTTTTCTGACAGGCATCCAGGAGGTGGAATCCCGCCATTTGGTGCCCGGGGACACCCTGATTCTGGACGAGGGCAGAAGCCTGCTGCCTTGCGATGTCCTCCTGCTCAATGGCCAGTGCGTCGTGGATGAAGGCATGCTGACGGGTGAGCGGTGCCAGTTTGATGGCTTTCCCCGTTTCCCAAGACCACAAGTGCGGTGGTTTATTGCTAAAAGCCTCTGCATAACTAACCAGAAGTTTTGGGTGCTCCATGACTGGAGACTGTCAAAAAGAGACTGGAGAATCATTTGTCTGAAATGATATAGGGTCTCCTGCGTGAGGAGGGGGCTGGGCTAGAAGACCTTCAGGGTCCCTTCCAACTCTGTTATTCTACGTTTTCTTTTAAAAATCTTCTCAACGCATAATTTGCACCTGCTAGGAGTTAGATCAGGGTCAATGGCACTCAAGGAAGGTTAGACTTTGTCCGATTGTGGCTACGTAAGGATGCTAGGCTGATCCCTCTTTTAACTCCATCCCCTCAGGTTCTACCACTCCTTCCCCTACAGCAGGGGTAGGTAATCTTGGCTCTTTTGCGACTTCAACTCCCAGAATTCCTGAGCCAGCTATACTGAGGGGAAAGGGAGAGGTTTCCAAGCTGAGCCAAGCTGGTTCAGGAATTCTGGGAGTTGAAGTCCACGTGTCGTAAAAGAGCCAAGGTTGCCTACCCTTGCCCTACAGGAATATGTTCACGTCCTTTACTCTTTTTGTCATTTTAGTATACAATGTATTATAGGTAATCAATGCACCGCAGTTTCTGCAAGAAAGCCACCAAGCTCAGAGAGCACCAAGGATCCCAAGGGATCATCTTCAGGTTTGCCCAGGAGTGGGCAAGGCCAGCCTTGCAAGGTCCTCCCCAGGGCAGCCTCTGCCTTGACGGGCTGGCGGAGCCTGGAGAGGAGAAGACCTCTGTTCTTAGCTTCCAAAGAGTCACTAAACTCTCCCCGACAATAGCCCACCAATTTAGGGGCCGAGAGGCTGAACGTGGAAGCAGGCCCAGCTGCTTCCTTGAGGAGGAGAACGTGGCCCTCAGCTGGGGGGTGAATTCGGCCCGTTTTTTGTGTCCACTCAGCTTGGCTGCCTCAGGCGTGTCTGCCATTGTTTTTGTAAAGTCGTAACAGAAACATCGCTGCATGATTCTGCTTTCAGCACATAAGTGTGGGTCAAGATCGGTGCAACCTGACAACCCAACTTTTATTAAAAAAAGTCATGACTGCCCACAGGGGCACACAAAGGATGGCTCCTCCGTCACCTGCCTGCCCTGGGATCCACGGTGGTGGAGGGTGGGGCTGACCCTCCCTCTCCTGTCCCCTCCAGGGGAGAGCCTTCCCGTCACCAAGACCAGCCTGAGCCGTGATTGCAAGAGCGCCCAGCCGTGGCATCTCAGCTCCGCGGAGGACAGCAAGAGGCACCTCCTGTTCTGCGGGACGGACGTCATCCAGGCGAGGGGAGACGACGGCGGACCAGCAAGGGCTGTCGTGCTGAGGACCGGTGGGTGAACAGGCATGTGAGAAAGGTGTAAGGTGGACCATGGAAGGTGGACAGAAAACTGCCCTCAACCCAAAACTTGGACTCTTCTGGAAGGGATCCCCTCTTCCCTCCCTTCATTAAACGGCCTGATTCTGGCATCCATTCACGTCAGGATGGGGGAAGCATTCAGGGTCCTGCTCTGGATGTCCAACCCTCCTCCAGATGTCTTCTGAAGTGGCCTCCAGCCACAGATGCACAGAGTGACCCTCCAGTGGCTTGGGATGTTTCAGACTCATGAGGTAGCTATGGGTCATGTTCACCACTTGTAAAGAGCACACCTTCCCGTTCATGCTGATCCAGGTAGGGTGGGAAGTCTCTGTCCTTCAGTCTGGTCTCTGCTACCTTCCTCTTCCTCCACCTTGTCTCCACTCTAGACTCTGCAGGAACTGAGCAATAAACCTCTAAGCCCAACCTGTCTTCCCTCACCTCCCATCCTTGGGAGGTATCTAACCGTAGCTGCTCCTCTCTCTTCTTCACCACCTCAGGTTTCAACACAGCCAAGGGAGACCTGGTGAGGTCCATCCTGTATCCTAAGCCCATGAACTTCCGCCTCTACCGGGATGCCATGCAGTTTCTCTTGTGTCTCTTCGTGATGGCTGGCATTGGAATGGTCTACGCTGTCTGTGTCTTTGTAATCAATGGGGTGAGCAGCGGGGAGCATGGCAGAGGCTACCCTGGGGCTTCTGGAGGGGGCATATGTGGAAGCCCCTTCCTCGCTCGGTTAATCCTGCTGGTGGCTCTACATACAAATCCATGGTTCAAGCAGTGGTTCAGAATCCATAAGTTATCATAGCTTTAATCTAGAACAGGGGTATCCAACCGTGGCTATTTTAAGAGTTGTAGACTTCAACTCCCAGAATTCCCCAGCCAGCTCTGCTGGCTGGGGAATTCTGGGAGTTGAAGTCCACAACTCTTAAAAGTGGATAAGCTTGGGCACCCCCAGTCTAGAAGCCGTTTCCCCCTTGAGAGCTGCTAGACCAGTGATGGCGAACCTTTTAGAGACGGACTGCCCAAACTGCAACCCAAAACCCACTTATGTATAGTCGGGTGCCGGGTGGGCGTGGCCCATTGGGTGGGCGTGGCTGCAGCAGTAACGATAGACTGGGTGGGACTAAAAAGTTCAATCAATCAATTCCAGCTTTGCGAGGTCTTTTTTTCCCTGTGAGTTGAAATTGATTGATTGATTGAACCCTTTTATTTGCACACGGCGGTGGAGGCCTAAAGTGAAAAGGTTTTATAAAACTCAGCTGAAGGCCTAGGACTGGGGTGACGGCGCATGTGCCCACAGAGAGGGCTCTGAGTGCCACTTGTGGCATGCGTGCCATAGATTCGCCACCACGGTGCTAGGCCCTCGCCCTCTTAATCTTCCAGAAAGCCATCAAAAACTTCCAGTCAAGTTGATGCCCGAGGGACTGTACAGATGAATGGGTATAAGTATTAATACCACTTTACAAGGCCTTGGTAAGGCCACACTTGGAGTACTGCATCCAGTTTTGGTTACCACGATGTAAAAAAGATGCTGAGACTCTAGAAAGAGTGCAGAGAAGAGCAACAAAGATGATTAAGGGACTGGAGGCTAAAGTATATAAGGAACGGTTGCTGGAATTGGGTATGTCTAGTTTAACGAAGAGAAGGACGAGGGGGGACATGATAGCAGTGTTATAATATCTCAGGGGCTGCCCCAAAGAAGAGGCAGTCAAGCTCTTCTCCAAGGTGCCTGAAGGCAGGACGAGAAGGAATGGATGGAAACTAATCAAGGAGAGGAGCAACCTAGAACTAAGGAGAAACTTCCTGACCGTTAGAACAATTAACCAGTGGAACTCCTTGCCTCCAGAAGCGGTGAATGCTCCAACACTGGACATTTTTAAGAAGAGACTGGACAGCCATTTGTCTGAAATGATGAAGGGTTCCTGCCTGAGCAGGGGGTTGGACTCGATGACCTCCAAGGTCCCTTCCAACTTTATTATTATTATTATTATTATTATTATTATTAGATTGATTTTATTATTGTTATTAGCCACCCAGAGTTGTGTGCCACTTTCAAATTTGCCAGGAAAATTGCAGAACTGGTTGGTCCAGGCAATTGCCAGGAATTGACCCAAAGACACTCAAAATAAACAAACAAACAAACAAACAAATCCATCCATCCATCCATCCATCCTGATTCTAGTATGAGAAGGATGACATTGATTGGGTCCATCTGTTTTTGGTTCCCTGTGAGCTTTGGATGCTTCAAATGACCATTCCCACAGTCACATGTTATTGGCCAGGCTGGGTTGGGCTGATGAAAGTTATAGTCCGAAACATCTGGAAGGCAGCTGGTTGCCTCCTTGGTCTTCCTTGGAAGATGACTTTTCGGAGAACCTCCTTGTCAAGGGTTTCCATGGCAGGAGGGTGAAAGCTGATTGAGCACCCACATCCGTTGGCCTCTAGGCCTGGCTTCCCTGCCTGACCTTGCTGACTGCCGCCCTCCTTCCTTCCACGTGTCCCTCAGCAAGAGGCAGGTGAGGTGGTGAAGAAAGCCCTGGACGTCATCACGATCGCCGTGCCCCCAGCTCTGCCTGCCGCTCTGACCACAGGCATCATCTACACCCAGAGGAGGCTGAAGAAAAAGGGGATTTTTTGCATCAGTCCCCAGAGGATTAACGTATGCGGCCAGCTGAACCTCATCTGCTTCGACAAGGTGAGTGTTTTCACTCCCAAGGGAGCCACGGATTTCAGCTTGACAGTGCTGGGAGACAAATGAGGTGGATGACAACAGGTCGCTGCGTAGCAACAATTCTGAAGGCTTGCGAGTCAAAGTTCTTCAGTCCTTGGCTTAGTGGTAGGAAGGATGGAGAACTGGTGGGGAAGACTCTTTGTCACCCAGTGGCCCCGTCTAAGGAGGAGGTGACCAGGCTGAGCCCGAGGGAGGGGAGGGTCAAACGCGTCATCACTCTTGAGTCCTTTTGGGCTCACAAGAGATCTAAGTCCTTGAATTCCCTGGACTCTTCTCTGCCACCCACCTGCTTTGACAATTAGTAGTTCAGATTCTTGTAGAGAACTTTATCATACAATAAACCTATATTCATTTGAACTGCCTGGACACACTCCTGGTTTCCTATCTTTGACGGAAGGAGAGTAACCATTTAGGAAAGAACGAGAGGGGTGATGCCTTTTGAGGCTGCTGGGATGTGTTGTCCACTCATTTTGCTGACCAAACTGCTCATGTGCAGAACCTGAGGTTGCAACTGAGGCAGCCTGGTGACATGAGGTCACCTGATCCCCTGCCATGAAGTGCTTTATATAGTAGATGGCAACCCTCATCTTGAATTGCTCCACAAGCCCAGTAATGGTGAGGTATGGCAAACTATGCACTCAAGACTGCACAAATTGCCATGTTCTGCCCCAGCTTCTGAGCAGTCTTCAAGGGCAGCCCCGTGTAGAATGCATTGCACTGAAGTGTGATGGCTGGTGAGCAGAGACCCCAGGCCAGGAACAGACCCAATTGGCACATGAGAGCAGTCTGTGCAAAGACCCCCCTGGCCATAGCTGGCCACTGTCTTTGGACAGCAGCTCAGGGCCCCAGGAGGACCCCCAGATTATTCACCAACTCTCTCCACACCCTGACTGTGCTTTCCTGTTTTCTCCTTGCCCACTGGCAGACAGGCACCCTCACTGAAGATGGGCTGGACCTCTGGGGCATCGTCTTGGCTGAAGGAAAGAGGTACCCAGCGGAAACAGAATTTCTGGGGAGACTCAGAGGCTCAAAACTCAAGGCAACTAAACATGCCTTCAATGGTGGTCATTTTCTTGCCTCTGTGGGTCATCTACGGCGATGTGTGTAAAAGGGTGTGACTGATTGTCTCCACCCCAGCTTCCAGAAGGTCCATCGCTTCTCTTCTGGCCAGCTGATGTCCTGGGGCCCGGCGTATGCAGCCATGGCCTGCTGCCATTCCTTGATGGTCCTGGACGGGAAGATTCAGGGGGATCCGCTGGACCTCAAGATGTTTGAGGCAACTCACTGGGTGAAGCTCCATGTTCTTCTTTAGGAATTAGCCTAAATCTGGGATTGGTCCTGTTGGTGTGCCCTGACGTGGGATGTGGAGGAAGTCTGGGTGTGTGAACTGAGTGGGGAGCCCAGTCTGTGGGCTGCTTCTTGGTGACATCCTTGGGGTGCCACCTTTCCTCCGGCCAAGCTCAAATGTCAATTGACCCATTTCACCCCTGTGCAGTCACCGTGTCTCTTCCCCGAGCCCAGGCACGTCACCAGACACGCGGTTGGCTTCCCCATTAGGTCAAGACCCAGAGGGGGGATCTGGCCCGGGCCCCAGGGAGGCCACCCCAGGGAGGTAGGGATGCCATCACTCAAATGACACGAATCACATCATTGCCTCATTTGCACGTTGATGATGTCACGATGTATCCCCTTTGGCTGGCTCAGGAATTCTGGGAGTTGAAGTCCATCGGCCGTAAAGGGGCCATAGTTGCCCACCCCTGCCCTATGGCAGGCACAAGTTTCTTTTCCCAGGTCTGACCATCCCAGAACAGTCTATTTCTTGAGGCACTGTAGCTCCTCTTTTCAACATAACCTCATCCCCCTTTCAGACAAACGTAAGGCCCAGCCCTCCTGCTGCAATGTAACTTTTCCTTCCGCTTAAAACAACAGGAACTTGTGGACTCCGTTGAGTGGGAAGGAGGACCAGCAAATGTTCTGATGGTCAGACCGGGACCTGAAGCTGCGGAGGTAACTGCCCGGTGCCTTTTGCCAGCCCTTAACAGAGAAAAGAATCTCTTCTCTACCTTTGTGTCTTTATTTATAAATCTGTTCAAACTGGCATTAACATTTTGCCCATGTTTCGGCCCAGAGGGGGGCCTGCAGGCAAGCAGGAACCAGAGGATCAAGCCTGGTTGCCATTCGGTCTGATCTTGCCCACCGCCCATGAGTGCTTGAGAACAGGAAACTCTGAACTGGCACCGGCTTCCTCTTGGCTCCTTCAAGGGGGAGGGGCAATGGGTGCCAGCTGTGTCTGCTTGGCTCTGGACCAAGTAGGGAGCTCGTCTCGCTTATGGTCCAAGTGGTAGAGCAAGCGAGTTTGGGGCCTTCAGTGGATCCATTCCTGGTGTTCATGGACACCAGCGTGGACCTTCTGCCAGTTGGGTAGCCACTGAAAGCTTTGGCCAAATCCCCTGCCAGGCCGATGAGGTCTCCTTTGAGCGAGGGGAGGGGGCCAAAGCCTCTGTCCTGTTCCCACCTCTGACTAGGCAGAGTTGTTACTCCAGCTGCTGTCAGTGGGCAGAGGGAGAGCAGAACTGGGGTGCTGGGATGCCAATCGCTGATTTGGGGGTGGGTCACATGACTTGGGGGCCATCCAGTAAACCCCATTCTTGGCCAGTCTGCTAAAAAGGTGTCAGGTTGGTTCCCATGACCCAGGGGTCTTCCAACTTGGCCCTTTTATGACTTGTGGACTTCAACTCCCATAATTCCTCAGCCAGCATGCTACGCTGGCTGAGGAATTCTGGGAGTTGAAGTCCACAAGTCATAGAAGGGCCAAGTTGGAAGACACCCCCCCCTACCATAACCACTGACCTGTCAATGTCCCACCATCCTATTTTGCATTATACCAGTGGTTCTCAACCTGTGGGTCGGGACCCCATTTGGGGTTGGACGACCATTTCACGGGGTCGCCAAACAACGCAGTCCGCCATTTCCCCCCCCTTTTCCTTAGCTGTGCTACTCCCTTTTATCCTATTGGCTTTTGAAAGCCAATAGAAGAGACTCTCTTGAATAGAGTCTAATTCTATTGGCTTTCCAAAGCCAACAGGAATTGTCCAGGCTGTCTCTGCCCTGCTGAGCCTGCCAAAAGTCCCATTCTGCAAACGGTGCTGCACCAGTTGAGTAGTCCTCAACTTACGACCGGTTGAGTAGTCCTCGACTTACGACCGGTTGGGGGTCGCGGCATTAAAAAGGTTGAGAACCACTGCGTTATACAGACAGGCCAGGAATGGCCGTGGGTGCAGGCAAGGCCTCCCTCCCACCCTCCCTCCTTCCTGTGTCTGGGCGGCTGGCTCAGCTCCTGCCTTTCTCCCCAGGCGCCTGTCAAGGGCCTGGCGGTCCTTCGGCAGTTCCCCTTCTCTTCAGCCCTGCAACGGATGACGGTGGTGGCCCAGGAGTTCCCCGGGGACAGCCAGGTCTTCATGAAGGGCGCCCCAGAGATGGTGGCCAGTTTCTGCCAGCCAGAGACAGGTGAGCCCTCAGCTGGCATTGCCCTGCCCCACCTTCTGCCCTCTGTGCCCGTCTGGGCTGAACAGCAACGGGAGCTGCAGAGGGCAGCCAGAATAGTCATCTTCCAATATCTGAGGGGCTGCCCCAAAGAAAAGGGGGGGTGGGTGTCAACCTGTTCTCCAAAGCGTCTGAAGGCCGGACAAGGAGCAACGGATGGAAACTCACCAAGGAGAGAAGCAACCTGGAATTAAGGAGAAACTTCCTGCAGAACAATTAACCAGTGGAACTGCTTGACACCAGAAGTTATGGGTGCTCCATCACTGGAGGCTTTCAAGGAGAGACTTGTCTGAAATTAGTATAGGATCTCCTGCTTGAGCAGGGGGCTGGACTAGAAGACCTCCAAGGTCCCTTCCAACTCTGTTATTCTGAGGATCTGCTCCAGCCTGACAGTTGGGGCGGGGAGGGGGCTCTGAGCTCTGGAGGCTCTGAATGGCGGTGGGGAGGGGCTTTCTTGGTGGGACCCCTAATTTGTGTGAGGGTCCAGAGGGAGTGGTACAGAGGGTTCAAGGCCTGTCCCTGGTCTTGACTGGGGTCTTTCTTATAATTGCATGGGGGTGGGGTCCTTGCTTGCTCTTCCCGGGGTGTGACTGTCTCCCCCTCCCCCAGTGCCCCCCAGCTTTGCCCGCAAGCTCCAGGGCTGCACTTCCCAGGGCTTCCGTGTCATTGCGCTGGCGCACAAACGTCTGCAGGAAGGAAGACCGGTCACCTCCCTGACCAGGTAAGGGGCTGGGGGCCCAGCAGGTGGGCAGGAGAGAGGGCTGGGGATGCCTGCCAGGGTGGCCTGGGGGGGGCGGGGAGCGGGCCCCCTGCTGGCCCTCGAGGCACCCCATCCCCGCCCGGCTTCCCAAGGATGGCTGGAGTGCAGCTCCCCCATTTTCCACCGGGGAGGAGAGAGGGGGTCGCTCCTGAGCCCCCTGACCTCAGGGTACTTGGGGGTGACAGGAGCTCTCCTGGGGAGGAGGACCCTCTCGGCCTGCCCCTCTTGTCACCCACTCACCCGTTCTTTTCCCCCGTCCAGGGAAGAGGTGGAGTCCGGCCTGACCTTCCTGGGCCTGCTGGTCATGGAGAACCGCCTGAAGAGCGAGACCAGGCCGGTCCTGCAGGAGCTCAGCCAGGCCCGCATCCAGAGCGTGATGGTCACAGGTGAGTCCGCCTTTTGGGCCAGGCAGCTGGAAGCCGGAGAAGCCCCTGGCTCTGTTGCCGGGGAGATGGTCTACCCAGCATCCTTCACAGGATCCTGGTCTGCGAATCTGGGATGCTGGGATACATCCGGGGAGGGGGGGCTTCCAGTGAGCCTCAAAACCAGACCCCATAAGCAGGGATACCTCTGCCAGGATCCCCTTCACAACTCTTCCTAGAGGGTTTTCTTTCTTTACCACCACATATCCCATGTTTCCCTTCCTTCGTAACTGCCTGAGAACGAAGGGAGTCCCATGGGGGATGATGCAATGACTGATGAGAACTTTGGGGTAGCAAAATCCAAAAATGAGTCCTTCTCTGGGACTGGCAGAGGCATTGCCTTCTGTGCAAGGAAAGTGGGGAGCAGGCCTCCCTCTGGCACCCAAGGGGCGCCCTTCTGCCCAACCTTCCTAAAGACAAGGTTGGGCCCTTAAGGTTGGGCCCTGGACCCCCACCCCCCCAAGCTCCAGGATCAATTGGCGATGCCACTTCTCGACTTCGCAGGTGACAACCTTCAGACCGCGATCACTGTGGCCAGGAGCGCAGGCATGATCCCCCACGGCAACCGGGTGATCCTGGTGGAAGCCAGTGCCCAGCCAGGCCAGCCCTCGGCCTCCGTCAGCTGGCAAGAGCTGGAGGAGCCCAGCCAGGAAGGCAGCAGCAGAGCAGAGGTGAGCGGACCAGCGGATGGGAGAGAGGGAGGGGCAGGAGCAGCTGGGCAAAGCTCTCAGGGGTTGCCCCCGTGCCCTCCAGACTCCTGGGGAGGCATCAAAACACGGGACCCAGAGGAAATAACCAGGCTTCCCTGCAAGGGTTATTATCAGGGAGTAGTGCTGGAGGAGTGGGAGGCACCCCTGCAAACAAAGAGATGCACTCATATTTATACATTTCAGAAAAGAGGAAAAATGACGCGCATTGTATACGCATTCATAAGCAGAAACTCAGATCTCAGCTCGCTTCCTGCCCTTTGGGTATCTGCAGAGAACAAGGGTCTCCGAACAAACAGCTGCATCGGAGACCCCCGGGGTTGCTCAGCGAATGCTCTGAGGAAACGTAGCCACGCCCCCCCATCATGAGCTGCAGGGCCCCCTTCCTTGTTTATTGAGCAGTCCCATTCATCTGATTTTCCCCACACGGTGCCCCCTTTCTCTTTTGCAGATGGTGGTTCTGGAGCCGGAGGGAGACCCTCCGCCCGCCAGGGACCGTGGCTTCCACTTCTGCCTCAGTGGGAGCTCCTACGAGGTCTTCAGCCAGCACTTTGGGCAGCTCCTCCCGCAGGTGAGTGTGGAGACCCCAGCCCGGAGGGGGGAAAGCGCTTGCCCGGCCAGCCTGCTCTGGGCTCCCTTCTCCTCCCTGTGGGTCTGCCCCCCTGTGAAGCCACGGCTCTCTCCTGCAGCTGCTCCTGAACGGGACGGTCTTTGCCCGGATGTCTCCTGCTCAGAAGGCCCACCTGGTGCAACAGTTCCAGCAGCTTGAGTGAGTGAGGGGCCTCGGGGGGGGGGCCCTGAAAGGACTTGGGCAGAAAGGGGGGCAGCTGCCGGGCCCGCTGGAATTCACGGAAGGGGGCGGGCGCTCTCTCCTCTCTTCCAGCTACTACGTGGGCATGTGTGGAGACGGGGCCAACGACTGTGGGGTGAGTCTTCCACCGCTGCTGAGCAGGGCGGCACGAGTCTCCCTGGCCAACGGGCAGGGACAGAGCAGAATTGACCCCTTGAACGGTGGCACCCTTTGAGGGTCACTGGGCCAACAGGGCTGGCTCCCCCCTGCCACGCTCAGGGTGGGGGCCAAGGCAAGCAGGCTGGGCACCTTCGCCAGGTACCGAATGGCTGCCCAGAAGACGCTGCTGGGCATCTTCACAAGAACGGGAGAGGCCACTGGCTGAAACTCCCAGCTGGTTCTCACTTGCATCCTGCACAGTGGCTTGGCTGATCTGGCCAGGAGCCTCTGCCCCTGTTCGGAAAAGCTCTCCAGTCCAGGCCAGCTTTTCTTTGAGTGGGTGGGACCCGTCCTCCTTCCCCTCCCCTGTCTCCCCTCTCTCACTGTTCCCCCCTCCCTCCCCCTCTTTCCCCCTCCCTGGTCTCCCCTCCCCCTCTCTTGATGGATTACAGGATTTGTCGCTTTTTCAGTCTGTGGTTAATTGACCTGAGCAGCACCCGGTCAGGATCCGCCTCTTGAATCCTCCCGGCAGGGGGAGCACCCCAGCAGGTGACCTGGCCTGGCCCTGAGTGCGAGTTTTTCCCTTTCAGGCCCTGAAGGAGGCTCACGCGGGGATCTCCCTCTCCGAGCAGGACGCCTCGGTGGCCTCCCCCTTCACCTCCAAGGTCCCCACCATCGAGTGCGTGCCAGAACTGATCAGGTGGGCCGCAGGCAGAGCCCTGAGGAGAGATGATGGGCAGGGGTGTCAAGGGGGGGGGCAAGTTGAGGTTCTGCACCAGGCGGTGCCCACCGTTCCCTCCTCAAAGGCGAGGAGTTTTGGGGCAGAGGATCTGAGTGGGGAGGGGGCGCCTTTGCCAAGAGGTGGAGCCTCAGTACTGGGAGGGGCTCCTTTGGCAGAGCTGGGCTGCCTATGAACCCCGATTCAGGGGAGGGGCTGCAGCTCCTTCATCCGATGCAGGCTGGGCTTTCTCTGACAGGAGCAGCAGAAGTTGGAGGTTTTACTTGTTGCATGTGGGAAAGGAGCCTCCAGCCGGGCGCCTGCAAAGAGCCCTGAGCAGAGCAGGGGGGTCTCTCCAGAGGAGGAGAGGCCGGGGCAGGAAGGCCCAGCTTTGCTCCTCCAGTGGGGGTCAAGCCCCCCCCAGGGCCCTGCTGGGCTTGGTCTCTGGAGGAGCTGAAAACGTCCCCCAAACTCCCCGTGTTTGCCTTCCTCTTCCTTGCAGCAATTCCACCTGCCCCCCATCTCCCCTTCCCCCTGACCTGGTCTTGTGGTCTCTAACAAGCCCCCTCCCTCCCCTACTCTCCTCACTAATGCCCCCCCTCCTGTTGCTCCCCAGGCATGGCCGGTCTGCCCTGGTCACCTCCTTCTGCATGTTCAAGTACATGGCCCTCTTCAGCCTGGCCACCTACATTGGCGTTCTCCTGCTCTACTGGGTACGGTGGCCGCGGCTCCCTTCTTCTCTTCCAGAGCCGGAGTGGGGAGGGGGCGCTGCAAGGGTTGGTCCCACCAGGAACCAGGCATCTTCCTGGCAAGGACCAGCCTTGGGAAGTCGCTGCCCTCTGGGCCACCAGACCTGGGTCAGAGGGCTCTTCTGAACAGCTGTTTTTCCTGCCAAGAGAAGCCCACTCGTCTGGGCTTCTTTCTTTGCCCCCTGGGCCCTGCACCTCCCTCCCGACAGCCATATGGGGAGGGGGGCCTTAAGGGGCTGGGAGTTCAGACTTTTGCCAACCAGCAGCAAAACAACAATCGCAGCAAGGGACGGTGGCTGGCCAAGCCCGGGGTTCTGCTCCAGGTGGCCCCTGCAACCAGCTGGCTGGCGTTCGCCTAGTTTGGTGGGAAGCCGAAGCCCCCACCCCTTTCCCTCTCCTCCAGTCAGAAGGTCTGGGGCTGGAAGGAGAGACCCCCTTTTGGGGCTCAAGACCTCCAATGGTGCTTCTTGCTTTCAGCAACTAAACTCCTTCGCGAATTACCAGTTCCTCTTCCAAGACCTGGCCATCACCACCGTCATTGGGATGACAAGTAAGCTGCCCCCGACCAGGCCAGGAGAAGAGGCGGGACTTCCTGTGTGGAAAGCTTGCCCCAGGGCCTTGCTAAGACCCAGGGAGGACCCCACCCACGCACCCTGCACAGAGCTGGGGACGGCAAGAAGGCCTGGTTCTGCCTGGGCAGGCCACCTCTGCTCTGCCCAGCAACGGGCTCAAGAGAGGATCTCCTTTGGGCCTGGCAGAGGCCCCACTCTGGCCGGCCAAGGCAGGCTTGGTGCAGGGTGGGGGAGCCCCCTTTAGGGGCAGATCCTGCTTCCTTCCCTCTGCCAGCGCGCTCGTGTGCCAAGAGGAAAGCTGGCACCGGCTCCCCCCTTTCTCCTGTGAGAAATGATGCCCTCCCTGCCAAGGGGGACCCTGCAGGCATGAAATATGGGGGTTCCTTCAGGGTCCCTGAAGCCCTGTCTCCACGCCTGCTGGGCCAAGTCTCCAGGCTGGGATCTGCCTTCCCAAAGCCAGGGCAGTGCTTGGCCCCCTTGGAACTGCTCGGGCCAGGTGTGTGTGTGTGTGTGTTGTGTGTGTGTGTAGAACAGCTGCCCCACCTTCTACCCCCCCTCTTGCAGTGAGCCTGAACGGGCCCCACCCCGGGCTGGCGCCCTATCGGCCCCCCACGCAGCTGCTGGCCCCTCCGCTGCTGCTCTCCGTGGTGCTGAACCTCCTCTTCAGCCTGGCAGTGCAGCTCTGTGGCTTCCTGATGGTGCAGCAGCAGCTCTGGTACTCCCCCAACGACATCCACAGGTAGGCCAGACCCCCCCCCCATTCTACGGCATGGAGGCCCCGTCCTCCTGCCCCAATAGAGTGTGGGGAGCCCAGGAGAGCCGAGGCACAGACCTGGCTGCATTGGCTAAGATGGCTGCCTCTGTTGAAGCCCCGGAAACTCTGCGGTCCCAATTTATTTTAATTCACGTGCCACCCCCGTCTCACTCTCCAGAGAGACTCTGAGCAGCTTTCAAAGGCATAAAAGCATAAAAATGGGAGTATTAAAATTAACAACAAAGCTTGAACACCAAGAACATGGTGAGACAGTACGGGAGCGGACTTTTGTTAATAATTTATAGATTCTCCTGCTTGAACAGGGGGCTGGACTAGAAGACCTCCAAGGTCCCTTTAGCTCTGCTCTAGTCCTATTCCTATTCCTATTCCTATCCTATCCTATCCTATCCTATCCTATCCTATCCTATCCTATCCTATCCTATCCATTTTCTATATTCTATTCTATTCTATTCTATCCTATTCTATTCTATTCTATCCTATTCTATTCTATTCTATTCTATTCATTTTCTATATTCTATTCTGTTCTGTTCTATTCCTTTTTTTCTATTCCATTCTGTTCCATTCTGTTCTGTTTTGTTCTATTCAATAGATTGGACAGCCATTTGATGAGGATGGTATAATGTCTCCTGCCTTGAGGGGGGGGTTGGACTAGAAGGCCTCTGAGGTCCCTTCCAGACCTAGGATTCTATGCTCTAATTATATAAATGTAATAAATAAACAATGAATCATTGAGGTCTCCCCCCCATTTCTCTCCAGTGCCTGCTCCCCTGAGAACGCCACTCACCGGCCAAGCCCTGGGCCCCAAGCCCCCCTGCCCCCCAGGGATGGCTTCCAGAGCTACGAGAACACCAGCGTGTGGCTCCTTTGCACCCTCAACTGCCTGACGGTGGCCCTGGTCTTCTCCAAGGGGAAGCCCTTCCGGGAGCCTGTTTACAAAAACTGTGAGAGCCCCCGAGCAGAGGCCGGGAAGGGGGGGCCTTGCTGGAGGCCGAGTGACCAGGGGTCCCCACCGGAGGCCAGGCGGGGAGGGGGCCCTGGGAGCCTGCAGCCTCCATCCCTGCGCCCCTTTCCCTGCTGGCACCGGCCCCTGGCACCTCCTTCCTGAGCCTCCCTCTCCTCACCCCCAACCCTTTCCTTCCTCCAGACCTCTTCATGGTGGTCCTGACGGTGCAGCTGGCCATCTGCCTCTTCTTCCTCTTTGCCAACTTCGAGGGACTCTACGCCCAGATGGAAGTAAGCAGGATGGAGGGGAGGGGGATGGCCACAGGGGTCTGGGGGTGCCCATCCCAGAGACCCACTTCTCAGCCTGGCCAAGGTGGGGCTGGCAGAGCGTCAGGTGAGCCCCTTCCGGGCTCCTGAGCATGGTAGAAGGCTCAGCCGATGGCCTGGAAGGGGGTAGGATGGGTGGGTGGGAGCAAGAGGCAGAGCCCACCCTCTTTCTTCCCCCCTCTCACCCCCTCCCTGCCATCTCTCCCCCCACAGCTAGTGTGCACCCCCACCCTCTGGAGAATCTGGCTCCTTGGGCTGCTGCTGGTCGCCTTCATCGCCTCCTTTGCCGTGGAGGTGAGTGGGGTCCTGCTTTGCCCCCCCCCGCAGCCAAACATTCCCCCCTCTCAGGATTCCATGGGGGCTTAGCCACAGCCCCTGTTCCGTGCAGTGCCCCCTCCCCCCCGGGGCAGCCCACCTGTGGGCAGAGGGTGGCACAGCTGGCATCTGCTCTCAGGCTGCAGGGGGATTTCGCTCCCTGTGGAGGAAGGCTCCGTTTCGGCCTTCTTGCCTTTCAGTAGCTGGAAACAACCCCGCCCCATGGAGGCCTGGAAGTGGAAGGAGAGCTGCCCCTTCCGGCCCTGTTGGTTGGGTACCCCCCCTCGTGCCCCACGTCAGGGAGGGTGGAAGGGCAGGATGGGCATTTCTGTAATTTGGAACTCACTGACCCCTCCCCCCCCTCCAGCCATCTGGTTCCCCAGGCCTGGTGATCCCTTGGGGGGGGGGCAGCCTTTGTTCCCTGCTTGTTGCATCCTGCACTGAATCAGACTCAGAATAGAGCTGGACGGAACCTTGGAGGTCTTCTAGTCCAACTCTCTGCTCAGGCAGGAGACCCTGTAACATTCCAGACAAATGGCTGTCCAGTCTCATCTTAAAAGCCTCCAGTGATGGAGCAGCCACAACTTCTGGAGGCAAATTCTGTTCACTGGTTGATTGTTCTCACTGTCAGGAAGTTTCTCCTTAGTTCCAGGTTGCTTCGGGCTTTGGAGAACAGCTGGACCCCCTCCTCTTCTTTGGGACAGCCCCTGAGATACTGGAAGGCTGCCATCCTGTCGACCCTGGTCCTTCTTTTCTCTAGACTGGCCATTCCCAAATCCCGCAGCCGCTCTTCATATGTTTTTGTCTCCAGGCCTTTGATCATTTCACTTGCTCTTCTTTGCACTTGTTCTGCACTTCTTTGCAGCGCCGCCATTCCTGACAGTCCAGAAAAGTGGGCTGGGGGGGACTTTGTCCCCTGCTGTGGCCTGCTGACCCCCGCTCTGCCTTCCTCCCCCCGCAGGAATGGCTGATAGAGAACCGGGCGCTCTGGCAGTGGATCAAGAGGGCCGTGGGGTACCAGTCCAGCAGCCGCTACAAGCAGCTCCAGCGGGCCCTGCAGGAGGACCCGGCCTGGCCCCCCAGCGACAGGACAGACGTCTCGAGCTCCACGGTCGTCCCCCTCAAAGGACCGGGCCCTGCCTACTCCAACCCGGCCTTCGTCAGCCACGAGCAGCCGTGCCACAAACGCTGAGGCCGGGTCTCTGCTGGCAGCACGCCTGGCCCGACCTCAAGGCACTGGCCCTGGATGCCCCTTGGCACCTGCCCTGTGGGGGCATTGAGAGCAGCTGGGAGATGCCTAGCAGGGGGTCAGCAGTGGGGAGGCAGGAGCAGGGAGGGAAGCCCCCCTGGGAGCCTGGGAAGGAGCTGTGGGAGGGGCGGTGATGGAGCAGTTGTATGGAGGGTCCCAAAGGGATCAGATGTGGGGAAGGTCCCCTAAGACCCTGCCCTGTTAAGTCACAAGGATGCCCCACATCCTGGGGAGGGGAGGGGGCTTGCTCCAGCAGCTTCTTCTGGGCAGCCCTGGGCCAAAGAGGGCCTGGAAGGGGCCGCAGCTGCTTCAGCTCCCCCTGCCCCAAACCCAGGGACAGCCTTCCTCGCCCTTCTGCCCTCCAGATGCTTGCAGCTGCCAAAGGGTCGTGTGTGAAGGCAGCTTCTCTGCCAGCCCTTCGCTCCTCGGATCTGGCCCAGCTTCCTGCTCCCTTCCCCACCCAGGCGCCCCTCTTTCTTTCCTTCCCATCCTTCGCCAGCAGGGGTCTCTCCTGCCTTTCTCAAGGCCCAGAAAGTCCCCCCCATTTCCCCCTATTGGGGTGTCTGAGGAATCTCCAGGGTCCTTTGTGGGACCCTCATCTCTCCTGGTAGAAACAGGCAGCTGCAGTGATGGATTCTGCCCAGCAGGGGTCAGTCTTTCCCTGTGCTCTGGGGGCCTCTAGTGGTCCCCTTGGGCATTGCAGGGGCAGGTTGCTGAAATCTGGAAGTTGCTGCTACTATTTTGTTTACACTGATTTTTGTTTAAATGTTGGGGTCCAGTGGGGGCCTGCCTGCTGGCGATGATGACGAAGATGACAGAGTGGTCTGCTTAAAGGAGCAGATCCGGGGCGGCCATCCTGGTCCTTTTCCCAGAACTTCATCTTTCTTTAACATTTTCTGTTCCGAGAACAGCCGAGAAAGAGCTCCCCCCCCCGCTTTAATTAAATGCAACTGACACACTTGCAGTCCGTACAGCTGATGTTTCCCCCCCCCGTGATCCTATCGAAAATTGTAGCTTTTGCAGAAGCTCTTTGGGGCCCTGGATGAAGGCTGGGGTGAACCCAGCCCCTGGGGGGGGGGGCTTGGGGCTCTTTTGCCTAGGACCACCTCTGCTGTACTGGCAGCTGGGGGGGGGAGGGGGTGATTCCAGGCCTTCCCAGCCCTGAGCTGAGCAGCTGGCCAAGGCCTGAGCCCCCCCCCCCATGAAGAAAGCGAGGGGGCTCAGGGCTGGGGTGGGAGGCATTTTTTTCCTTCTCGGGAGAGAAACCCCCCCTTCCCCTCCCAGAATCCTGTGCCTTTTGAAGGGGGGCCCTTTTGAGGGCGGGAACTCCACTGCAGCCCCACCACAAGTTCTGACCGGGCTGAAGAGCCAGGTTCCATGTTGCACAGCCTGGTCTTGGCAGGATGCCCGTCAGGCAACGTTGGCAGAGCCCAATGGCTCAGTGAGTGTTCCTGGGGCAGTTTGAGAATGCCAGCACCCCCCCTCCTCCCCCCCCCCGGACTGGTGTTTCTGCAAAGAACAGAAGTTTACAGACTTTGGAGTGATTTTTTTTGTGTATTTATATTGCAGGCTTTTGCCTGTGACAGGCAGTCCTGGACATACGACCACAAGAGGGCCCAAAATTTCTGTTGCTAAGTGAAGCATTTGTTAAGTGAGTTTTGCCTCATTTTATGACCTTTCTTGTCACCACTATTAAGCCAATCACAGCAGTTGTTAAGTCAGTCACCCGGTTGTTAAGTGAATTTGGCTTCCCCCCATTGACTTTGCTTATCGGAAGGTTGCAAAAGTGGATCACGTGACACCCCCCCCCCGGTGGAGTATAAGACAGTACCCAAGCATCTGAAATTTGATCACATGACCACAGGCAATGGTCGTAAGTGTGAAAAATGGTCATAAGTCACTTTTTTCAGTGATGTCGTAACTTCGAACGGTCACTAAAAGAACAGTTGTAAAGTCGAGGACGACCTGTACTGCGAAACAAAACACAAAGACTCACAACAATAACAAATCGAGCTACTAAAGCCCGCAAAGACCCCACTGAACAAGTCTTAGCAATCAACAACAGCACAACATTTAAAACAGCATCCTGTATTATGCCCCCCCCCCACTGTGACAGTTCGAAAGAGGCCTCGGCCAGGGACGGCCTGCTCATGAAGGGCAGGAAAGAACAACCAGACCCTACACAATCCCACTAACCAGGTTTTTTAAAAAGAGGGCGGAGAAATAAAAGTGGATCGGGGTTAATCATTCACCCATTTATCAAATGCACCCATCTCTTCCGTATCACAGTCAGGCAGCTGACGGAGAATTCAAAAAGATAATTAAATCATCCATGGTAGCTCCTAAAAATATCCCCACACGTCATGAATAACAACAAAACCCCACCAAGAAATGAACAATAAACTGAGAATAAAAGCTAAAGACCTCCCATTAAAGGAGACTCTCTGGAAGAAAAGTTTTCAAACCTGGGACAAGCTGTTTCACTGGGGGAGGGGGGAGGGGGGGTTGGTGCTCCAAGAGGAAAGCAGTGCCTGCCCGGTTCAGCCCCCCCTGAATGTCCCCAGCTGTTTCCCCCTGTTCACCTGATTGGCCAGGCTGGTTCTGCAGATATTTGGGCACCAAACCAGGAAAAGCTTTATAAATCAAAACCCCCACCTTGAGTACCACCCAGAAACCAGGGCCGGGTCTGCCAAACCAGGGCTCCTTGCTCCCAATGCCAGGAGCCCAAAGGTTTCCTGAGCAGCGGGCAGTTTGTGCCCCGAGGACGGTCATGGTGGGCCCCGGGGGTCCCGACTGGCTCTGCTCAAGGGAGGACCGTGGGGAGCCAGGCCCTGTCCTAAGATCAGGGGACGGAGGGGGCAGGACCCCCTTCCCAGAGTGGGTGGCAGGGACCCAGGCATAAGGCAGCCATCAAAGACCCCAGACCATAATACGGCAGTCTCCCCTGTCAGAAGCCCCCCTTGGATCTCTGAGCTGTTTATTACAGTTTGGAGAAAAAGAGGACCGCAAACATTTCGGGCCAGGCGCTTTCTCTGATCCCCGAATCCTGATGCCGAAGAGGCAAAGACGGCGTGCGAGGCCCCCTTTTTTCACCCCTTGGGGGCCACACAGCCCCACATCTGCAGGGGCTCCCCCTGGAGGGACATCCTGGCAGGAATGGCTCTGTAGATTCTCCATCATCTGGCTCACGGTTGCCCCAAAGGTGCTTTTTCCAAATGGCAACTGGATTTTCTTCGCTTTTCCTTGAAAACCTTTCCCTTCTCATCCAGGAAGCTTCTGAACTTTTTCAAGGCAGGTCTTCAAAGAAAAAAAAAAAAATAAGGAAGATCAGCTGCCTTTTGAAAAGCATCTTTGGGACACCCTGGCAGGAAGGTGGCTCACCGGTGGGTCAACAGCAACCGAGCTTGCTTGATGCAGGAACTCTCTGGGGTGGGAGTGGGGGGTCCTCCACACCCACCCAACAACGCCCCCGACTTTTGCAACCCACTTGACAATTCCCGACAGAGGCAGCCAGAGATGAGGAAAGACAGAAAGTTCCAGGTTGGGGCCGGTCAGAGGGAGATTTCGGATGCAGCCGCTTGTCATCCGCAGGTGGAGCCCCGTCCTTCCCAGCAGGGAAGCGCAACACCGTCTCCCTGACTCAGGCTGGGAATTCTCTCTGCCTTTCTGTTGAGGCCACGTTAGCTAGCTGGAGGCTACAGGTGGCAAGTCTCCAGCTCCAGCCTTCAGGGGATGGAGAGGCCAGAGTAAGGGACTGCTACAAGGAAGCCTATTCCCCAAAGGCTTCGTGAGGGCAGGACAAGAAGCAACGGATGGAAACCAATCAAGGAGAGAAGCAACCTGGAACAAAGGAGAAATGTCCTGACAGTCAGAACAATTAATCAATGGAACAACCTGTCTCCAGAAGCGGTGAATGCTCCAACACTGGAAGCATTTAAGAAGAAGTTTGTCTGAAATAGTCTAGGGTCTCCTGCTTGAGCAGAGGGCAGAACAGGGGTCCCCAACCCCCGGTCCATGAACTGGCACCAGGTCACAACATGCCAGAAAACGGGCCGCACAAACAAGCAAAGCCCCATCTGCGGGATGCAGGCAGCACATGAAACCAGCCCCTCCCCGATCCGTGGAAAACCTCTCTCCACAGAACCGGTCCCTGGTGCCAAAAAGGTTGGGGGCCACTGAAGACCTCCAGGATCCCTTCCAACTCACTTCTTCTGTACTTCTATTCTTATGGTTGGGGGTGGTGGATTCCACCGGATGGCCATTGTCTGAAGGGGGTGGCCCTGGCCTGCACAGGAAGACCCTTGGAGAAGGGGAGGAGGGCTCGATGGGATGAATCAGGCCATCGTGGGAGGCAGTGCTGGGTGTGGAAGATGCCAGGGCCTCTGCCCATGGAGATGACATCCCAGCCTGGCTTAGTCAGAGTTGAGCATCAGAGAGATTGATCACTGCCTGGGATTAGGAAAGAAACAAGGTTGGGCCCCTTGGGTTGAGTAAGGCAGGACTGTTCCTTATTTGTTTGATGAAATCTTGTAAATATTATGTGATCATCTCGACCCCTGTGACTCCAGGATGAATAAACCGAAGGCAGAATCCAGTAAACCCAGTAAACTTAAGACAGGACAGCCTGACTGGCTGGGGAATTCTGGCAGATGAAAGCCACAAGTCTTAAAGTTAGCACGAATGGACATCCCTCAGTTAAAGCCTTGCCCAGGGAAGGTCTGGCCATCGGCCTCGCCTTTCTTTCTCCCCAGATCTTTCCTGGAACCCCTTTGATGGGGGGTGGGGAATCTCCACCGGCCTCCACGCATCGGACCTGGTGGCAACGCCAGGCCTGAGCTCAAAGCCTCAGACTCTGATCACCAAGCGCAGCTGTCAGAGGTGCTTCTGGGGGGGGGGTCTCTCCCTCCTGCACAGCCAAAGGCGAGTGCCCGGGGCTTATGGGTAGGGAGGTCCACGCACAGGTGGGAGCAAGATGGACAAAGACGTCCGCTCTCTGAGACTCGGAGCCACGTTCCCACATGGGAGTCAGGTCTGCACCCGCCCTCACGCACACACTCTTCAGGGCTTACATAACATCTGGAGGCTGGCCGAGAGGAACAGGTTTTCTCAGGTGATTGCAAAAATAGCAAGTGTGCATTCCACAACTCCAAGAGCAACATTAGGCGCTAGGAGGTGATCCTGCCCGGAGATCAGCTGTTGGCAACTGGAGGGGCAGGAAGGAAGGACAGCTCCTATGGAGACGAAGCTTCCAATGGACCCCCAACGTGCCCTGCTCAATGAGGGGGAGGACGATGAGATGGTAAGGGCTGGGGGACCCTCCCCACGGTTCACCCCCAAAACTGCCCCCTGGAGTCTGCTAGCCTTATGCTGCCCCCCTCCTGGCTCCCCTGAGAGAAGCAGCTCCTCAAGGCCGGGGGCTGTTGTTTAGGGATGCTTGGGCACCCCCCATAGCAGGAGGGCTGGCAGGTCTCTTTGTCAGGGGTTGGGGGGAGGGGGAGGGGGAGGCTTCCACTTTATTTTGCCTGTTCAGGTTGCTCAGCACTGGGGCAAACCCTTCACAAATCCGTCCCCCCCAATCCCCCTTCCCCACTTGCTGCATCAAGGCTCTTTTCCATTCTTAAAAATCCCTTTCTCAATCAATCAATCAATCAATCAGTCAATCAATCAATCAGAATAGAGCTAGAAGGGACCTTGGAGGTCTTCTAGTCCAGCCCCCTGCTCAAGCAGGAGACCCTATACCAGTGATTCTCAACCTTTCTAATGCCGTGACCCCATAATACAGTTCCCCATGTTGTGGTGACCCCCAAGTGGGTGTGGCCACCAATAAGAGGGAGTAGGACAGCTAGGGAAAAGGGAAAAAAATGGCAGACAGCATGGTTTGGTGACTCCCGTGAAATGGTCATTCAACCCCAAATGGGGTCCCAACCCACAGGTTGAGAACCATTGCCCTATACCATCTCAGACAGGTGACTGTCCAATCTCTTCTTAAAAACCTCCAGCGTTGGATCACCCCCAACTTCTGGTGGCAAGCTGTTCCACTGGATGATTGTCCTCCCTGTTAGGAAGTTTCTCCTTAATTCCAGATTGCTTCTCTCCTTGATAACTTCCCATCCGTTGTTTCCTGTCCTGCCTTCAGGCGCTTTGGAGAATTCTCCCCCATTGCTGCTGCTAGGAGCTGGGGGAGAACCTGCTCTGGGGGAGGGGGTCCATGGATGTATCCATGGGGGATGGGGGATTCTTTTCTTCTGCAACTGGAGGTTGTGTGTTTCCACAGCACAAGTTCTGCTTCTCCTAGCTGAGCGACAGGAAGGAGATAATTTGGAAAGAGGGGGCCTGTAGACAAGATCCAGACTGGTGCATTGATACAGTACAAGAGAGCCCCAATAGCTCAGGAATGAACTGGGGGGGGGGAGTCTTCAGTGCTCTCCAAACAGGGCTGTTTTCTTGTGGACGTTTTTGGACCCAATTAGATAACATCATCAGGGCTAGAGGGGAGAGAGGAATGTGGAGAGGTGGAGGAGGAGGACTGTGGGGTCCTTGGTGCTCTCTGAGCTTGCTGGTTTCCTTGCAGACATTTCACTACCCAACTAGGTAGCATCATCAGGGCTAGAAGGTAAAGGGGATTATGAAGAGGAGGAGGAGGAGGAGGCGGAGGAGGAAGACTGTGGGGTCCTGGGTGCTCTCTGAGCTGGGTGATTTTCTTGCAGACATTTCATGACTCAACTAGGTAACATCATCAGGGCTAGAAGGGGGGGGGTTGCTTCCTAGTTATAGAAAGTTCTCAACTTACAACTGTTTGTTTAGCAACCCTTCAAAGTTACGATGTTACTGAAAAAAATGACCTACAACCAGTTGTCATCCGATTATGGCCACGTCCGCAGGGCCCCCTGATCAGGATTGGGGTGCTTCGCCTCTGTGGCTGCAGTGTCCCCCGGCATTTTCTGCCACCTCCCCAGGCAGCTTCTGACAAGCAAAGCCAATGGGGGGGGGGAACTGGATTCATTTAACGGCCTTGTGTTACACTTAACAACTGCAATGATTCGTTTAACAACCGTGGCCAAAAAGGTTGCAAAATCAGGTGCGACTCATTTAACAACTGCCTTGCTTAATATAACAGAAATTTTCATCCCACTTGTGATCATAAGTTGAGGATTAACTGTACATACAGTAATTTGCCCTCTCAGTGTTGGTGTGTGTGTGTGTGGTTGTGTGTTTGTGTGTGTGTTGGTTCTTTGATTGGGCTGTTGCTTTACTGTTTGATTGTTTGTCTAAGTTGGGGATTCCTTCGTTAGGACATCCTTTATCGCTTGATGCTTTGCCAGGTGTTAATTCCTGCCAAACTGGGTGTTGTCAACTCCGACACGCAACGAAGCACTAAGCGACAGCCTAACCAAGAAGCAGCGCAGGAGGGAACAGCACCCCTACCCCAACACTGACAGGCTCTGTCTTGGGAAGGTCTCTGCCATCCAGGCCGGGGATCTTGTCCCAAAGGTGCTTCCCCCCCCCCAAAAGGCAACTGGACTTTCTTGGTTTTGCTTCTCATCCAAGAAGCTTCTTCCGCTGAAAAAAAAAAGCTTCTTGGATGAGAAATGAACCGTGTTCGGAGAAGAAACAAAGTCCAGTTGCCTTTTGGGACTGGCAGGGTACACAAGCTGACATCAACCTCCCCTCCAGTGGTGGGATTCAGATAGGTGAACAACCGGTTCTCTATCTGGATGCTGCTTCTGGAAGTCCATTCTGGGCCTGGGCAACACAAAATTAGCTACCGGTTCTGCCGGTGCGAACTGGCTGAATCCCACCACTTCTCCCCTCCTCCCCCCCCAGTGCTGAAGATATTCCCTAGCTGGATAAGGAAACATCTGCAAGGAAACAGCCAACTTCAGAGACCAGCAAAGACCCCACAAACTGGTATTTTTTGCCCCCCCCTTCTGTAAACACGAGTCTGCGGCGGGTGGTCTGAAGCAGTAACACACCCTACTGCTTTCCTGGGGCACATCAATCAGAGAATCCTAGGATGCGAAGGGACCTCGGGGGTCTTCTAGACCAACCCCCTGCTCAAGGCAGAAGAGCTTATACCATCCCACTCAAATGGTTGTGTAATCTAGTTTTGAAGGCCTCCAGTGATGGTGCAACATCACCAACAACCTCAGGAGGCAAATTGTTCCATTGATTAATTGCTCTCACTGTCAGGAAATTTCTCCTTACTTCTAGATCGGATCTCTCTTTGATAAGACTCTTTGTGGTGCCATCAGGTGCTCTCTTTTCTGTGACAGCCCCTCAGGTTTTGGAAGACACGTCACCCCTAGTCCTTTTCTTCAGTAAGCTGGATACCAAGGTCCCCCAACTGGTCCTCACACAGCTTAGCCCCCAGCCCCCTGACCATCTTTGCTGCTCTTCTCTGCACTCTTTCCAATTTTTCAACATCTTTTTTGTATCATGATGACCAGAACGGGATGTAGGATTCCACGTGTGGCCTCACCAGTGCTGTGTAAATCACAGTGTGGTATTAACACTCCACCTGATCTTGATATTGTCTCTCTTTTGATGCAGCTTAGGGCTGCATCAAAGTCCATTACTTGTGGACTTCAACTCCCAGAATTCCTCAGCCAGGCACATGTGCCTAGCTGAGGAACCCTGGGAGTTGAAGTCCACAAGTCATCAAAGGGCCAAGTTTGAAGACCCCTGATGTAGTATATTAAGTCATCTCTTGTTGTTACGGCAGAGTTCTATTTTTGCATAATGTCCCAGGGAAAAAAGGAAGCAGTTTGAATATTATCTCATGTCTTAGAAAGGAGCTCCTGAGCATAGCGAGAGTACAAACTAGTAGTATCAAATACTGAGCAAGCGAAAGTGCTTCGGGGGAGACCTCCGTTTCAGTTGTAATCAGGCTGGTTATAAAGAGCCCCAGGCCAAGAGGCTGGTAGAAAGTTTTGCTACTGGGCAGTAAAAGTCTGACCCTTTTATTTTGATCTTTGAGCTTCCCCCGTAATCTTCCTTTTCCATCTTAGCTTCTTGCTCCTTAACTATAGATTCCTTTATTCTCTTGGTTTGGAAGGCCTGCCCTGGAATGCCACTGGACAGGTCACCGTCTGCTTGACCTGCCTTGGCGGGCCCATCGCAGAGCCTCGGGGGACGGCGTCACTGAGGGGGTCCCCCTTGAGTGGAGATGTTGGACCCCGCCTGGTCCCTGTGGGGCCGGAGGGAAGGGAGAGAAGAGGGGAAATCAACGAAGGGGGTACTCAGGTAGTCCTCGACCTACAGAAGACCTACACTTGTCTGAAATGGTCTAGGGTCAGCCATAGATTCAGAACATCCAGATTCAGCCAGAGTTTCATTCCATACAGCATTAACCTTGTGAACTCTCAAGCTTCCTCCTTCCGTCATATATTCAAGATAGACAGTATTTAATATTTATTTGATATGTATATGTAGGGGTGTGGGTCTATACATATGTTATACGTAGTATGTTTAAGTGTGTGTCATGTACATGTTTCACTTTGAGAACGGGCAACTAAATTTCATTTTTGATGTGTGCCGTTGTGCCCACAGTAAAAAAATGACAATAAAGACTATCTTATCTTAACTTGTCTTATCTTATCTCTTGCTCAAGCAGGGGGGCTGGACTAGAAGACCTCCAAGGTCCCTTCCAGCTCTCTTCTCCTCTCTTCTCCTCCTCTCCTCTCCTCCTCTCCTCTCCTCTCCCCTCCTCTCCTCTCTTCTCTTCTCTCCTCTCCTCCTGTCTTCCCCTCTCTTCCCCTGTCCTCTCCTCTCCTCTCCTCCTCTTCTCTTCTCTTCTCTTCTCTTCTCTTCTCTTCTCTTCTCTTCTCTTCTCTTCTCTTCTCTTCTCCTCTCTCCTCTCCTCTCCTCCCCTCCCCTACTCTCTTCCTCTCCTCTCCTCTCCTCCTCTCCCCTCCTCTCCCCTCCTCTTCTCTCCTCTCCTCTCCTCCCCTCCCCTCTTCTCTTCTCTCTTCCTTTTCTCCTATTCTGTTCTGTTTGTTATTCTATTCTGTTCCTGTTGCTAAGCAAGGCAACTGTTAAGTGAGTTTTGCCCCATTTTACAATCTTTCTTGCCACGGTTGTTAAGTGAATCACTGCAGTTAGTCACACGGCTGTTAAGTGAATCCAGCTCCCCCCCCACTGGCTTTGCTAGTCAGAAGGCGGCCAAAGTGGATCACGTGACAACAGGAATGCTGCAGCTGTCATAAATAGGAACCGGCTGCCGAGTGTCCGGAGTTCGACCCCCTGAGCAGGGGGAGGATGCAACGGCCGTTAAGTGGGAAGAAGACAGCCCTGAGTTGC